CTTTCTCTAAATAGAGCCCTACTCTAAAGAGCCTATAACTAAGTAGTAGTTTTATAAGGGTATCTACTTCTTTTATAACTTCTTTTATCCTTCTAAGGATATTTTCTCTAAACTAAGACCTTTTTAGAAGAGCCTATAACTTTAGGTATTAGTTATAATCCTTATAACCTTAATAAGTCCTTCTAGGGCTAAAATGTGTTTTTATCTTCTAGGGATATAATATATAGGGCTTTAACTTATATTATTTTTCTTTTCTACTTCTCTTTTAAAGTCTAATAGATATAGGAATAACCTATACTACTAGAATCCTTAAAGTAGTTAGACTACTAACCTAGGCTTATAACTTATTAAGCTAAGACTACTCTATAGAGTTTATATAGGTATTAAATATAGTAGAAGTAACTAAATTAATAAATAATACTAGGAACTAATCTAGGTATAATTATATTAGTTAGTTATAGGAAGTAGAAGAACTAAGAAGAGATAAGCTCCTCTTAGTTATATAACTCTTAGTATTAATACTTTAGATATCTATTTTAGTCTATCTATCTAGACTATACTATCTAATATTAACTCTATATTAGGTCTTTTATAATAACTATATTACTATATATAACTCTTAAAAGTAGTATAGTCCTTTTTTAATTAGGAGGTATATAGTAATAGTATAGTAGGCTTCTCTAGAACTAGTAAAACTATTAAAACGAGAAGAAATAGTATTTTATAGAAAGTAGAAAGCCTCTAATATATACTTCGGGCCTACGTAGCTAGCTACTAGATATTCGCGCTACTAGGCTAAAGTTTAACTCTACCTAGAGGTACTAACTATAGTGTATCTAAGACGCGCTAGGCGGCACGGAGGCGACGCGCCGCACGGGCTCGTACTCGAGGCGCCGGGCAAGTTTAGACGGACTTGTGCATTTTGTGCAGGGTTATCTAAGGCCGCTTTGGGCGACATCTGTTGCCATTTCGGGAAGCACCCGCACCGTCACTCAGAGTTTGGCTGTAGAGAAGACAAGAACGACGCGAGGTCAAGAAGTTACCTACTCGTGCAGCCCCTCAAGCACAGACCACTCGAGCAAATCCTCACGTCAAGAAACCACACCAAGCCGAGACAACCTGCATTCTCCAACAATTATACCGAAACGAGACATCAAAACCAGGCACTGCCGGAAACCATGGCAATATCAACCCACCACTGCCTCTGCAACGCCCTCCTCCTAACCAGCACGCTCCCGCTCTCCCAAATCCCCACGCGCCAAACCGACAGCTCGCTCATCTGCACCCTCACTTCCGGACACTCCATCGCCCCGGGGGAGGCTTCCGTGCTGGAGAACGCCGTATCCGTGGATGAGACGCCGGTGGTGGTGAAGTTGGAGGATGGGTTCGAGAAGCGGTATTGCGTGAGGTGTGTAAGGTGTGGGCTTACGGCGGGGTATGGGTTGGATCGGGGGATGTTTGAGTGGAAGAGGGAAGGGAGGAGGGAAGGGGTGGTGTTTTTGTTGAAGGGGGGGTTGGTGCGGACGGAGGATGTTAGGTTGGGACGGAAGGTGGATGAAGCGGAGGTTGAGATGGTGGTGGCGTGATGGGGGGAGGGAGATGTGGTGGATTATTGAAAAGGACTTTTTGGGATGACTGTGAGGTGTCTTTTCGATTCCTGCTATTGATGAAGCACGAACTACGCAGCAGCCTCCGGTTTCTTCGCCAGAATCCACAGGAATTTCACCCCATAATCCGGATCATCAGGATCGACATCCTCAGCGACCTCCAACACTTCCGCCTGAAGAATCTCGAACCCGGCAGCTTGGACCATGGCCTTGCTGCTTTTGACGTCAAAGCTGCTCCAAAACATGTCCTGGCCGAAGAAGGAGCTTCTGATCTCGGAAGCGTCCATGCACGCGAGCGTGAAGGCGGTCTGTCCGCCATCTGCCAGCCAGCCGTGGATTTTGGAGAGCATGGTGGGCTGTTCTTCGCGGGGGAGGTGGATGATGGAGAAGAAGGCTGCGACGGCGTGGAGGGATGAAGGTGCGATGTCTAGGGCAGTCATATCTCCCGGCATGAATGTAGCTTCTGGGCATCTCTTTTTCGCCAGCTCTATCATTGCGGTAGAAATGTCATTCGCGAGCACTTTGGCACCGGTCTTGGCCAACATCTCCAAAATCGGGGCACCAGCTCCACAGCCGATTTCGAGAACTGTGGCATTGGGTGGGAGGTTTTTGATCAGGAGTTCGGTATAGTGAGTGCGGTTGCGGGGGTCATCTTTCGTCCAGTCGTCGTATTTCTCTGCCATTTTATCGTAGCCATCTTGGACGATTTTTTTGTCGACGCTGAGATCCGAGGTTGCGTTCGCCATGTTGATGTTTTTTTGTTTGAACTGAGGTTGATTGTTAGAGCAAGCGACCTACCTTTAAAAGCATTGGTGAGTCAATGGCGACTTGTGGCGCTTTTGCGAACCCGACGGAGAGCTCATTCAGCTGTGCGGTGTCCTGCGTTCATTGTTGACTCATGTATTTATCCGTCCTCACGATGTTGTTGTTAGTTGCATGGTAGTATACATAGACTCATCGATTTATTTGGCGAACATGACAGCACTGCTGCTTTCACACCGGGAAGGATGAAGGCGCCGCGCTGACAGTTCTAGACCTGCATAGCTGTCCTGTGGTTGAGGACGGCTTTATCGAAGGCCGTGCAGCAGCAGGTACCTCGAAACCTCGACCCATTGGCAGATTGGCCATTGTCATACGATTGGTCCAACACGACGTAGAAATACACAATGCTCGTAGTACTTGGCACAAGAGTGTTGCAGCTCGATTTTTACTCAATCGTGCCCTGCATGCAAGCAAGGCACAAAGGGTCCTGTTGGATTCTGCGTTTCTCCAACTCTGAAACTGGGGATTCGGGCCCTGACACATGAGAAGCTCCGTGATGCTGGGATGTGACCTGCAAGTCGGAAGTGCTCGCATGCAGAGCTGCAGCTTGTTGGAGGAAGAGTCAGACGTGGTGGAGGTGGATAGCGGACGTGGAGTGCTGCCGGTCCGTCAAGGTTCACTTGTGCGTGCACTATAATTGACTTTTCAGGCTCGTAAGGATCCAGGGCGCCACTGGTACTCGCCGAAATACAGGCGTTGGGTGGGAGAAAGCAGGTTTTTGGAGGTGTTCCGGTGTGGTGGTCGTAGAGGCGGAAGTGGGAAATAATTGGAGGCGCGGGTGGAAGAGAACAAAGAATGTATCAGAGCCGGCGCAGGTTGTGTGGGAGAACTATTGGTCTGTGTGTGGGAGTCGTCCATCACCGATCCGCCGCAATTGGGTTGGTGAGCCTCATCAGCAAGCTGCGAGACCCTGCGGTCCTGGGTTGGCGTCTGCATTTGATGAGGCATTCATTAGAGAGCATTGAAACTTCAAGGCCGTCGTGCTGGTTGTTGGTGAAATGCACGTTGTCGAGTAGGGAAGGCCTGTCAGGACGTGAAACACACACGGCCGCCGCCACTGCTTTGACAAACAACACGCAAGTGCCAAGCTTCGCACGCGGCCAGCGGGCATCGGCAGCGCTTTGAAGCTCTTCCCACTGCTGCGAGTCTGCAGTGCATCCACCCGACACACACACCCAACTCAGCCTCCGCCCGTCGATTCGTAGCCGTCGCCCGCCGCGTAATCCATCGCGCAGCTCGTGTCGCTGCACTTTATTTCGCTCACAGAGCTCTGCTGATACAGTATCCTCGTCCTCTCAGACAGCTCTACACCACCTCACCGACCCCCTCTGCAGCCCCTCCGCCGGCATCACCAACTCCGCCGTCCATTAATTGCGGCGGTGACGCTCGTTTGCCGTGCGCTCCACTCCGTACAACGGTCGTGCACACACCACATCCATACCCACATCACAACCTTGTCGGATCCGCTGTAGCGCAAACCGGCTCCTCGTCCGAGCCTCTCTGCTGTTGGATACCCGCGCGCCATCGATCATCAATTAATCGCGCTGCTACCGCCGTCATGGACCAAGGCCCACAGTCGCCTGGAGCACGTTCTCACGGCTCTCGCACCTTTTCTTTCCGCAGCGATAAGAGCGGTGGATCCAAGCCGAAAGAGGACCTGCACGACTCGCCAAGGGAGAAGCAGCGCCGGGATAGCATCTGGAAGGCGACCAGCAAGGCGAATCCAAACGCTGCGCTATCCGAAGCTCAACCTGGAGGTGCGTTGCATCCTCACTCCATCTCTCTCTTTCCTGTTTTATACCATTGTTTACCCCCGTCACTGGCTACTTTTGCCCGCTCCAGCCAAACCACACTGTCGTTTACTAGCCGCCGATCATTCGTTCTTTACAATGGCTTTGACCATGCAAATAGCTGACGCTCCGCCCCCAGTCAACGCCATCTTCGAGGACACCACCATCACGCCACTTCGCGGCATACAGCACAAAGACACAACCGGCAATGTCATCAGTAGGTTCATCTCGAAACATTGCAAGCAGGCACCAGCTAATCGAGTCGCAGCGGATCCTGACTTGTCGAACCCGACCCGACCGCGCATGGAGAGACCATTGGACACCATAAAAGCATTCGAGAGAGCTATTGATAACGGGTATAAGAGACGTTCTGGATATCAGCGGTCAGGTATGTCACGCAAGTACAAAGATACGAGTAGGCGCAGCTAAAATCTGCTGCAGAATCATATGAGCAAAGCACCCAGTATGGTGGCAGCAGGAGGAACAGTGCCTATGGTGGTGAGTTCTCGCTTCCTGTGCCGCGACAAACTTTTACCAACCGTCTGCGTGCAGGCCATGAGGGCAGCATGAGCCCCAACAGATTCTCGAACGGCAACGGCGGTGGTTACTACGGCGGTCAACGAGACAGCTACGGTCCTGGGCCTAGCGGTCCCCCACGACGATACCCTGCCCAGCGCATGCAGTCCGAGCCGATGATGTACGGCGGCGGACCACGACCATACCCACATGGCCACCAAGCTTCGCAGGACACGATGAACACGGGCGTGACGAATGGGTCCGACAGCACAGGACCTTGGGCAAACAGCACAGACCCTAGCAGTGAGAACAGCTCGGTTGAGAGAGGTCCATCTGCGCAGAAGCCGCATGGCGAGTACCCGCCAAATGGCTATGGACACAATGGATACCAGAACGGTTATGGACCTGGTGGCTTCCAGGGTCCTATTCCAGAGGAAGGCGGCTCCTACCCCATGGGTGGCGGCGCTCCACCAGTTCAGCCTCCAAACGCTGCTCGACGCCCCATTCCTCTTGGAAACACGACATCGGACACTGTGCCAGAGTTGCCATCCACCAAGAGACCAGAGCCAGAGAAGAGAAAGAGCTGGTTGAAGCGCCGGTTTAGCAAGAAGGACTAAATAACCCGCACTCTTTTGGCATGTTACCGCGGCGATACATCCGGTTGTGTTGCGGCATTCTGTTTCAATGCACATAATGTAATGGATAATTAGCAAACCCAGCTGGAAGAAAGAATGGACTGATGGATGATGGGAGTTTTTGGGAAGTTGTGGGAGAACAAGAAAGCGAGCTGTGTGTCTGCTGCGACTTGGCTACGAAAGACATGGAAATACGAGACAAGCCGCCGGCGGACAGACATTGAACTGGACTACACGAACTGCTGCTTTTGCAGATAGAAGCAGGTCGTGAGTCTGGCTAAACACTTCATGAATATGATATACCTTTTTCTCGCAGAAGCAAAGATTCCCACGTGCCTTGCTGTGACCGTACAACGCCTTTCGACTCGAACTTCGTCAGTACATGACCCATCATCTCGATTTCTTCTTTTCGTCCTCGTCCGCCTCCCTCTCAGACTTGTCGTCGTTGAAAGCTACAATGACATAGCCTATCAAGACTACATTCGCCATGACCGCCGCGAAACCTCCCGCATATGTCGAGTTGCCTGCCTACGTTAGTCTTGACGATAGCATGTGGCGTTTGGATAGTCCAACCTCCAAACAGTGTATTGACGGTGACGAAGTAGCTTCCAATGGGTAACGTGATCATGGCGAATGTGAAGCCTAGGAGTTTCGCTATCACTGATCTGAAGCCGCATTATTATTAGTTGGTTCGAGAAGTTGAGTTGGGGATTGAGGCAACGTACGAAGGGACGGCGGGCGTGATGTTTGATTTGACCTCTGCCTTGGTCTCATCTTGGTCGAGGTGTGTCTTCTCGGTCGTTCGTATTCTTTGCGTTGCCATGATTTCAGAAGTCAGTTTAATCACTGAGTTGAATGTTTGGTTTAGGCGGCTCTGAGTGAGGTTGTTCGGGTGACGTCCGAGTCTTCAAGCGAATGTGGCTGAGAATCATCGACTTCACTTCTCCAGAAGGCGGCTTCTTTCTTCCGCTTCCCTCGACCACAATCAACACCGCACCTTTGTTCTCTTGTACGACTAGCACTCCGCCTTTGTCTGTTGGCGTATCTACATGGACCACAGCACCCCAAACAACCGGCGCATCAGTTAAAAGAGGAGGAAGGTGTCTTGCGCATCACTTCGCGAGCAAGCGACCACTACAGATCAGCATCGCGCCGCGTCGCATCGCAGCCATTCGCCATGGATCGACATGACCCCATAGTCGATGACACGCCGAACAAGAGGAGGAGATTGAATCACGAGAGCAGCAAGAGCGGGAAGGCATGGGACTCGCAAGATGACAGCGGCGAAGAGTTCACCGAAGATGACTTCCACACGGTGGCTACAATGCCTGCGACAGACACACAGAAGAGGAGGTTTGCCTATAACGCTTCACAACTGCGCAGTGATTTAGGTGGAGGGTATGCTCAGACCTCGTCGCAGCAGTCATACACAACACAGCCAACGCAGACCTTGCATCGAGCGACTCAGCCAACCCAGCCGCTGTCCTCGATGAATGAGGTTCAGGTTGAGCGGTCCTCGCCCTTGGGACCCAGCAATTCCACGCAGACACAGACGCAAAAGCCCGTCCCTCGACCGCAGTTCTCAAGGCCTACTGGAGTTTTGGCAAACGCAATGGCTCCTCCGGGCACAACCTTCCGCCGACCTGTCAACGCGCAGCCCAAGCCAGCAGCGATCAATCTGGACAGCGATGAGGATGACCCACCTGTTGAGCACAGTGACGATGAGACGCAAGGACTCAGTTCAACCATCAAGCCTACAAATTTCACGAGGGGCGGCCGAAATCTGAATTCGTCGCCGAATCGAGTACAGGAATCTCCGCGACCTGTACCGTTGAACTTCTCACGACCCGCAACGCTTCCTGTCAAGTCAAACAATGCCTTCACGAACCTGCTTGGTGAGTTCGGCTATCAGCCATCTGCACCCCAGCAGGCGCGACCTGCAGACGACATGGCCAGTGCATACGGCAATGCAAGGGGTCCTAGACCACCACAACAGCCTATGAGGCAAAATGGACCTGCTCGTGCACTAGCTCCAAAGGCACCGGCAGTTCAATATAAGACCCTCGACGACATTCCCGACTATTTAATGCGAGACAAGGTTCGGCGGATGAAAGATATTCTCGCGGAGTTGGTAACTGTTGACGACTGCATGAATGCTCTTATCAAGAAGAAAGGAAATCAGCAGGATGCCATGGACTACCTTGCAGATCAGGAGGCAAACAAGCCAGATGAGCTATCGTCGATGAGCCCCATACAGAGGAAGGGTGTTGCGAAGCCTACATCGCAGTCACAGTCGCAGTCGCAATCTCAGTCCTCGCAGCCAGTACGGTCTATGGCCAAACAGACTGTACAAGCACCCGCCAAGTCAATCGCTGAGAAGTACCGTCGAGGGTCTGCCAAAGCCACAATCGTTGACTCGGATGAAGACGAGGACGAGGACGAGGACGTCAAGCCGAAGCGAGGTCGTATCATCCAAGGTCGCAAGCCAACGATGTCCAGCAGTCCGCCTTCCTCGCCACCGCCAAGGTCACGGCTTCACAATAAGAAGACGATCACCATCGACTCAGATTCAGAAGGTGATTCGGGCATCGTTCGTGATGAACCTCAGCCGCCTATCAGAAAACTCGCCCCGAAGCCGACCAAGCACGTCAGCGCAGAGGAGATCCAAGCCAGCCTGCAGGACATGCGCGACCAGAGACTTCTGAAGCTGATGAATGAGTCTACTGCACATGCCCTGTCTGAGGTCTGCGGGCAGTCTAAAGATGTAATTCAATTCGTGCTCGATCACAGGCCTTTCCAAACTCTGGACGATGTCAGCGCTGTGGTGAAGGAGAACCTCACCAAGACGGGCAAGAAATCCAAGAAGACTACTCCTGTCGGAGAGAAGCTCGTCGACGACTGCCGGGAGGTCATGACAGGCTACGATGCCATCGATGAGCTGGTTGTAGAGTGTGAGAAGATCGCCCAACCGGTGCAAGAGGCCTTGCGTGGTTGGGGTGCTGGGGAGACCGACGGCGAGCTACAGCTGATGAAACTCGATGAGGTTCATGACTCCGGCATTGGTACCCCAGCAAGTTCGTGTGCGCCAGACGACGCGCCTCAGAAGGCGTCCAAGCCCAAGGGCAACTTCTTCGGCCAGCCCTCGAACATGAACCCAGAAATGACGATGAAGGACTACCAGCTCGTGGGATTGAATTGGCTCTGTCTGCTATTCAAGAAGAAACTTTCGTGCATTCTCGCCGACGACATGGGACTTGGAAAGACGTGCCAGATCATTGCCTTCTTGTCGCATTTGCAACTGCAAAAGGTCGATGGCGTGCATCTCATCATCGTGCCTGGGTCGACCCTCGAGAACTGGCTACGAGAGTTTGAGCGCTTCTCGCCGGGGCTCAACATCATTCCGTACTATGGCAAGCAGGCGGAACGAGCGGAGCTGCGGTACAACATTGAGCAAGACTGGGGAACAATCGATGCTATCGTCACGACCTACGACATGATTGTCAGTAAGGAGGACAATGCCTTCTTCCGTGCGCAAGGACCTTTCTCGTGCTGTATCTACGATGAAGCACACGCTCTGCGAAACCCAAACTCGCAGCGATATCAGCAACTTGTCAGGATCAAGGCTGACTTCAAAGTACTGCTGACCGGCACGCCGCTGCAGAACAACTTGCAGGAGCTGATTGCGATTCTGGCCTTCATTATGCCGGAGATGTTCCAAGAGAAGAGAGATGATCTGGAATACATCTTCAAACACAAGGCCAGCACCAAGGACACTGCCAGTGCAGCCCTCCTTTCCAACGACAGAATCAGCAGAGCTAGGACCATGATGACCCCCTTCATCCTTCGCCGTAAGAAGCACCAAGTCCTCGAACTACCGACAAAGACTACTCGAGTCGAGTACTGCGACATGACCGATTCCCAAGCCAACTTCTATGCCGATGTCATGGACGATGCCCATCAGTTCTACAATCAAAAGGCGGCTGGTGCCATTAAGGGCTCGGCAAAGAAGACTTCGAATGTCATTATGGCACTGCGAAAAGCAGCGATCCACCCTCTTCTCTCCCGTCGAATCTACGACGACAAGAAGCTCGATAAGATTGTAGCTGCTCTGTCGAAGTCGGATGAATTCGGCGGCAACCCTCCAGACAAGATTCGGGCGTATCTCGATGGAGAGGCCGCTCAAAGCTTGAAGGGCGGTGACTTCCAGCTTCATCGCTTCTGCTACGAGCGGGATTTCCTGCGCAAAAAGTTCGCCCTTAAGCGTGATCAATGGATGGACTCGGGCAAGGCGAAGAAGTTTGCGGAGCTGGTCAAGCAATACGCAGACAACGGCGATCGTGTGCTGGTGTTCTCGCAGTTCACGACGTTGATGGACATCCTGGAAGCCGTGCTGGAGACTCTGCAGATCAAGTTCATGCGACTCGACGGGACCACTCAGATCCAAGAGCGTCAGGATATGATCGACAAGTTCACCGAAGACACCTCCATCACCGTCTTTATGCTCTCAACTCGAGCTGGAGGCGCTGGCATTAACTTGGCGGCTGCGAATAAGGTCATAATCCACGACAGTGGCTTTAACCCACAGGACGACATCCAGGCGGAGAACCGAGCCCACCGTGTCGGGCAGACCCGCGAAGTCGAGGTCGTACGACTCGTGTCAAGAGGAACGATCGAGGAGTCCATCCACGCCCTCGGAGAGTCCAAGCTTGCGCTCGACGATCGGGTGGCTGGCGGCGATGGGGAGAAGGAAGCAGACAAAGTCGGCGAACAGATGGTTGAGCAGATGCTAGCCGACAAGCTCAGCTGCAATATTACAGCCAATGGTGAAGGCAACACCAAGGGCGATGGCGATCTCAAGGACGTGTTCAAGCAAGGCTTGGAAGGAGAAGGACTGAAGGTGTCGTCGAAGCAGGCACAGTTTTGAAGACTAGACGCTTGGAGAATTGTACATGAGCACATGAAAGAGCAGGACTGCTTTGGACACAGACTCGCATTGCATTGTAGCATAGCGCGCAAAGAAACACGTGTTGCTTCTGTCTTCGTCACATGCTTTCTTCCTTCTCATCGGGTATTGTGCATGATTACGGCCATGTGTCTCAGTTGATCCCTTGAAATTCGGATGTGGGCGACATTGATGGTGGTGATGCGTGCTGAAAGAGTGTGCTTTCTCAGTCACATGGCGATACTAAGCTGATCAATCATGCAGCGTCCACTTATAATACATTGTGATAGGTGACTCCAGGTGAATATATTGACTTGATTTGAACGGCAAGTGAATAGATGTGGCTGGGCGGTAGCGAAAGTGGGGCTCGTGCGGCACTCGGGCAAGCACGACTAGCTCTCTCGAGTGGCCACCTTTCACGAATGATCAAGCTGTCGACAGCTGCGCTTCAAATATCTCCACCGCCGCCGCCGCCCTTTCTGCCACCTGCCCTGCCAATTGATCACCTTCTCAACCACGGTTCCTCTTTCCTCCAACCCCGGACTGCTGCACTGCACTGACTGCCATCATGCGAGCCACCGCTCTTCTGGCACTGGGCTGCTATGCCGCCGTGTCGGCTGCCCAAGACGACGCTGAGGCAGAGGCCAGCTCCTCGTCTTCGCTCGAGGCTTCGCTGCCGACCTTCACCGTGAGTACCATGCACATAGTAATGCTGACTGGCACATGCTAACATCTTCCACCAGCCCACCACCCTCAAAGCTCCCTTCCTCGAGCAGTTCACCGACGACTGGGACAGCCGATGGAAGCCTTCGAACGCAAAGAAGGAGAACACCGAGGAGGAGTGGCAATATGTGGGCAACTGGGACGTCGAGGAGCCCGTCGTCTTCAAGGGCATTGCTGGCGACAAGGGTCTCGTCCTCAAGGACAAGGCTGCCCACCACGCCATCTCCGCCAAGTTCGACAAGCCCATCGACAACAAGGGCAAGACGCTCGTCGTTCAGTACGAAGTCAAGCTCCAGTCCTTCCTCGAGTGTGGAGGTGCCTACATGAAGCTCCTCCAGCAGAATGCCAACCTCGGCACTGACGAGTTCTCCAACGCCTCGCCATACATCATCATGTTCGGCCCCGACAAGTGCGGTTCCACCAACAAGGTCCACTTCATCTTCCGTCACAAGAACCCCAAGACCGGCGAGTACGAGGAGAAGCACTTGGACGGCGCCCCATCGGCCGAGATCAACAAGCTCTCCAACCTCTACACCCTCATCGTCAAGCCAGACCAGACCTTTGAGCTCCTCGTCAACGACAAGTCTGCCAAGAACGGCTCTCTCCTCGAGGACTTCACTCCCGCTGTCAACCCACCAAAGGAGATTGACGACGAGGATGACAAGAAGCCAGACACCTGGGTCGATGAGGCCAAGATTCGCGACCCCGATGCGAAGAAGCCTGAGGATTGGGATGAGGATGCGCCATACGAGATTGTCGACGAGGCTGCCACCAAGCCAGAGGACTGGCTCGAGAATGAGCCTCTCACCGTTCCAGACCCAGAGGCCGAGAAGCCAGAGGACTGGGATGATGAGGAGGACGGTGACTGGGTCGCTCCTCAGGTTTCCAACTCCAAGTGCGATGAGGTCTCTGGCTGTGGCCCATGGGAGAAGCCAATGATCAAGAACCCAGAGTACAAGGGCAAGTGGAACGCTCCTCTGATCGACAACCCCGCCTACAAGGGCGTCTGGGCACCACGCAAGATTGCCAACCCAGCTTACTTCGAGGACAAGACTCCATCCAACTTTGAGCCCATCGGCGCTGTAAGTGATAGAAGTCACCTTCAACTCTGTGCTTGTGTACTGACTTTTTCTAGATCGGCTTCGAGCTCTGGACCATGAACGAGAACATCCTCTTCGACAACATCTACATCGGCCACTCCATCGAGGATGCCAACGCTCTCAAGAAGGAGACTTGGGCCGTCAAGCGACCAAACGAGGAGAAGGCCGAGAAGGAGTCGAAGCCAGCCAGCGACAAGGCCGACGACAAGAAGTCTCCATTCGACCTCGTCTTCATGGATGACCCAGTCCTCTACATCAAGGAGAAGACCGCCCTCTTCATCGAACTCGTCCAGAAGAACCCCGTCGACGCCATCAAGTTCGTCCCTGAAGTCGCCGGTGCCATCGGTCTCGGTATCGTCACCCTCCTCGTCCTCATCCTCGGTGCCGGCTCCGGCGCTGCCCCATCCGCCGACCAGGTCAAGGCCAAGGCCGCCCAGGCCAAGGAGCAGGCTCAGAAGACCAAGGACCAGGTCGCGGACGCTGTGGCTACTGGTGCTGAGAAGGCCAAGGAGGAGGCCAGCAAGAGGACAACCAGGAGCGCGGCGAAGGATGAGCAGTAAAGAGAACGTGATGTGCAGAAGATAAACCAAGCACGAGACAATGACAGCAAGCCAGTCAATGGTGTCGCTGCATTGTCACACGATGCTCTTTATAGTCACGAATCCCAAAAAAAAAAACGAGCATGCTATTGCTACGATATCGAAAGGAAAAACAGCGGATAAGAAGGGAGGGAAGAAGGACGAAAGAAGGGTTTTTTGATCTTTTCTTGGAAGCTGTTGTGTGTCGAAATCTGTAGAAAGAGAAGAAAAAAGCGAGTTTTATACTCCTGCCTCATTTTCTGTATATCCCTATTCCCATCGTTCCTCGTCCGTCCATGCTGCTGTGTATGGGTTGCGGCGGTTGGTTGAATGATGACTCTTGGGGATGGAAGGGCATTCTAGTCCGTCGCAGTCTTTGCCATTCCATGCCACCGTCTATGCGTGCAGTGAGTTTGATCAAGGAAGCCGTTGGGGGGGAAAGGGAGCACAAATCAGAAGCAGTGTATCCACAGCATTACCGGCCTATCCAGGCCACGATCCATTCATGTAGTTACTCAGTTACTCAAGGTGCGACGGGGATGCACCGCAGAAGTTACTCCTCCTCACCTCCCTTCTTCTTCCAGAATACACAGCGCCACTCCTCCTTGTTCTCCAGGGTCACCTCGGCCTCCACCGGGGTGTATTGACTCGCCTGTGCGCCGTGGGGGAGACGCCAGACTCCCATCTAAACCTCACACGTTAGCCATCTGTACATTCAACACAATCCCCGGAAGAACAGATCCTTCCATGCCACCGCTAGGACTTACCATCGCCTTGACCCAGTCCTCCATCACGAGCCCCTCCACGTTCTTCCACCTCACCCGGATCTCCTCGAGGCCGCGCAGGCTGTACATGAGCGCGATGCCCCTCGTCTCGCTCATGTCGCGCTTGACGACGCCGTTGCGCTCCCCGTCCTCGCCCCAGGAGAGCAGGTTCACCACGTCCAGGTCGATCCAGAGCGTGGTGAGCTGCTTGCACTGGAGGAGCAGCATGTAGGCGGTGGGGGAGTCGGCGAAGGTGTCGAGCGCGTGCGATTCGTCCTCGGGGAGTTTCCAGTCGAAGCGCAGGGATTTCACGCTCTTGCGGCCGGCGTCGCCGATGATGGTGAGGAAGGCTTGCAGGTAGTAGAGGTTGTGGACGGAGAAGTGGTTCACCTTGTAGGTGATCGGGAGGGTCTCTGAGTGCAGCTGCACGCAGGCGCTGGAGAGCGCTAGGGAGCTGGGTGATGTTAGCTTGGTCCGGTTCAGTTTCTCCATCGCACCTATATCCCACTGAGGTATCGATGCATTGCAAGAAGGCATGGTATCATGACTTCCTGTTGGGATGGGATAGGGTTTGATAAGGGGCGTCTGCTTTACTTACCCAGTTCCAAGGGCTTCGTGAATTTGGCATGGCGCGCACACCAAGTCCGCCGTGCAGGTGTGCAGCACGTCGTTCAGATCTGGCATATCGGTCGAGGGACGGAGCAAGTTGTCATTGACGCAGACTGGCTGCGTTTCCTGCTTGACCACAAGCTCGTAGATGCGGTTTCGAAGCTCGGCAGGCAGCTTGAGAAACGGGAAAGGCTTGTATTCGGCTTCAGATGTCCAGTCCGGTGGTGGTACGCTGTTGTATCGCTTGGGAGGAGGACCTGGAAGATGGGCCCAGTGACTGAGCGAGGTACCGTAAAAGCTTTTCTTTACGAAGGGAAAGCCGTTGGCATCGAATTCCATCTCCGTGGTCTTTGCCACTGGTGCGGATTTGTTCTCGCAGCATTCGCAGGTCGACTCCGGGACAGCGACCCCGATGACCATATCTTCTCCTTGCAACTCTTTGTACACACGGCGTTCTCTGCTCCTCTCGATTCGCTGTCGGATCTTCATGTCGTCAACAAATGCTCTGAAACAAGATCAAGGACAGTTTACTTACCGAGTGGGCATTCTTCTTGTGCGGGTTGTGCTCTGGCTTGTGGATTCGGGTGCGGCGTGCGGAAACCATGTTGGATGTTCGGTGTGGTGGTATTAGTATGTATGACACTTGAAAGTACTTCGATGGTAAAGACGAGCTTTCGTGTATCTTTCGATGTGCTGGATGTTCTGCTTCGTGCACGTTTGGCTCTGCTCTGTCGATCTGCTCGATGCTGCTGTGTGCGCGTGATGCTCTGCTCGGACGTTTGGCGCTGCTGTCTTGCTTTGCGGTACGGTTCTGCGGTTCTGCTCTGCTCTGCTGCTCTGTTCTGCTCTGCTGCTGCTGGGCCGCTGGGCCGCTGGGCCGCTGGGCTGCTGGGGTCAAGTTCTCCGACTGTACGCTTACTTCTTGCTCAGCTCTTCGCCTTGCTGCTTGCAGTCGCTGTTGTGGTTTAATACTCGTTTGCTCCTTTTGGTTGCTTACTCGACGCCGCCGCGCTGGAAAGGAGAGATACTGTTGTCGCCTACCGTTGATATTGAAACTCAGCTGGTGCTGGTATGATGCGTGCTGGACACGTGATTGCGATGCGAGTGTGAGTGAATCGTTGCTTGCAATAACAACATGCACGTCTGTGGATGTTTGTATCAACGCTTTGAAGTTGAGAGGGTGTAGTCGTTTGTTTATGGTCGCCTCGGCTCGGCACGCAGACACTTGGCCTTGAATTACGTAATCGCCAAACATACAGATGAGCGCTCTTGCATACGACAAGAAACATCAATCTGACGGCTTCGTCTCCTTCTGGAAACTCAACATGCCTAATAATGGCGAGGACTTGACACACGATTGTCCATTTCCGGATGTTGCGGAAGCTCTCAGACCCTTTATCAAGACAAGACAGGAAGTAACAGCCATCCGACAGGGACTTCAAACAACCCTGCCACTCTCCTCCATTAGCCTGGGCCAAACTTCAGCAGACGTTGATCCTTCGTCTCTCTCCGGAGTCCGCAAAGCGTACTGGAGAGCCCTGGAAGCTCATAAGAAAGCGCAGTCCCGCTATGAGTCCTTGAAGACTGAGTTGGACCAACTCGTGCTCGGTGAAGCCTCAGGTCTTCCAGCTCCGACTACTGAAGACAGCGACTCCTTTCTCACCGAGAACTACGTCCCCTTGATACGACAAAAGGAGAAGCACCGCAAGCTCAAAGTCATCGAGGCGTCTTTGGCCAGGATCGATGCCGCTGGTCAGCGTTCCGTAGGCGAATCTCTGGACAATGTCGCCAAGCGTGAAATCGGGGAGCTTCCAGTACCGCCTACCAGTGCTTCTTTACCAGATCGCGATGCAGAGTTCAATGCCGAGTACGATCTCACGCAGCTGAAGAAGGCCATCCTATCGACCAAGCAGCAGCTGAACGACCATGAACGAGCTGTTGTCAGCCTCAATGGAGTGGACCGAGGCGACGTCAACCCTCATGCCGACCTGAAAGCTTTACAAAAGGCACACAACGAGCTGACGCTGTGGATGGAAAGTCAGCTTGCAGTGATCAGCGACACTGATGGCACCAACGGGATGAACGGGGTCACCTCAGCCGAGTCCGATACTAATGGAGACGTAACCTTCAACATCAACGACATTGAAGATTTGTACGAGCAGTATCTGGAAGCACGACGGCGGCTCCTTGACACTGTCGCCAATCCGCCATCACCTCAACTGACCTCGAGACCATCTTCACCAGTAGTCAGGCGCGGGTCAGAAACGACGGAAGTCGACAATCGCACTGCCACCTCAGAGTTGGTAATGCCCTACCTCACAGCTTTGACCTCGAAGAAGCAACACGAACAGGACCTCTTGCAGCAGAGTACCTTCGCCAGACGCCAAGCTGCGTCTTCAGAGGCGCAGACTCAAGCAGTGCTCTCCCGCTTAGCTGATGAAAGCCATCTACTGGCACCGGAACTGGGTCGAGGACCACCCAAGGGCAAAGACTGGGCGAAAGCAGCAGCAGTTGCTGAGAAGACGACGGAGGATTACACCACTCAACGAACGAAGTCTGGCCTGGCAGCCACTGAAGCTGCCGCGAAGGCGATGGAGTCTATTCAAAGATTGCCAAGCTCGTACGATACTTTGCTGAAGTGAAAAAGAAGGATCTCAAATCGGACACTATACATTTGACATTATCTGCCGTCTATTTTCTATCGTTTTCCGGGTCATCAATCATAACTCATTACTCGCTGAACCCACGTCACTTGGCAATCATTGGCTTCCTTGATCGAGTTTGCCAAATAAAGTACAGGCTGATCAGGAAGCCAAACAAGGACAGTGCGATGCCGAACCACCAGGCGTCCCTGTAGCCCCCATGGAGGCCATGAATCGGCGAGAGATAGCGGTCCAGTGTACCTGCTATTCCAAGTCCAGTGGCGATGGAGTAGTTGACCATCTACACGTTGTCAGCGATCGCAAGATATTGAGGGACGAGAGTACGTACCGTGCAGATAAGCGATGCAGCAATGCCTTGATGTTGCTTGGAAACCGCATTAGCCATCAAGATCGTGCCCGATGGAAAGCTCCAGTTCATTGCGAAAGGCATGATTATGACCGACAGGAATGTATTGATCCAGTATGTCTGGGCCACTGGCGCGAATACCAGCAGGATTGTTCCTGCGAAGAAGAACAGCATCGATATGCTCATGAGCTGTGAAGAATGATCAGCATGCAACCAGCAAATATGTTTTAGTCGAACTTACATATGGTACCTTCATCTTCCTCAATATGAAGGGAACGGCGAGCGCAGCCGAGAAACCAACCAGGGCGACGGGCCATGTTTCCGCAGCTGCGACCAATGGCTGGTGTCCTCTGACCTTCTCGATGAAGAGGAACAGGTAATAACACCAGATGCCATGACTGGCCCACCCAGCTGCAATGCAAGCTAGAGTGAAGGCTGCATCTCGATGCAGACCCTTCAGCGGGACAATTGGTCTCGACGCCACGCACAACTCGACCCAGACAAAAGCAGCCATCAGCAGGAAGCCAACTCCTAGCAGGACAGGAATATAAACATGATTCCAACCTTCCACGGGCGCCTCGTTCAGCGCGAAGTTGATCAACAGCAACCCAGTGACTCCAGTGAAAGCACCCAGCAGGTCGAACTGCTCTTTGGTCTTGTTGGCCGGGTCGGCGGGCGAGCTTCGATAGGTGTCCGGAGGAAGAACTATCGCGGAGAAGATGCAGCACAATGCAGCGGCTATACTCGACGTCCAGAACATCCAAGGCCACCATAGCAGCTGCGCGAAGATGGATGAGAAGACGACTCCAAGCGTCACACCCACTGGTCCGCATCCTCCAAACGCGGCGATGGATATGGCACGTTTCATGCCAATGGGAAAGGTCCTCGCGATCAGTGCAATGCCGTTCGGTACCAAGAGCGCTGGCCCGATGCCTTGTAAGCCTCTACACGTCGCAAGCATAATTGGACCGCCGACGTAGCTGAAGCCAGTAATCAAGGACGCCAGTGAGAACCAGATCCAGCCAACTATGAACATCTTTTTGTGACCGTACATGTCGCCGAGACGTCCAGCTGGAAGGATGAAAGTTCCAAGCGTCATGCTGTATGCGGCGGTGTACCTAGATTGCTATCATCAGTCTCTGTACGGTCAGAAGATGCACTCGAAAACATACCAACTCATCTGGCCAGGATCATCCACTCCAAGGCCTTCTGCTATGATCAAAAGTGGCGCGAACGACTGAGCCAGTCCAGCCAGGGAGAAAATCTGAGCAAGACAAACATTGAAGACGAATATCCACTCGTGCCATTTCCCGAGGCCGCTCGTCTGCGCTGGCGGTAAAGGCGTACCAGGAGGTTCCATCCGTTCCTTGGCCTCAGTCCCCAAAGGAATGTTCTGTGAGCTCGTCATGGCCCATACTGAGTTATGTCTGGGTCTGACAGCGGGATGTGGCTGGAAGATGGGCAAGCTCCCGGCATAGCTGTTCCTCGACTCCAACGGTGGCGGTGTATAGAGGCCTGCTTCTACCTCCTTGCTGCCAGCATTTTGGAAAGTGACCTGCACCGGCACGGCAAGTGTACTGCTGCTCTCCGATAACTGGCGCTTCTCCTTCTCGTCCGCAGACGAGTCCTCTTCGTGAAGCGTCATCGAGCTCGGCGTGGACTGGACGTTGGTGCTCGAGGATAATGTCGAGGTGTGCCGTCCCACTCGATGGCCGCACTCAGAACACCATCGGCTGTGGTCGTGTTCGGTCGAGTCTCGCGGCGTCGCAAAGCTATTGCGAGGCACTGTCAGGGTCGGGCTGCGGGTGGTCGGACTACGCATGTCGTCCTCAGAGACGACCCTGGGAAAGGCCATGTTGTCCAACGGCCGCAGAGATGAAACGAGCTCAGTGGTGTGGAGACTGGAGCAGACTGTTGGAACTCTCTGCGATAACGAGAGACAAAGAGCCAAAGCTGAGGCCGGGTCGTGGGCGTGGATGGTCTTATCTCTGGACTCGTCGAGGAAGCATCACCGATATCATCCACAGCGCATGCATGGTATGGGATGGGGAGGAAGAGGTGTCACAGCCGCAGCAGGAAGCGGGAAGCACAACACGATCGCGCCTGTGGCTGCCAATCTGTCGAACGCCCAACAGCAGCCATGGTGTCACGTTGTCATGCTGCTAGCCCGCTACCGCCGAAACCGTGAGGGTAGGATCCGCGATCTTGGACAAATGTGAGACCGTGAAGTCTAACAGTCCACATGCCTTCCGGTGGCCTCTGCGCGCTGCGCCCAGGTAACGGTTATCGTGAGCCGCAGACGTCTGCTCTCCCGCGGTTCGTGACGACGTTGGCTGGAGAGATAGCCAGGCGGTGGTGTGGCATTGAGAGGTTCCGGTCTCGGGAGTGAGCGGTCTTTCGAGAATAACAATCCCATCAAGTCTTCCTTCATCACTACAACACAGAGCAGTCCGACAATTTGAAATCCAAGCACCACCAGAACAACTCATCCAGACCGCGGCCTACACCAACACCACTTACCCTTAAGCAGCGCTCCCAAGAGCCGATCGCAGTGTCGTCAACCGTTGCCCAGAGACTACGAAAAGCGAGGAACCGTTAGACCTGACGTCCAGATACACTTTGCGGAGTCCTTACACTCCGCCAATCGCAACCGCTCAATGGGACATACACTTTGACGTTGACTAAGCCCACCACGTCCCGTCGGCTTCACGAACTCCGTGAATAGGTGGAAGTCCGGCTGAGGTTTGTTTGGGACGGTGGGTGGATGAGGGGGGTGGGTTTGTGGGTTTTCGGATTTCGTGGGAAGTGTTTTGACTTGTCAGCCTCACAACGATGGGGCACAGGGAAGCCGAAGAAGTCTCGAGTCTCGACAAACCGTTACCGCAAACAAATCTGGTCGAACCCGCGTGCCGTCGTTGAAAAAACCGTCCTCGTATCCATCCAAATTACATGTCCTATATTCATTCAATCCATTCGCCCCTATATCAATCCCTTGCAAACAACAGTCCCCGTTCTTACTTTCTTGCACGTGTCCCGTCCAGGCTGTTCTGTATAGCGCGACCCAAAGAAACACGCTGGCGCTGACCTGCATTGAACGCGTACCTGCATAAAAGCGGCAAGATACCCGCCATCTATCTCGCATCACATGCTTATTACCGTACTTCGCTTTTCGCGATCTTCCGGCTTCGTAATCTGCACGGACTTTTCAGCCTCTTCTTGCATCCCGTCCACAATCGCGGAGAGCGATTCTGATTCTGAGGATCTTTGGGATGTGCCGTCATCATCGTCACATGCTTCTGTTCTAAAGAACGACTTCCCTGCCCCGCTGCTGCACAACACGGCTCGTGATGGAATCGCAATTGCTCTATTTGGGACGGATGGTCGAGCGGGGATGTCAGACATGCTGTACTGGCGCTCCACCATTCCACTCCACTCCACTCCGTACATGCAGCCTTCCAGCCTCTCTTCGTCGCTTGATAAGCCTTGACTTCTGGGCTTGCTTTTTTGTGTTTGTTGAGGCCGCGATATCGAAGGATCTCTTCGGATTGAGGAGAGGTCGATGTTTCGCGATAGTCTTCACGATGTCTCGAATCTTTTCGCGGAAGCAGGTTTATCCTTGGTGAAGATGACAGCCTGCGGAAGTTGCGTTGAGTCAGTGCATGCAGAACATGCCCCGAAAGGGTGCCTCTTCGACTTCAAAAGGTCGGCGTGGTAAATGGATAAGGAAGGGTAAGAATGAAAGATGGCGGGTATCTTTTTCTTCGCACACAAGTATGAACATTAGCTTCAATAATCTCAATCGCTAATCAAAACTGCAGGTCTAGAAAGGCCATGGGAAAGCTGCGTCTAGGTGGTATCAAACAACAATCAATCACACACACACGCCCCAGAAAAATCAGTCAGTCAGTCTAGACTCGCGAGCGCAAAAAGCAGCAGTAACAAAGGAGATGGTATCATTAGTGGAGCAGGTCTTCGCTCCTCCTCTTCTTCTCCCCCTCGTCTCGAAAGGACAGTGGCATTGACTTGCGTCTTGTGGTTGTTGCAATTGTGTTCGGTCTTGGCTTCGGTGATGCGGAGACATCTCATGTCTCAGCGGTTGGTCTCGATGTTGCCGGTGAGTTCGGCGACACGGGCTTTGATTCGGGCAACACGAGACTCGATAGCTGTGGCGAAGTTAGCAACAGTCCATCTAATACGAACGGCATGCACTCACTCTCTTCTCCAGATGTTTCGCCATCGTCGGTGCGCTGTGTGCTGTGGTCCTCGCTAGCTCGCTCAGGTGCCTCTTCTCGATGTCGTGCAGCTCGTTTATGTGCATTCTCACGAATTGTTGCCCATCGATCTTGGACAACGCCAGCATCATGGTGGTCTTCGATCTCGGACTCGTCCTGCTTAGATGTTAGTCATGCTCTTTCCAAAGGACGTCCCTGGCTGTCGAATACATACTTCTGAGACGGGTGCATCAAAAGGCAGCACTTCGGCGCCGGAATCAACCTCTGGATGCAGACGCTTAGCAGTCTCGGTGTTGAATTGGCGCTGCGGTGGTTCTGGCGAAGGCTCGGGTTCAGATTCGGGCATGGTGGCCGGCATGTCCTCTACGGGACCTTGGTCGAAACGTGCAAACTCTCGCTCAGCTGCTTCACGTTCATGAGTACTACTCCGTGATCCGTCAACAGGTGAATGGTCGTAGGCACCGTGGTCGGCCGTCATGACGGGTTCCTGGTTAGCAAAGGCAGTCTGCGCTGCGACAGAAGCAGCATTCGGCTTTTGCGCAGGAGCATTGCTTTGCTTCTTCCTCATGAGTGAGAGGCGTCGAGCAAGACCTTGTTCAGCTGGCGGTGCAAGACCGTTGCTACCTGGACGCGGCAGTTCGACGGAGTCGCCACGGCCGCCGCCTTCCTTCTTCTTGCCGAACAGTTTCTTGAAACCACCAGGCTGGCTTTGCGGCACCTGCTTCTTGGGCTTCAACTCTGGGCTGGTACTCCCCTTCGCCTGCATAGCCTTCACGGCTGCCATCGCAGCGGCTGTCTGCGTTGGGCTGGATGGCTGTTTCTTGGGACTGTCAACACTTTGCTTACGAAATGCTGGATGATCGTCTTGGCGAGGCACTGGCTTTCTGCCGACTTTCACTGACGCAGGTGACGGCTTCTCGACTGCTAGCTCTTTGTCCAGGGCCGTCGGTTGAGTCGGCGCTTCAGACTCCCTCGATGGTGTTGGTGCTGGGGCAGGGGCAGGCTCCTGCTGCAGTTGCTCAGGGTCAAGAGTTGGGGCAACAGGCTCAACGGGTATAGGCTCTGGAGCCGTAACCTGCTGCGCTGGCGCTGGAGTATGAACAACAGGTTCAGGCGCACCAACAGGAGCAGCCTCCTTGGGCACTGCTGGAAGATCACGCTCCACCGGGAACGTTGAGGTTGCTGCAGGCTTTGGTGAAGCCGCAGGGGTAATGACACTCTTTGCTCCATCATTGAGGTTGACCGAGGATGTGTTGCTGGCGAGGTTCTCCCTTGACATGCCTTTTCCAGCAAATGAGTCTCCAAGATACTGCTGGCGAACAGCGTGCTTGTCGTACGAGCTGGCCCATTTCATAGCTGGGCCAGCCTCACTTTGCAACCCAAGTGTCAGCATGCTGTTGGTTTTGGTCGACTGTCCCTCTTCATTTCTGCCACGTCTAGCACTGTCGGGCTCGGTCGTATCCTGCTGGCGGGTCAACGCTCTGGCTGCAGCTCGAATCTTGGCGTGCTGGTCGGTTGAGATGCTGGTCTTGCTAGGGGTGGCAGAAAGCACACGCTCCGGCTGATCCTGAGACGAGTGCTTGTTGGTTGAGCGCTTGCGGCCGAGTCGTCCTCGTTTCGTGAAGCTAAACAGGCTCTTCTTGGGTGCGATGTAGACGCCCTCAGCTGGATCTGGGTTGGCACCCTTGACTTGTTCTTCCATAATCAGCCAACGACCGTTCTGGATGCTAGTCTCGACGAGAGCACATCGGCCAAAGACAGCTTTGCGGTCTGATGGTTCCTCGCCGGCTAAGCTTGTAATCCAGACCCACCAGAAGGCATCGTCAAGCTCGACAGTGGTGATAGCCGCAAGCTCACCAGGTGCAAGATTCTCATCGTCACCGGCAAGATGGCCTGGTGAAGACGAACGACTTCCAAATTGTGGGAGGATCTGCGCCGGAGGGTAAAGCAAGGTTGGTGATTTGACCGTATCGTCGTCAGAGAACCCAGAAGAAAGGAAGTCAGCCCAGGACGGGGTCGTGGGGCGGTTGGTGTCTGCGTTTCTCGAGCGTGGTTGTTCTCGAAGACCATTTCCAACAGTCTTGGTTGAACCGTTCATGCTGTTCGGCGACTTTTGAGACAGGGCACGCTCATCGAGGTCGGCGAAACCTAGACTCTGGAAGGCAGACCAGGACTCGTCTGGCTTCGCAATGCCTTGTCTGGAGCGGGCCACGTTTGATTGGTTTGCAGTAGCCACGGCGTACAAAACCCGCTTGCACTCCTCAGTCAACGCGTCAACGGGATCCTCATACTCAGCGAGCTCACGCAGCACGCGGTCTTTGTCTCGATATTCGAAATTCTTGGCCCTTCGCAACAGTGCGAACGGCGTGGACGACACAGTATCGACAAGCATCACAACGCGGGGCGTGGTCCGCTGAAGCAAGGTTGGCGTCTCTGGTGGATACTCGGTCGAAGCAACCAGCGCTTGAAGTGAGCGGGGAATGCGCTCAATCACATTCATGGATGGGTTGGTGTCAGGAGACAGAGACCGCAGATAGGCGAAGAACAGATGGCTGGAAGCATCTGCAGCCGCGGTCCAAGACTTGTAGCCTCCCTCAAAGCCTTTGCCATCGTCTGAATGGTCGAACGCCCACCAACCTGCTAAACGAGACAGCTTACGTCCAGTCAAGCCGTTCATCTTCCCATGGGCTGCCACAGCGGCCATGAGATCGAAGAAGTCGAAGATGATGCTCTTGCGAGCCTCCGAGTCGACCCCAATGGGGATGAATGTGTCGAAAGCATTGCGAGCGAGTTTGGACTCCTTCTCGCCCATGCGAAAGCCATCGTAGACGGGCCAGGAGACCACACCACCGGGCATGCGGCTCCAGCACCATTTCATTATACTGCACAGCACGACCGAATCGGTGAGTCGCAGCTCTTGCTTCAATGCCTCCCCCTTGTACTGTGACGAACGCTCTGCGTTCGACTTGTAGTAGTTCCTAATGAAAGTGCGTGCGCCTTGCGGGTCTGAGTCTGGTCTGAATGGGAGCAGGAAGAAGGGAGCATCGAGCGCCTCGGCTGTGGTATTGTCAGTCACATGCTGTGTCCCAATGGTGCTCCAACGGCGTACCTCGCGACTTCATCTCCAAGGTACACACGTGGACCAGCTCTTTGACCTCGTCCGGCACAATGACAGTACTTTCCCATCGCGCCTGCCATTTGGGCTGCCGTGGTGCAGCCAGAGCTCCAGCGCCATTCTCGCCCAAGTGCTTGCCCTTGGATGTCGGTTGCGCGCCCTTATTCTTAAAGCGGGAGAACAGCGGCATTTTGCAATTAAGTGGCTCGACGAGTAAGCCGATAGAGAATTCGAATACGAGGGTATCGATGCCGGCGGATACAGGAAGGGAAAGTCGATCGCAATGGAGGGAGAGCGTCTGGCGGCAGGTGTGCTGGTGCTCCGCGGTCTAAACTTGGGGGGTCGCGCGTGTGTGGCGGATCGGCGTGGTATTAGAAGGGAAGGAGGTAGGGGAATAAAAATGCAGCGCAAAGGCGCGCGTGAAGAAGGGAAGGAGAGGCGTGGTCGGCAGCGCGAACAACAGCACAGCGCAGAAAACAACAACGAACGCAGCAGCAGCGACGACGTGATAAGGTCCAGGTTAAAGGAGTCGTACTTTTAGAGCAATGCGCTGTGAAGGAGCGGAGCAGGGGTCTGTGATGAGCGAGCCAATGGCAGCGCCCATTCGGAGTCGTTCCTGCTGCCCATCCGTCGCTCGTCTCGGCACGCGTCTGTCTCCCGCCGCCGGGGATGGCATTGATTTGAAGTCCCCTGCTTTTTTCACCCACTCGCCCTCGCACAGCACAGCAGCCTGCCTCGCGGCTCGATCAAGCAGCTGCGGTGGCACCGTGGCTCAAGAATCGCAACGTCACCTCGTTGTTTCAGCCTGCGCAGCCTGCATCATCTGACCAGCTCCCATCGCCGCCAACACGCCGCAAAAACAGGAATTGTGCAGGAAGAAGCTCCAGCAAGGTTGCCTCGACGTTGAATAGCCGCTCCGCGCTAGTCTCTCTTGCAGCTCCGCCTTTGAGTTAGGAAACTTTACTTTGACAGGAGCTTCTGCACCTCACTCGGACGGAATCCCTCGACCAAAAGACCCTCCCGAATCAGAGCCGTCGCAGATAGATATAGATCGGGACAGCATCCAGCCGCATCAGCCACTTGCCTGTTTCAGCGATTAGCAACTTCCTTGCCTTCCCCGCCTAGGCGAGAGACTGGAGCTCGCCGAGTCCTCTCCGAACAGACTTCATTAAAGGACGACGCCCATTGATTCCAAAACACCTAGATCCGATGTTAGCAATTTGCGTCCACGAGCTTTTGGATTTCCTCATACGGCCTGCACGAGATTGTGTGGGCTTGTCGAAAGCGGGAACCTGCATAAAACAGCCTTGGATTGTCCGATGACTGCGCTGCATGACAACGTAGCAGATACTTCGTTGCATTTTCTCTCGTGCATCCACAGCCTGGTGCAGCGCAATAGGCTTGAGTTCGAACCGTATCTTTACGGTTTGATTTCGTTCAGATGGAGAACCAAAAGACTACACAGCACATCGAGCGACTCACGCAAAGGTTCGCAGATGCAATTAATGGACGAGACTTCGATCTCTCATCGCCCGCCTGGGATAACGTCGCCAAAGGGTTTGCTGCTGAGGCCGAATACCCTCATTTCCCCAGGAAATTGGAATTGCCAGAGCTGTTCGACATGTTGCGGAATCTGACTGCGGTCTTCCCAGACTACGTTCTTCGTCTCAAGGAGCTCAACACGACGGTGTATGAGAAAGCACGCCACGCGGAAGTCTTCATGAAGGTTGAAGTGGAAGGTGCGCCTGAAGGTGTTACCAAGCAAGGCGTTGGCATTCTCGTCTACCGATTGATTGATGAGAAGTGGTGGTTGGTAGAACATCGAACAGCCTCAGGCATGGACATGACCGGGCGAGAATAGCGTCAACTCATCTATGCCAGATGTCACTTCGACAAAGGAGTCAAACGCATAGGACAACCATCTCGAGACTCAAAGGAACATGAAGTCGATGATGCTCAGATGTTGTGACGTCATGAATACCATTATATCAAAATGCACATTAAGAAGAACATCAAGAACCATAGCCTAATTACACCGAAGCACAGAATCAACAACTTCCCACAATCAATCCATTGACACCTACCAACAACCCAAGTAAACCAACCATCAAAATGGTCAAAGACAACGAAACCGTCATCTCGTAAAACAGACCCTCCCCCCTTGCCTCCCACCCATCAAACTAACCCCTCCACCCAGAGAATTCAACGACCTAGTCAACATGACCGCCTCCGAACTGCAAGCCTGGCTAGGAAAAGAAGAATCCGCCGGCGCAGGCTGGGACAAAGACGACGGCTCGGGCGAGACGATCGGTCATGAGAGGTATTGTAACATGACCTAACCTACCCACAACCTAGACCCGTTGTGCTTGTTGCTGTTGCTGATGCGGTCTGGTTGGGTGTAGTGGTCGCAAGATCATCGACATCCTGGAGAAGAACCCGAAGAAGGAGCCTGAGAAGTATGATCAGGATGACATTGATCATATGAGGAGGGTTGTTGCTTGTGAGTCTTTCTTGAGGTGTCTTTGAGGTGGGTGTGGAGTTTTTGACTGATTGATTGCTTTTGTAGACAACAAACGCCATTTGGCTCAAGAAGGCAAGGCCAAACAGGATCCTAACAGCAAGAGTGCGAAGAGTCTGAAGAATTGGGGCCATGATCCACAGAAGTCGTAGAGTAACTCTCGTAAGGCAAGACTTACCTGGTCGAGAGAGGTATATATTAGTCAGTTTTCACCATCATCAGCAGTCTTCAAAGTGGTTTTCGATTTGGTATCTCTCATCAAAGCTTTTGCCCCACCCCTCTAGGCGACCCTTCTCAGTCTATCTATTGTTGGCTGAAAGCATTGCCCCGAGTAATCGAACCACCCGCATCGCCCAGTCCTTCCACCGGGCGATTGTAACTCCAACCCGCAAACTGCTGCTGCATCGTCTGGGACAGCATGGGTCCGTCAACATAGGAATCGGTAGGCGCTTCTGAGGTGAACTCCTTGTCGAAGTTGGCTGTGTCGCGCTCGTCGATGACACTTGGCTTGAACGATGGCTCGTACTTCCTGTCGAGAAGCTTGCGCCAATCGATGCTGTGGAAGAAGGGATGTGCCTGCGAGAGCGTTAGCTTGATGCCGTCGAAAGTTTGTTTGTAACTCACCTTGATCTCAGCAGCACCGTTGGTGCCAAGTCGTCGAGTCGCGTCTCTGTCCAGAAGCTTGCTAAGCAGATCTCTGGCGGCAGGAGGAACGATCTCTGGACCCGGGAAGTGCAGTGGCTCCGACAAGATCTTGCGGTACATCTCGTTGGTGTTCTCGTCGTAGAAAGGTGGCAGGCCAGTAAGCATCTCGTAAAGGAGGACGCCCAGCGTCCACCAATCAACTGCCTTGGTGTAGCCTTGACCGTGCAGCAACTCGGGTGCAAGGTACTCTGGAGTTCCGCAGAAAGTGTTGGTCTTGTCCTCATCCTTCATGTCCAGCTTGCAGAGACCGAAATCGCAGAGTGCGATGTGGCCAACGTAGTCAACGAGGATGTTCTCTGGCTTGAGATCGCGGTAGATGACGCCGAAGCCGTGCAAGCACTCCAGAGCGCATAGCAGCTCTGCAGCGTAGAATCGCGATCGGTTGATATCGAATCTCTGCTCCTTCTGCAGATGGTGGAACAGCTCTCCTCCGTTGACGAACGCCAGAACCAGGTAAAGCTTGTCGGGTGATTGGAAGGAGAACTTGAGTGGCACAATGAAGGGATTGTTAATCTGCGCCAGCACCGAGCGCTCGGCTAGCGTGTGGGCCACTTCGGACCTCGAGATGATGTGCTGCTTGCGGATGGTCTTGAGGGCGTAGATTCGGGAGGTGTCCTTCTTCATGACCTGCATGACCTTACCGAAGCTGCCCTTGCCGACTACCTTTAGGAGCTCGAAATCCTCAACCTTGAGCGATCGTTGCCTGGCACAAGTCAGCAACAGCGAGTAAAGCTATGCCACAAAAGGAGAGCGTTTTTCAATGACGATGCTTCGTCAATATAAGCTCCGTTGTAGTGTACGACTTACCTGTTCTCCACGAACTTGACCCCTATCCGGATCGATCCAGTCCCGTACTGTACCTCATGCCATTGCACGCCCGACACATTGCCACCATTTGAAGATGACGCCGGGGGCATGCTCTTGTCCTTCTTTCCGCTCTTTCCATCTGAGCTTGATGGTGGTTGTTGCGCTGCACCGGACTGCGCATCTTCTGAGAATGTCGGTGTGATGCGACACGTGCCGATGAAGATGTCTTGCTGCCTGCCGGCATTTGGCGGAGCTGACGGATTGCGAATGTACAGAGACAGGTTGAGCTCTGTTGATCTGCTAACGTCGAACTTATACTGCGTGCTCTCTCCAGCCCAGATAGGGTTCTCTGGTGTGCCGGACACTGAGTTCACGAACACCTGTTGCTTGTCAAAGTCCACCAAAGCATACGGCAAGTATTTGCTGCTGTATCGCCCGTGAGTCGAGGGCGCATTGTTGATCCCACCGCCGCCGCTGGCAGAGACCGGTCTGAATCCACCTTGTGCCGCACTCGAACCTGGTCGTGCGCTATTTCCGCCCATGTAGCTACCCGAGAACGATCCAGTGCTCATACTGCCGCCATGTCCAGGTCTTGCAAATGCTTGCTCGGCGCCTGGCGGCAGGCTGAATCCTCGACCCTCATGTAGCGTTAGGATGAGGATACCAGGCTTGGCGGGTGCTGCGGTGGCCGTTGCCATCTGCTCGGAGGCGACTATGCCTTGCGGATCGCTCGCGGTTGATCCATTCGTGGTGCTGGGAGTGATGGGGTTCGAGGAGGGGGGTTCGGACGCAGGCGATTTCTGGGGCGCTTCAGGAGTGATGGTGGACTGGGAGGAGGAGCGGGAGAAGCCAAGGTGCGTCTCTTTCAGCTTCTTGGTGAGTTTCCAGGACATTTTCTCGGTGTTTCGTGCAAGTGAGTGTGTTGACGGACAATTCCTCTCACGATGCGAGAAAAGGAGAGGAGGTGTTTGGGGAGGAGGCTGTGTCGTCGTGATTGTGTGAGCAAGTACGCGACACGAGGAAGGAGCAAGCCGGGGTCAAGGGTCCGACCTGGCTTACGTAGTCAATGGCCACAATGCTGCTGCGCCTTCAACTTCAACTTCTATTTCTCGAGGACAGTTGTTGAAAATTGTGCAAGTCTTCAGACGATTCTTGACTATAGAGGTGCATGATGGGCAGACATGCATTTGAGTCGAACTGGACTCCAGCTGAATTCCTCGCTACAGACGCGAGAACGGTTCTGCTTAACCGTCGACGATGCCCGACCAAACAACACAAATCTAAAGGTGCATTTGCCCTTTGCCACAGGTGACGTATGTATAGCACTACCCCAGTTGTGTTACGAGTGTCAAAGGCAACTGTTCTCTGGCAAAGAAACCGATCAACCGAGAACTCTCGGGGAAGCTACAAGTCTTTCATTGCCATAGTAAGACTCGAGCCTTTTCGACGGAAAAAAATGTTCTTGAAATCACATTCTGTTCGCCCACCCTCCTTCGCGATTCTGAATTCATACAACTGGGTTTCCTTGTGGGGGCTGCAATGTGATCTCAAACGTGTCTGTCTCTAGTAGAGATCTGGCAAGTTCTCGTTTGATAGAACAATTAAGTACCCCCATATCCGATAGAGTGAAACATCCCGTGACATATCCGACCTCTCTTCCGCTTGATGCTTGTGTGTGCTGTACCAGGTATTCGAGGACTCTGCTGTGATGTCTAGGGGGCGAGCAGCATGCATTCGTGGCTGCTTTGCCACATGCTCAGAGTCGTGTACAAGCGCCGTTTTCACGAGTACGGTCTCCACTACACGGTCTCTGATATGTAGACAGGCGTACAACAGGTGACGAGACAAGTTGAAGAGTGAATGTGGTTGACTGATCCGTGCTGAAGGCGCCAAGTGATCGCCACGTGGAGTTGGAACTAGCTCGGAACTAAAATCGTGTCTCCGCCGCAACCCCAACTTCACCTCTCGGCCGGCTTGTGATCGAGAGGCAGGCGCCGTGTGAAGTCACATCAGAAGCACCTCTCACGCACGTGGACGACACAACACGCCTGCGCGACGACAATCCATGCTCAACATACCATAACACAGCATGGGTCTCATCACCAAAGCCAAGTCCGCCGCCCCTCGCGCCGACTCGGGCTCAGGCGGCGGCGTCAAGTACATCTGCAACGTCTGCAGCAACGACATCACTTCGACCGTGCGCATCCGATGCGCCAGCAAACAGTGCCCCGACTACGATCTCTGCGTCCCGTGCTTTGCGCGCGGTGAATCAAACCTCCATCACAACCCGCGGGAACACCCGTACCAGGTGATCGAGCCACACAGTATCCCGATCTTCGACGGAGGATGGGGCGCCGATGAAGAGCTGCTACTTTTGGAAGGTGCGGAGCAGTATGGGCTGGGGAGCTTTCAGGACATCGCCGACCATATTGGCGGCTTTCGAGAGAAGGACGAGGTGCGGGACCACTACGTCCAGACATACATCGACTCCTCGAACTTCCCGCTACCTGAGCGCGCAGATCCAGGAGACAAGAGGCTGAGCGAACAAATACCAAGAGATGAATTCCAGCAGAACAAGAAGAGGAGGATAGACGAGCGCAAGAAAGCCAAGGAAGATGAACCTCCAGCTGCAGCTGCTCAGGTCAAGTCCTCGCAGCCGAGTTGCCATGAGGTCTCAGGATATATGCCAGGTCGACTGGAGTTTGAGACTGAATACTTCAACGAAGCTGAAGAAGCGGTGCAGCATATGCAGTTCTCGCCCGAGGAAGGCTGGAATCCTGTCACAAAGACGTTCGATCCGGAGACAGAGCTCAAGATGGTGGTTATGCAGATCTATAACGACCGACTTACGGCACGTACAGATCGCAAGAAGGTCATCTTCAACCATCGACTGCTTGAATACAGAAAGAACCAAGCAATCGAGAAGAAGCGCACGAAAGAACAGCGAGACCTGCACCACAAATTGAAGCCCTTCGCGAGGATAATGTCCCATGCGGATTTTGTAAACTTCTCTGAAGACTTGGAGAAGGAGCACAATCTGCGACAAGCAATCGCTCAACTGCAAGATTGGCGACGACATCGCATCTCCACACTTGCCAACGGCGAGAAGTACGAGACCGAGAAAGCCGCAAGACTTGCCCGGAGCGCGTCGCAACTTGGCGCATTCGACCGCATGTCCAACGGAGTGCGACCCAGTAAACCCCAGGCGAACGCCGGAGTACCTGAAGTCCCACAGGCAGTGGTTGAATATACCACCAAAGCAGACCTCCCCGTCCGACTCTCACCCACGAATCAACAGAATCAAGCAAATGGCGCACCCCCAGGCGACACTCCCAAGCGACCGCCGCTGCAACCCATTCCCAATCTCAGCCCCGCAAACTGGGACGAAGAATCAGCACCAGATTTCCAGCTCCTCCTACCAGCCGAGCAAGACCTCTGCAACAAGCTGCGACTACATCCCAAAGCGTACATTTGCATCAAAGACGCAGTACTGAGGGAGGCGATGAAGTCGGACGGCAAGCTCAAAAAGAAGAACGTGAGGGAGATTAGCAGGATTGATACCACGAAGGGAGGGAGAGTGTTTGAGTTTATGTGCGATATGGGCTGGTTGGGCAACGCGGCGAAGTCGTGAGGACGGGGTGTATGTGATGATGGAGAATGGCTTTTGGGACGATGAGACGAAACTGGGAAAGGGACGCTTGGTTAATGTGTAGCATTCAATTCCAGGATTTTGGGACCTGCTGGTCTCGAGAACTTCGCTGTCGAGACTCATATGAGCCGTGAGTTCTGTACTTGATGTCAGGACTGGTGTGGCGACTCCAAGAACTTATGAGCTTGCATGCTCCCTCTCTGACCTGTTCGAAGCTTCCGATGTCCTTCTCAATGAGAGTGCCTTCTCGTAGCACCTTCCCATTTCCTCGATGTCTTCCACTGACTTTGAGAGGCCATAGGATATCCTCTCAGTGTCTACCATCTCCACCAGTGCAGCTGCATAATGAGCTGTCGAGGATGGATTCGATGACGGAGGCTTGCGATCGCATCGGCTCTGTTTCATTCATCCTCGTCCTCATCCTCTTCGAAGATCCAAACGTTCGGTTCCTTGATCATGGCAAGGACGATGGACTCTCCTTTCAGGTTCAACGCCTTCCTGTCCTCTTCGAGGCCCTTGATGTAGCTCACGAGCTTCTGCTGATGCTCCGCGACTTGTTCATTTCTTGTGTCGGTGAAATCGATTGTCAAACCGTGGCGATCCGAGAAGGTGAGAATGCAATCCCAGAAAGAGTAGATGTGGAAGTAGACAGTTCGAAGGTATCTGAAGTATGCTCCGGCGGCGTCCACTACCCATGCTCGTACGAGTCTGTTTGCGTGCTGCGCGCCCTCCCAGTCGTAGCAAGGGGGTAGCAGTGATTTGAAACTTGTGGTACCCACGAGCAGGCTCAAGGACTCAGCTCGTATTTGTCGGCTCACGTAAGTCAGAGGTGGCAGCCGGTAGCGTCCATCCAGATAGCAGCTGACCACCAGGACGCCACGACATTTGTTGCCAAACGACTTTGATTGGAAGTACAGATCGTAAATCCGGTTGCGAAGTTCAGCAGGCAATGAAAGGAGACGGAATGGCCAGCATAGCTTCTGAAGATGGGCGAGGAGGCGAGGCGCATCGAACCTGTCTTCTACAGGGACTCGTCCTAGGAGATACGGTTCCACCTCGCTGAATATGGCGAGTGACGCGTGGAGGCTCTCTTGCCAGCCAAGTTTTCCCATAAGTCCATATTTTGGATTAAACCAGCTGATCCTGGAGAGCTGTTTAGCCTGCAGAATTGAGCTCATCTCCGTCGACCATGATTTGAAGTCTCCGCCGAAGTCGAGCTTGACCGTGCAGCTAGTCATTGTGTCGCGTCGTGTCGTGTCGTATAGTTGATGTGTGCTGTTGTGTCTGAAGTGACGATGAAGTTCGCGGGAGGTGGCAGAATTTTAGCGACTTTCAAGAGGAAGGAGCTCTCGACGCACGGGCCAGGAGAGATCAGCGCGATCACATGAAAACATGTGAAACTTTGATGGAGAAGGCCACTAAAGCCTGATTACTACCATATCTCAGTTTGGAGCACAACGATGGGGCTCATCACCACTAATCTAATCTTCGCTCTCTTGCCTTTCACCTTCTCCTCCGCCCTTTGTACAACCAAGTGCACTTTTTACTTCCATTTCTATCGCGACGCCCATATCACACCATCTCAGTAACTCCCCATTGCCTCTCTCTCGACTCCGAGTCTCGAGAGATACTTGCTCATTCGCCTTGATCATCGCTCCACACCCAGACCTCGGGGTCCCTGATCAACGCCAGAACGATAGACTCGCCCTTCAAATCCAGTACCCTGCGTTCTGCCTCGATCTTCTCGGCGTGCTCTTTGAGCTGCTTCTGCTTAGCCTCCGCTTTTTGATTGGCATATATCCACGCGTCATCACTTTCTAGACTGATCTGAAGGCCACTGTGCTCCGTGAAAGAGAGATTGCAGTCGAAGCCCGGAAACGTGGACATGTGGTACGAAAGATTAACAGCGCGGAGATGTCTCAGATATGCCTTTGCGCAGTTTTCGGCCCACAATTTTACGGTGTCGATGTTGTGCAGAGCTTGAGACTCATCTTCGCTAACGGGTAGCGAGATATCAAGCGTCCTTGATGAGATGAAGAGGCTGAGAGATTCCTGGCGTATCTGCCGACAGGTCTTGGTCAGGCTCGGCAGGACAGAAGTGGTTGCCATAGGAAGACCGTCGTCGAGTACGTTGTGAGGTCCTGGTGCAACCGCAGCGAAGTACATTTCATAGATACGAAAGCGGAGCTCGGCGGGTAGATCCAGGATCCGGAAAGGCTTCGAGAGTACGGCGAGGTGGGCGAGAAGCTTTCGAGGGAGGAATCGGTCTCGGTGCGGCACACGCAAGAGGAGGCTGGTGGAGACGTGGTTGTAGATGATCACCGATGCTTCGAAATTTCCTTCTTCCATGTTCTCCTTCTCATCGTGGCTAAGGTAGCTTTGACGTCGGGGTTCGCAGTAAACCAGCAGTCCCTTGCCATGCTTGGCGCTTAGCGCAAAGTAGACGTCCTTCCACCACTGATCGTAGTCCCCACCGATATCGAGCTTGACTCTGGGCCGGGCCAAGGCTCCGTTTTGCTGTTCCATGATGTCTGTGTTGGGGATGTAGGGTGTAGGATAGAGAAGAAGGTGGAAGAAGTCAAGCGAGCTTCTCGCGGCAAGAGCTCCATGGGCACGGGCCGCAGAAATCACATGCAAACGCGAATTGGATTTAGCGCTGAAGGCGCACGGGTCATGTCCATACTCCACGACACGTCAAGCCACTACACCACCAATCTAATCTTCAACTTATCCTCCCTAACAATCTCCTCCCTCTTCGCCTCACCCACCAACTCCGGCAAATCCCACGTACAATTCACATACCGTCCACTCAACCACTCCCTCCTCTCAGCACTCAAAAACACCATCGAATCCGCCGGCAACTGCGGCACCTCCGTAAACACCGCCTTGAGCTTCTCATCGAACCCCTCGCCGTGACCCACAATCTCCGTGAGCATGTTGCCCGGGTGGACCGAGATGGCGATGAGGCCTTGCTCGGCATTCTCGGCTGCGACGAATTGTGTGAAGCGCAGGACGGCGAGCTTGGAGGTTTGGTAGGCTGAGAGGGTTGGGCCGACGACGTGGGCGCCCACGCTGGAGACTGTGATTAGGGTTTTGAGGTCGGATTCTAGGAGGAGGGGGAGGCAGGCGCGGGTGACTAGGTAGGGGCCTCGAAGATTGACGTTCACTGCAAGGATCGTGTCAGTATGTTCACAATGTCAAAGGAGTCGGGAGGTACTTACTACACCACCACCAATCCTCTGGATCACTCTCGCCAACCAACCCACGCCCAGCAAAGACTCCAGCGTTGTTGATCACGACATCCAACTTCCCGAACTTCTCTCCAATCTCCTTCACCGCAGCATCCACGTTCTTCTGATCGGTAATATCAAGCTTCAGCAAAAGGATCTGCGGTTCCGACCGTCCAGCTTTCTTCGCCGCCGTTTTGACATCGTTCTCAGTGTCTGAGAGACTTGACCGTGCGCCGATGGCAATGTACGATGCCCCTGCTTTGGCGTAAGAAGCTGCAGTGTCTCGACCGACGCCCTTGGATGCTCCCGCGATGAAGACGGCTTTGCGAGACAAGTTGAGTTTGGCTGGATCGATTCCGGGGTAGCTTTCGTTGTGGACTTCTTTGGTCATCGTATAGTCACCTGGTGACAGGTTAGCAAGAGGATGTTGCCTTCATAGGAATAGGAACTGTAGCCTACCCGGACCCTCGATCGGATTCCATGTTCCCTGTGGCGGAGGCATTTTCTTCGTCGTCTAGTCTCGATTGCGTTCGAGTAGTCGTCGATGAAGTTGTGCCTTCACTTTGAGCGGTTCGATCGTTCTTATATCTCATTTACAGTCGTTGCAAGGCGGAGACATCAACAAGTAGCTCCGTAATGACGACGGCGTCGTTGTCCGGTTCAAGACTTGTCAATTGTCTGTGAGGCTGTGATCCTGTGCGTCTTAGGGCAGGAGGAGCGGCCGATGTCAATATTTTGAGCTAGCTTCAAGTGGCAAGAGAGCTTGCCCTCCTGGTGTATCAGAGGGGTGGCTACGCGGTGGGGCGGCCGCAGGTATCGGATTTAACGAAGAAATTGAAGACTCTCAAGAAGCGGTAGAAATCGTGCCCTTATGCAGATACTGCAAGATGCTCCAATCGATCGTGAATCAACACTCAGTCTGGTGTCTTACCATCAGCCCAGCTTGGCCCAATCTCCCTACAAACTCCGACGTAGTCATTCCACCTCTCCTCATTCTCCACAACTCCATCACCTGTCCAGAACATCGTCCAGTTGCTGTCTGGAATCTGCCAGGTCCCTGCTGATCGCTCAAAGTACCACTTGTTGACTGGGTTGTCTTTCCTGCTTCGCCAGCAAACGCCTTTTGGGAAGCATGTTCGAACCATGGCTTGGAATACGATGTCTGCGACGCCACTCGAGCCTTGAGACGATTGCAGCACGGCGAACTTGTCGAGATATGGAACCAATCGCTTTGGATCGTTTGTTCCTGGAGGCATCTCCCACGTCAGGATTGCACCACCCTCGTACTCGCCAGCAATAATCAGACCAGCTATTCGTCCATGTACGCGACGCAGGTAATGCTGAACGTCCAACTTCCGCCTGAAGCTATCTTCGATCAGATGAACAAGACGTGGGAGATCGACTCGGTGATCCTGATCTAATCGCAGATCAGTGATGCCTTTGAGAGGTGTTTGCCATCCAGTGGCACGAGGCGCAGCTGGTACGATGGTGACTGGCATGCCTCGTCGCAAGACTGTGGCTGCACTTAGTGCTGTACTTTCTCCCTCGCCACTCGAAAAACGACCACTAGGCAGGGATGAAGAGACCAAGGGCTTGTTGGTGAGTAGATTGTGGATGAGAGGGTTCTTCTGCCTTCTCGTGCCCGTCTCGAGTGGTCTCGAGCTTGAACCTCGCGAGGAACTTGCCGCTTCTCGAGGGGTGGCTATCAAAGCCGACGATGCCGCGGGCAGCAGCTCCAGGCACTGGCGCATCATGTCCATGTTCTTCTGATGCTGTTCATACACCGTGTGACGGATCGGAGACTCGCTGTTGTCCTTCGCGTCTGCTGCGTACTCAGACAGCTCTTTGTGGATGTCTTCAAATTCCTGCTCAAGGTTGATAAAGACATGTGCGCCGTCCCCGCGGTCCTTACTAGGAATTCCGCCAACCGAGTCAAGAAGGATGATTCTATCCAGAGATGTCGATTCTGCAAGCTGCGCGGAAGACTTGTCGAGTCCAGCAAGGTGCTTGGTTAGCCCCAGCATGATATCTGTGGTTGCGACTGGTACGATTTGACCGGAGACTGTGTATGCCAAGGAGGGCACGACAGTGATCATTCCACGTTTCAGTGGCTCGATTAGTAGATTGGGCAATGTGACGTGGACATCGCCGTCAGAGTCTGAAACTTCAAGTGCTTCGAGCACTGGTCGTCCTCCCTCTGGGTTGTGTCGATCGATGGCATCACATAACCGATCTGCTTGTTCTGCATGCAGCTTTCGACGAGCTCGAACTTCATCCGGTTTGCTGGCATCGTGTCCATTCGAGTCCAAAACAACGACAATCTTCATGTCAAGCTTGACAAGTTGTGAAAGCGTCCTTGCGAGACCGTCCAATGTTGTATCGTCGATCTTCTCGGGATATCGGAGACATGTCAACGCAACATGCAATTCCTGACGTGGCTGGGCTTTGGCCTGAACATCTTTGTGCTGTGAGAACTGAGGAGTGTCCGCAATGGCTCTTGCAGGAGCATATAAGCCACCCAAATTCACCCTGGTGCGATCTACTCGCTGTTGGTCTTGACGAAGACGAGCATTTTGCTCTTCGTTGCTATCAGGAGACTTCGTGTCAGAAGCTGGTTTCGACTTCCTTGGAGGCTTGAATCGAGCCAGATACTGTTTGGCGTCCCGTCTGGTCGCATTCGCTTCGAGGACATTGACAAACAGTTCTCGCTGCGTCGCTGGAGATTCAATCCTGGAAGCATGCTTGCCATTGACAGCTGGTGCTGGAGCATTCGAGTATTGGCGTGAACATTGCAAGAAGCTCAGTTTAAGCCCCCCGAATGCGTTTGCCTTTCCACACGCCAACATAGAGGTAGTCATTTTCCATAGTACGACAGAGGGCGGTCAAGATCTGATAAGAAGCACGAACCAGAGAGGGCCGAAGTCGAGCCGGTTGCTGTTACGCTGCGAAATTGGCGAAGCGGTGCTCCATCCGGGCACCTCGTATCAAGGCCAAGTCGTAGAGTGGGATTGGAAGTGAAGAAGATGTTGTGGGTGCGGGCAGGCGTGAGTAATAGATTCCTCGAAAACTTTAAGCGAGTCTGCCGCATGCCGCCTTGATCATCTTATCTGATGGAAGTGGCGTTCCCTGCAGGCAGGGACAATGTAACCCAAGGCACGGGCAGTGCGAAGATCTCAACGACAAGGCAGCCCGACCCAGATGGCTACTTGTACAGCTTTTTATATTCACGTGCTTTGCTAGTGGTCTGCCGAGGATGGCAGAAAATGGCTCGTGGACGGTGGCTCAACGTAGACGGGCGTCGTCACTTTTTCTTTGACTTGGACCCTCGGAACGGGCCGATCCTGGCGGATCGCGGTTGCCCCGGACTGGCAGTGTTGTGTTTACGCGAAAGCAGTCGCGACACAAACGCCGCAGAGACTCTGCTTCTCACTCACCACCCCAACGACATGATACTAACATAGCAGTACTCTTGAACGATTCGCGATACGACCGACACGATGCGCATTACCGAATTGATCATTGACGGCTTCAAGTCGTATGCCGTACGCACCGTCATTTCTGGATGGGATCCCACTTTCAACGCAATTACTGGACTGAACGGGTCTGGAAAGTCGAACATTCTGGATGCGATATGTTTCTGTTTGGGAATTGGACGATTTGAGCTTCTGCGCGCGAGTGGCGGCGCCAGCGATCTCATCTACAAGCGTGGACAGGCGGGCATTACGAAAGCGTCGGTCACACTGGTCTTCGACAACAGCGACAAGGCCAAGTCGCCCATTGGTTTTGAAGACTATGGAACAATCAGTGTGACGAGACAGATCGTGTTGGGCGGCACGAGCAAATATCTCATCAATGGACACCGGGCACAGCAGCAGACAGTGCAGAACCTCTTCCAGAGCGTGCAGCTGAACATCAACAATCCGAACTTCTTGATCATGCAAGGGCGCATTACTAAGGTCTTGAATATGAAGAGCACTGAGATACTGGGCATGGTAGAGGAGGCCGCTGGCACGCGCATGTTTGAGGACAGGCGCGAGAAGGCGTTCAAGACGATGAACAAGAAGCAGGCGAAAGTGGAAGAGATTGAGGGTCTGCTGAAGGAGGAGATTGAGCCTAAGCTGGACAAGTTACGAAATGAAAAGAGGGCGTTTCTCGAATTCCAGAGCACACAGAGCGATTTGGAACGACTGACAAAACTGGTCGTTGCATATGACTATGTCAGGTCTAAGCAGAAGATGCAGCAAAGCGCACAGGATTTGGCAGACAAAAAGGAGCGAGCGACACAACTGGAGCAGAATGCCGAGAAGCTGCAGCGAGAGATCGGGGTGCTCGAAGAAGACGTGGAGAAAGTGCGGGCTGCAAGAGACAAGGAGCTTCGAAAAGGAGGCAAGTTTGCAAAGCTTGAAGAGGCGGTAAAGGAGTATTCCAAGGAAGTCGAGCGACTGGAGACAGTCGTGGAGCTGCAGAAGAAGTCGATGTCCGAAGAGAAAGAGCGACTACAGAAAGCTCAAGCGTCTGTCAAAGATCTCGAGAAGCAGCTGAAGCACAAGACCGAAGCCCACTTGCAACTTCAGACACGATTCGAGGAGGCGAGTCGCGGTTTAGAGGAGCAAAAGTCCGAAGTTGAGAAGAAAGAGGAGCTTTTACAGACCTTGCAGACTGGAATTTCCTCGAACGCAGGATCAGACGGTGGCTACGCTGGGCAGTTGGTGGCTGCTCGCGATAATTCCAGCAAAGCCGGCACGGAAATTGAGCAATCGAAGCTGAAGATCTCTCATCTTGAGGCACGCATCAAGGAGGACGAGCCACGGGCCAAGAAGGCCGAAAAGGAGAACGCCGGTCTTTTGAAAGATCTTGAGTCCTTGCGGACACAGGCAGGTAAGCTTCAGAAGGAGCTTGAGAAACTCGGCTTCCAACCCGGAAAAGACGAGGAACAACAAGCAGAGAAGGCTCAGCTCGAAAAGCGTATTCGCATTCTCCAAACGGATGCGGAGGGGCTGCGGAGACAAGTCGCTGGGTTGGATTTCTCCTACTCTGATCCGGAGCCGAACTTCGATCGAAGACGAGTCAAAGGTCTGGTAGCCCAACTATTCAACCTTCCAGTCGAGTCCACCGAAGCAAGCACTGCGTTGGAGATCTGTGCCGGAGGTCGGCTGTACAACGTTGTGGTTGACAGTGCAAAGACATCTTCGCTGCTCATTGACAATGGCAAACTCAGACGAAGAGTGACAATCGTTCCTCTCGACAAGATTGACTCGAACCGAGCGCCGGCCGACCGTGTCAGTAATGCACAGAAGCTGGCCCCGGGCAAAGTACATCTCGCACTGAACTTGATTGGCTATGCTCATGAGATCGAGAAGGCTATGGAGTACGTTTTCGGTAGCACACTTGTCTGTGCAGACGCTTCAACCGCAAAGAAGGTCACATTCGACCCATCTGTCCGGTTGAAGAGCGTCACCGTGGAAGGCGATGTCTACGATCCCAGTGGAACTCTATCTGGAGGCTCAGCTGCTCAAGGTAGTGGTGTACTGTTGAAACTGCAAAAGCTCAATACCATCACCCAAGAGCTTGAAAAGGAAGAGCAGAAGCTGGCAACACTCGAGCAGACCATGGCCAAGGATGCTCAGAAGCTCAAGAACGGTCAAAAGATGAAGCAAGAGCTCGATCTGAAGTCGCACGAGATCCAGCTTGCAGAATCACAGATCGCAAGCAATTCCTCGAGCAGCATTATTGCTTCCGTTCAAGAGATGAAAGAGACGATCGCGGCGCTCAAAGGCAACATCCAGGCCGCCAAGCAGCGCCAGGGAGATGCAGAGAAGGAGGTCAAGCGTATCGAAAAGGACATGAAGGACTTTTCGTCAAACAAAGGCGCAAAGCTGGAGCAACTACAAGGCGATCTTGACAAGTTGAAGAAGTCTCTGAGCAAGGCACAAGCTTCAATCAAGCCCCTCCAGCAAGAAGTGAGAGACGCAAATGTAGATGCAGAGCAGACTGGAAGCGATCTTTCTGCCGCTCAGGAAGAACTCCACGATGCTGAAACAACGCTCCAGGGGCAACGGGAGGAGCTTCAAAATCATGAAACCGAGCGTAAAGAAGCCAAGGACAAGCACGCCGAAGCAGAGGCAGCATTGAATGACGAGCGAAGGAAGCTGAGTAGTTTTGATGACGAGATTGCCGATTTGGAGCAGGCATCGAAACGAAAAGCCCAGCAAATATCAGACGAGGAACTCGAGAAGAAGAAGCTCGGCATCGCGGTTGACAACTTCGCCAAAGCTCAGCAAGAAGCACAACGAATCGTCACCAGCCTGGAGAAGGAGTATGACTGGATTTTGGAAGAGCAGGCATCTTTTGGCCGATCTGGGACTCCTTACGACTTCTCTGGCCAGAACATGGGCGAGTGCAAGTCGAATCTGAAGAACGTCACCGAACGCTTCCAAGGCATGAAGAAGAAAATCAATCCAGCTGTGATGGCCACGATTGATAGCGTCGAGAAAAAGGAGTCGGCATTGAAGCAGATGATGAAGACAGTCATCAAGGACAAGAAGAAGATCGAGGAGACCATCGTTACCCTTGACGAGTACAAGAAGGAGGCACTGTACAAGACCTGGTCCAAAGTAAACGAAGACTTCGGATTGATCTTTAACGATTTGCTCCCTGGCAACACGGCGAAGCTCGATCCACCTGAGGGCAAAGAAATTAGTGACGGCCTGGAAGTCAAGGTCTGCCTTGGAAAAGTGTGGAAGCAGAGTCTCACGGAACTGTCAGGCGGTCAACGGTATGTCTCGAACTTCCTACATCGATGGACCTTTACTAACGTCTCGCAGATCCCTCATCGCCCTCTCCCTCATCCTCTCCCTCCTGCAATACTCGCCAGCACCAATGTACATTCTCGACGAGGTCGACGCCGCTCTGGACCTGTCACATACCCAGAATATTGGTCGACTCATTCGGACGCGCTTCAAGGGCAGTCAGTTCATCGTTGTCAGTTTGAAGGACGGCATGTTCAGCAATGCGAACCGGATCTTCAAGACGAGGTTTATGGACGGGACGTCGGTGGTGCAGGCGCTGACGCCGGCGGATATGAAGTGATGAGTCTGGTGATGGTGGCATGCGGTTGTTGGATATTTCGTATTCCTTATGGGCGCTGGATGGGTTGTATATTGTTGGAAGGCGTTTGTTGGATGCTAGTTAGCCCGCGGGCTCAATGCTCGATGAGCTGTGATTGAATGAATATTCCTGCTGATTACTTGCTGGTTTCTCTCCAACTCACAGTGCCTATTCATCCAGTGTGTGCTGATTTTTTACAGTGCGAGGCAATGCCTGGAGAGGCCTTCTGTGATCAGCAAATTGTGGGAAGTCTTAGAGCTTTGAGATGTCGAGAGAAGGATGCGTGTAGATCACCGGCACATAGAGATATCGGGGTGGCTCGGTCGTAAAGACCGAGCACAGACGATCGCTGTTCACACGTCCAAGTTCAAGCTCCGCAAGAGGTGAATGCGTAACTAGCGTAATCAAACGTTGTACATTTTGGAGTACATGTAAAGGACACTTTGCGACTTACAGAAACTCTTGAGCTCCTTATTGGACCAGCCCACATCTCTCGCCTTGAACGCCTCAGGTATGCCTTCGCTCTGATACACACGTAAACTCCTCGTCGATACTGACTCCCCTCTACGTCCTCTGCCTGGCTGTTGGCCCACTCACACCAGCACCAATCACACTCGGTAGCTCTTGCTTTCCCATGTCGTATACACTACCAATGGCGAATCCGACCAAGAAGATCATTCCCACGGTGAAGAGAACAATCAGCCAGAACTCAATGCTGATGTCCTTCTTCTGGCAAGCGGGACCTCCCCAGTTGGTAGTCACCTTGCCGTCGTTGCTCTTGGTGGCACTGCACGAGCAGGAGTAGCAGTCGACTCCACCCTTGTTGTTCGCGGTCTTGTCGTGGTATTTCTTTGTGCACTTGCCATGACCAGTGCAGTTTCGCGTTGCGCTTTCGCAAGAAGACATGGTCAGGAAGCAGGCTGGAAGGATACCCCTCAATGGCGTGGTGTTGTTTGCTGCGAAGGCGGTCGCAGGCGCAGAGAATGACTCTACGGGCTTCCACGCCAGTGTCTCAGTCAAAGGCTCCTCTTTCATCTGCTGTCTCTTGCGGAGCGGTGACTGTCCCATCGGCATCTCGTACGTACCCCACTGGTACTTGCCCTGTCCTGTTCGTACATACTCGCCTTGCGGCAGGATGATTGCCGTAATGCTCCAGTTGTTTTCCTTAGCCAGACGCGTGAAGAGAGCCTCGAAGTCGGCCATTGACTTCGCGATGTGGAACATATCTCCATTAACAGACAGAGTTCTGCTATCCTTGAACATCGTGTAAAGGTCATCATCAGATAGATGTGCAAAGCCAGAAGGATCGGATTGTTTGGCCAGATCGATAAAGAGGCCTTTACTGGCAGGCGCCGCGGGTGCTGGATCCAGCTCGAATGAGGTATACGATCGCAGTGAGGGCTTGACGGCTATGCAATGTTAGTATCAACATCAAAAGTAGTTCCACAGCTATATCGTACCGGCTGGATCGCTCTCGCCCTCTACGAGAATGAAGGCTTTATGAGGCCTGCTCTCGGCTGCGAATAAGGGTGTCCGCACGCCATAGTCATTGATCGCATCAATCACTTCCTCCCGTGATATATCAGCACTGTGATAGTCCTCGACTCCAGCTCTTTGTGCGAGTACCAGCCTTGCTGGCACTGGGTTTAGGCTCCTCGAAGGCGTATCATGTCTAGGCTGCGATTCGGGATCGTGGATGTATATGTGAGCTGTTGCGGCGGTGGCTAACCGCGCAGACCAGCACAAGGCCGGTAATATGAGGCTCTGGGACAGCTTCATCGTCGCGCGAATGAATCTGGAGGGCGATGGATGGATGTTTCTTCGTCGTTGCTGGTCGCTGGAGCTCTCTAGCTGACTGACGCAGTCGAGCCGGCGGCCTTGGCGAGCGTCGCCTCCGATCTCCGACCCTCATCGCCTCGCTGCCATCATCCCGCCAGGCCCATCTTTGTTTCGGCACCAGTCCAGAACATTCACCTCACGACCCCAGTCACCTGCGAACAAACTGTCTCAAAGCGCCGCTCAAATGCACATACCATAGCGATCTCTCTTCCACCCGCCACTCACCACCCGCAACCATGCATCGACTCCCCCGTGCCTTTAGGCTGCGGCAACAACAGATAGTGTCGCCTCGTCTGAACCGAATATCGCAACGGCGAATACAGTCGCAGACAGTCTACAAACCGAACGGCGAACCTGTGCGATATCAAGCGGTTCGATTCAAGAAGCCAGGCCTCACTCTCCGTCGCACAGCCACCATCGGTCTCTACACTGGTTGCATCTACGCCTACATCAACATCATTGGACGCTACCTCGACATCGAGCTTGTGGATGACGAGGAGCTGGAGGATGAAGTTGATGAGGAAGACGACGGCGAAGGTCCATACTATGCGGACGAGGACAGCACCTTCATACCCATGACTTGGGCTACCAAGATGCCTCGGACGTTCTACCGCGGCTCAGATCCAGAGTGGCAAGAGTTCGTCAAGGTAGCGAAGGATAAGCAACGGCATCGCAAGATTCAGGACGAGCTGGTGCAGATCGTGTTCACCGGATCACAACAGCATCCAGGCATCCACAGGCAACTGGGCAATGAAGCGAAGATTGGGAAGTACTGGTTGGACATCTCATTCCCTGATGGCCCACCACAAGAGTTTGAGCGCAGCGGACTCGAGATCGGAGACGGATTCATCGCTTGGAGTCAGCAAAGGATAAGTCCAGAGAACCAGTGGCGACTCATGCGCGCACTCTATCCCAAGGCTGCCTTCGACTCGATATGGGCAACGACGAAGGTGTTGGCAGGCATACAATATCGGAGAGTCAAGCAAGCGTTGGGCTGGGAAGGCAGGGATCCGTTCAGCCCGGAGGAGCGATACAGGCACGCCATGGACATGATGCAGAAGCAGCAGCAAGTGCGAGAGAGGAAAGAAGTTGGCAAGGCGCAGATGGATCCCGATGGCAACCCAAGTGCAGTCGTTGGAAGCTCTTCGAACAACGAAGCTCAGCCGCCACGACCGTCAACTGGAGACGGAAAACGCCTGCCTTGGACCATCAGCGTTCCGCTACCATCTTCGAACTCCTCGACCTCGACCGACATACCTATCGCCATGCATGTCTTTCAGTCGACGCTGTCGAAACAATGGAATCCGAAGAAGATGGAGCCACCTCGAGGATCGTTCGTGGTGCAGGGAATGGTCGAAGTGCGAGGCGCCAGAGGACGAATGCTGTTCGATGTGTCGGCTTGCTATGACCCCAAAGTGGGCAAGTACGTTGCAGTCAACGCAGGTGTCCGCAACTTCAAACGCTGGAATCAAGCTCCTCGCGGTGGCCCTTGAGCCAATGTTTTTTCTTTAGTCTTTATTTGCGTTGAGTAATTGCGCGAAGCGTTGCAGCGTTCGAGCGTGCGGCGTTTGACAGAGGTAAAGGAACGGAGCGGTCATTTGCATAGCGTGGACATCATCTCTTTGGGCGCTCGGCCTACGGTCACGGCTGATGACTTTCACTCGAGTCTCGATTCTATCTGTAGATTGTCTAGATACCAGACTTTTCGGCTCATTGTTTCGACTATTGCCTCGCTTGCCTTGCCTCCGCCTCTCTGCATCTCTTCGCTAAATCACTGATATGCTCATCCCCACTCTCTGGACTAAGCCCATTCAAAGCCTCCTCGAGCTGGTACAAGTAATCTTTATTCTCTCCACTCGGCCCCCTCGACTTGACGATGTGTTCAGCCAATTTCTGCGGATCCTGAGGGCCCAGAAACTGCGGATTATCGGGCAGGCCGATGTACACCAAACACTTGATCGTGTCCCCTTGCTCAGAGGGGATATGCACGTTTTGGTACGTGGCGGACATGTCCTCTGGCTTGGCCTTCTGGAACGGGGTGTACTGGATGGAGTAACCGTTGATCTCACGGATGTTCATATACTCCTTGACGGCGGCGACTTTTGGTGCTGGGATACGGTAGGCTGCCCCCCATACTTTGGGGGGAGCCGAAGCGTGCTGAGGTGGTGTTAGGTCAGGTGTGTGCGATGATGTTGGGACACGAACTTGGTCGGTCAAAGTCTCCCAGAGCTTACGGTCGATGAGAGTGCAGACACGGCCTGGAGCTTCTGGAGTTCCGCGGTGGTCCTCGCTTTGCGCTTTTTGAGCGATATGGTCTTCAGAGAGGTTGAAAGTATCCTACCTTGCCTGACAATTGCTACCTCAGCTTACGTTCGTCTATGTTGTTGGCCACATGTCTCGTACCTGCCAGAAGCGCCGAACGTATCCTTCAATGTAGCCCGGGAGACGAAGATCTTGAATCCACATAAGAGAAGATTCAGGAGTACCTCTTGAAGTGATCAATGCATACCGTAGTCTGGAGGTGGCTTCCATATCAAACTCCTGACTTAGGTATCAGTGGTGGCAGCTTGTGAAAAGGGTCGACTACTGCTACCCGTATCCGAACAGCCACAAATCTTCCTCCTCGACCTCGGGCATACTGATCGCTGCAACTTGTTGATATTGAGTGAAAGAAGATGGGATGTCGTCAACTTGTGCAGTCACGCGAGTCATGCGTTCGTGCATGGCGCTAGTGAAGCTTAAATCCATCAAATCTGTAAAACACCAGATGCTCGACATCGCTGCGACAACCACACGTGCAGGCTCATTCGAGTCCACAATCTCTTTTTCTTTTTTCTCCGACCCTCACACACATTCTCTCCGCGATCTATCGCACCTCAGAGTAAGTCAGTTGCCATCATGGCGGAGTCAAAGAAGGGCGGCGGTGGAAGCGGCGGGGGCGACAACAATTTGGGACAGTACAAGTATGCGGCCATGTCAAACCTGGTTCTCCAGGCGGACCGTAGATTTGTTACTCGCCGGGGTGACGAGAACACTGGCGACCCAGAGTCGCTCGCTGGACGAATTAACCTGGGCGAGATGGGTTCGAGAACAGCGCGCGAAAAGGCACCGGTTTCTGCTGCGCCGACGGAGCAGGCGCGCAAGAGGAAGCGAACAGAGCCTGTGCAGAGCTCAAGAGCAGCAGGAATTCTAAGCCAACAAGATATGAACATTGAGGGCCTGCGCTACCGACCGAGGACGGCCGCGACGAAGGATATCTACGATCTCATTTCTGCGAACGTTGCGCAGAAGATGGGAGGCGACTACGGTCTTGCGGTCACAGCCTCGGCGACAGACTCCATTCTGGAATACTTGAAAGACGACAGCTTGAAGGACTTTGACAAGAAGAAGGAAATCGACGACATTCTCGGGATAACGACTTCGAGCAAAGAGTTCAATCAGCTGGTGAACCTTGGCAAGAAGATTACGGATTACGACGCTCAGGATGAGGACGAAGAAATGGGCGACGGTGCTGGAGAAGAGGAAGACCTCGACGAGCAGCAGGGTGTCGCTGTCGATTTTGGCGACGAGGATGAGGACGAAGACGAAGGTCGAACGTTTGAAGTAAGAGACGAAGGCGAAGAGTCGGAAGACGATCTGGCAATGGGCACAGAAGAGGTCGCCGAGGATGGCGCAGGCCCGCCGCCGGATGCTGAAATGGAAGGCGATGAAGAGGGTGACGGCCTAGTCATTGAGAATCAATCGCGGCGAAACGCGAAAGAAGAGGCAGACCCGAACTTTGTGCCCGCGCATGAGATCGACGCATACTGGTTGCAGCGGCAAATTGGTCAAGTCTACGAAGACGCTCATATTCAGACCGAGAAGACTCGAGAGGCGGAGGCTATCATGTCTGGGCTCGATGAGTCAGGCGAAGAGAAGCCGCTCAGAGAGGTGGAGAACGACCTCATGGAGCTTTTTGATTACGAACATAATGAAGTCGTGGCGAAGTTCGTGCGAAACAGGGACAAGATCATCTGGGTCACTCGATGGCGGAGAGTCGCAGAGGACGAAGCCTCTCGCTTGACGCTGGAGAAGGAGATGGTCAACGCTGGCCACGCCGGCATTCTGAAAGAGTTGCGTGGACGTGATGATTCAGGAAAGGCCGGCCCGAAGTTGACTGTCAAACTCGATCCTATGGAGCTTGACGCGAAGCTTCCTGTGAAAGATGAGGAAGACGTCAAGAAGGAGGGTCTCGTGGGAGGCCTCCAGCCCCGAAAGACACTCAACCTCGAAGACCTCAAGTTCGACCAGGGCAACCATCTCATGACCAACCAAAACGTCAAGCTGCCACAAGGCTCAACGAAGCGCACCTTCAAAGGCTACGAAGAGATCCATGTGCCAGCCCCAAAGCGAAAGCAAAACCCGAACGAGAGGCCTTTGATTCCCACATCCGATCTGGCTGCTTGGGCACGAACGGGATTTGGCAGCTCGACACAATTGAACCGCATCCAGACCGAATGCTACCAGTCAGCTTTTGAAGATGACGGCAACATGCTTATTTGCGCGCCGACTGGATCTGGCAAGACGAACGTAGCCATGCTTACGATGCTGCGAGAAATCGGAAAGCACCGCGATCCGGCTACTGGCGACATCAACCTCGACGAGTTTAAGATCATCTATATCGCCCCCTTGAAGGCTTTGGTGCAAGAGCAAGTTGGAAACTTTGGCGCTCGATTGAAGCCATACGGCATCACTGTGTCTGAGCTTACCGGCGACCGACAACTCACCAAGCAGCAGATTGCGGATACTCAGGTCATCGTCACCACACCAGAGAAGTGGGACGTTATCACGCGGAAGGCCACCGACGCCAGCTACACGAATCTTGTTCGCCTCATCTGTATCGACGAGATCCATCTTCTTCACGATGACCGTGGACCTGTGCTTGAGAGCATCGTTTCTCGAACAATTAGACGCACGGAGCAGACAGGCGACCCGGTACGTATCGTTGGTCTGTCTGCTACGCTTCCCAACTACCGCGACGTTGCTACTTTCCTTCGAGTTGATCCTCAAAAGGACCTTTACCATTTCGATGGTACCTTCAGGCCTTGTCCGCTTAAGCAAGAGTTCATCGGCGTCACGGACAAGAAGGCGATCAAGCAGCTAAAGACGATGAACGATGTTTGCTATAACAAAGTCTTGGAACAGGTCGGAACCAACAAGAATCAGATGCTCATTTTCGTACACTCGCGCAAAGAGACGGCAAAGACAGCGAAGTACATCAGAGACAAAGCGTTAGAGAACGACACCATTGGCCAGATTCTGCGAGTCGATGCTGCTAGTCGAGAGATCTTGCGCGAGGAATCCGAGTCTGTTCAAAACAGCGACCTCAAGGACGTCTTGCCGTACGGATTTGGTATCCATCATGCTGGTATGAGTCGTGCCGACCGAACCGCAGTCGAGGATCTGTTCGCAGACGGCTCAGTCCAAGTGCTCGTCTGCACTGCAACTCTCGCCTGGGGTGTCAATCTTCCTGCCCACACGGTCATCATCAAGGGAACTCAGATCTATTCACCAGAGAAGGGTTCTTGGGTAGAGCTCAGCCCACAGGATGTGCTTCAGATGCTTGGCCGTGCCGGTCGTCCACAGTACGACACATACGGTGAAGGTATCATCATCACAACTCAGGCTGAGATTCAGTACTATCTGTCTTTGATGAACCAGCAGCTGCCAATTGAGTCACAGTTCGTGTCTAGGCTAGCTGACAATCTCAACGCCGAGATCGTACTGGGTAACATTCGAACGAGAGACGAAGGTGTTGAGTGGCTTGGGTATACGTACCTATTCGTGCGAATGCTTCGATCACCCGCATTGTATCAAGTTGGTGCGGACTACGATGAAGATGAGACGCTTGAGCAAAAGCGAGTCGACCTCATCCATTCCGCAGCCGTAGTGTTGGAGAAGGCCAGTCTGGTCAAGTACGACAAGAAATCTGGACGCCTTCAAGGAACGGATCTCGGCCGCGTGGCCAGCCACTACTACATCACACACAACAGCATGCTGACCTACAACATGCACATCCAACCCTCTGTCAGTCCGATTGAGCTCTTCCGAGTGTTCGCACTCAGTGATGAATTCAAGTACATCCCGGTACGCCAGGACGAGAAGTTGGAACTCGCGAAGCTGCTTGGAAGAGTGCCCATTCCTGTCAAGGAGACCATTGACGAGCCGCACTGCAAGATCAACGTCCTGCTCCAAGCTTATGTGAGTAGATTGAAGCTGGAAGGTCTTGCACTCATGGCAGATCTGGTCTATGTCACTCAGTCGGCCGGGCGTATCCTGCGAGCCATGTTCGAGATTGCGCTCAAAAAGGGATGGTCGTCAGTTGCTAAGGATGCACTTGATCTTTGCAAGATGGCCGAGAAGCGAATGTGGCCCACCATGACACCTTTGAGGCAATTCCCTGAATGTTCAAGCGACATCATAAAGAAGGCCGAGCGCATTGACGTGCCCTGGTCCAGCTACTTCGACTTGGACCCTCCTCGCATGGGCGAACTTCTGGGCATGCAGAAGCAGGGCCGTCAAGTTTGCAACCTGGTCGCCAAATTCCCACGACTCGATATCTCAGCACAATGCCAACCCGTCACGAGAAGTATGCTACGCATCGAGTTGACCATCAAGCCTAACTTTGAGTGGGATGATGAGCTGCACGGTCGTGCCGAGAACTGGTGGGTCATAGTTGAGGACTGTGACGGCGAAGACATCCTCTTCCATGACCAGTTCCTTCTGCGAAAGGACTATGCCATTGCGGAGGCAAATGAGCACTTGATGGAATTCACCGTTCCCATCACAGAGCCTATGCCGCCCAACTACTTTATATCGGTCGTCAGTGACAGGTGGATGCATGCTGAGAGCAAGCTCACTCTGTCATTCCAGAAGCTTGTTCTGCCAGAGAAATTCCCGCCACACACGCCACTGCTCGACATGCAGCCGCTTCCAGTGGCAGCATTGAAGAGAGAAGACTACGTCGACCTTTACCCCGACTGGCAACAGTTCAACAAGATCCAGACACAGACATTCCAGGCTCTCTTCCAGTCCGACGACAATGTCTTCGTCGGTGCCCCCACAGGGAGTGGCAAGACGGTCTGCGCGGAGTTTGCGCTGCTTCGACACTTCACCAAAGCCCAGGGTGGCAAAGCAGTCTATGTTGCTCCGTTCCAAGTTCAAGTTGATGCACGACACAAGGCCTGGCAGACGAGGCTTGGTTCTTTAGCTGGTGGCAAGAAGTTCGTAAAGCTTACTGGGGAGACCACTGCAGATCTCAAGCTGCTTGCTGAAGGCGACGTTATTCTTGCCACTCCAGTGCAATGGGACATGATGTCCCGGGGTTGGCAGCGAAGAAAGAATGTCCAGGCCGTTAGCTTGATCATTGCAGATGATCTCCACCTGCTCGGCGGTCATGGCGGGTACATCTACGAGGCTGTCATGTCTCGATCACAGGCCATCAAAGCGCAGCTTGAGAACGAGCTGCGGACTGTCGGTCTGAGTGTGTCGCTTTCCAACGCACGGGATGTTGGCGAGTGGATTGGTTGCAGCAAGCACACCATCTTCAACTTCAGCCCGAACAGCCGGCCTCTGCCTCTCAACCTCCACTTGCAGACCTTCAACATCCCTCACTTCCCGTCATTGATGTTGGCAATGACGAAGCCAACGTATCAAGCGATCCTGCAGTACGCGCCAGAAAAGCCAGCTATGGTGTTCTTGCCCAGCCGCAAGCAAGTGCGAGCAACAGCACAGGATCTTCTGGCAGCTTGCGTTGCAGACGATGATGAGGACAGATTCCTGCAAGCAGATGCTGAACAGCTCGAGCCAATTTTTGGCAAAGTCAAGGAGCGCTCGCTTGCGGACTCACTTTCTCACGGCATTGCGTACTACCACGAAGCTTTAAGCGACTCAGACAAGCGCATCGTGGAGTCGCTTTTCACTCAGGGTGCTGTTCAGGTCATGCTCATTTCTCGTGACTGCTGCTGGGAAGTGCAGAGCGTGGCACATCTGGTCATCGTCATGGGTACGCAGTTCTTCGAGGGCCGAGAGCACCGATACATCGACTACCCTATTAGCGAAGTCCTTCAGATGTTTGGCAAGGCCGGACGACCTCTGGAGGACAAGGACTGCCGCGGCGTGCTGATGTGCCCGGACACGAAGCGAAACTACTACAAGAAGTTCTTGGCTGAAGCGTTACCCATTGAAAGTCAGCTACAGGCTTACATGCACGATGCATTCGTGACTGAGATCAGCACCAAGACCATCGAGTCGACCCAAGATGCTGTGGATTGGACCACCTACACCTACTTCTATAGGAGACTGTTGGCGAATCCCAGTTTCTACGGCCTGCCAGACACCACGCATGAAGGACTCTCCGCATACCTGTCTGAGCAGGTCGAGACTACGCTCAAGGAACTGAGCGATGCCAAAGTCATCGAGTTAGATGAAGACGAAGATACGATCACGCCGGTTCACGCCACCATGATCGCTGCCTACTACAACATCTCGTTCTTTACCATGCAGACGCTACTGCTCTCTCTGAAGCGCAGCACAAAGCTGAAGGGAATTCTCGAGATTGTCACGGCCGCCGCTGAGTTTGAAGACATCCAGATCCGCCGCCACGAGGAACACGTACTGCAACGCATCTATGACCGTGTCCCAGTCAAGCTCTCAGAGGTGAACTTTGAGTCTCCCTCGTTCAAGGCCTTCGTCCTCCTGCAAGCACACTTCTCCCGGATGCAGCTGCCCACCGACCTTGCCAAAGACCAAGAAGTTGTCCTCCGCAAAGTCCTCAACCTCCTCAGCGCCTGCGTCGACGTTCTGTCCTCAGAAGGTTATCTAAACGCCATGAACGCCATGGAAATCAGCCAAATGGTCGTCCAAGCCATGTGGGACCGCGACTCTCCCCTCAAGCAAATCCCCCACTTCGAGGATGACAAGATCGAAGTTTGCAACAAGTTCGGCATCAAGGACGTGATTGAATTCCAAGACGCCATGGACACCGACGAGAACCCCAATTACGGCAAGTTAATGGAAGGTCTAGGCTTCAGCAACAAGCAGCTCGCGGATGCTGCACACTTCGTCAACGAACGATATCCCAACGTCGAACTCGAATTCGAGCTCGAAGACCCCGAGAACGTCGCTTCAGGCACGCCGAGCTATCTCAACGTCTCCATCACGCGACAACTGGAGGAAGATGAGGAGCCCAACTTATCCGTCCACGCGCCTTTCTACCCAGCCGAGAAGACGGAGAGCTGGTGGCTCGTGGTCGGGGAGGAGAAGACGCGGACGTTGATCGCTATCAAGCGTGTCACGATCGCGAAGGAGTTGAAGACGAAGTTGGAGATCGTGCTGCCGACGCCCGGGAAGCATGAACTGACGTTGTTCTTGATGAGTGATTCTTATGTCGGTGTTGATCAGGCGCCGACGTTTGAGGTTGATGCTGCGGAGGGGATGGAGGAGGATGACGAGGAGGAAGACGATGAGTAGAGGAGAGGGGGAGTGATGGTTTGTGTTGAGTAGTTCCATAGTACAAAAGGGGTTGGTTTTGTAAGAAAAAGATACCCGAAGTTGAAAAGACACTTCGACTTTTGAATTGTGATTTCTTCGAAATATACTCTCTCTATTCCTCATCCATACTCTCCCACCCACCTTCGCCACCATTCTCCTCGGCCTCAGCCTCTTCCTCTTCCACCTCATCATCCTGCTCGATCCCCACCAGCCGCTCCTTGACCTCCCCATCCGCCGGCCCAGGCAACTTGACACGCTCCGCGAACGCCTCCCGCACCGCTTTGTTCGTGCTCGTATCCCAGACCTGCACGGCGCCTTTACTCCCCGCCACGGCGAGTCGGAACGCCACCTCGTCGTCGGGCGCGAAATTCGCCGCGAAGACTTTGCCGACGTCGAGGTCTCGCGAGACGACCATACTCGGGCCTTTTTCGGTGATATTCCACAACTTGACCGTCCTGTCCGTCGAGCCTGTTGCAATGAAGCCCGGCACCGCGGGGTTGATGGAGAAGGACGACAGGCTCTTCTCGTGCGCTTGGAGTTGCCAGACGGCTTTGCTCTGCTCCGGCGACGAGGGGAGGGTTCGAGCGTCGAAACAGTGCAGGAGGCCGTTCTCCGTGCTGACGTAGAATTTGTTCTCGTCGTGCGGGTCGCATTTTACTTGGTCCACGTCGCTCTCGACGCCCCAGCGGGGGACTTTGGCGCCGGGGGCGCGCATGTCTGCGGCGACGATTGTGCGGTCGTAGCTCCCGGAGAGGAGGACGGAGGATTGTGTTGGGTGCCATGCCAGCGCGCAGACTTTGTCGGTGTGGTGCGCGTAGGAGTGTGCTGCGGTGCAGGTGTTGAGGTCCCAGAGTTTGATGGTTGTGTCTGCGGAGGCGCTGGCGAGGAGGTTCCGGTGTTGGCGGTTCGCGGCGAGGGAGAGGACGGCGTCGACGTGGTAGGCGTCGTTGGCTTTCTTGCTCTTCTTTTTCTTCTTTTTGGTTGTCGCTTCTGAGATATCTGGGAGGCTTTGCGAGCTTTGGCCGAGGACGGCGTTGGGGTACATGCAGTCGACGAGGTCTAGGTCCCATAGTTCGATGTCCGGGTCCATTGTGCCTACGGCGGCGAAGTTGCCTCCATCGCTGGATTCTTTCCCAGGTTTTGTCCCTACCCACTCAACGCAGAGAGGAATGGCTGGAAGCATCACGTCGTGGTGGACATAGAGATTGTCCGCGTCATCTTCGTATACATAGACCTCCAGATGTGCCACCTCGTCCTCTATCCGCGCTGCCAGAACCATGTTGTCTGTGGGTAGGATCTGGAGCTCTTCTCTTTCTTCATCGTCTGATGCCTCGCCATTCTCCGGTAGTGTTAAGTACGGATCCTCCTTGTTATCTGTGTGATACGCCAACGACTTGATGTTGCTGAAAATCCCTCCTGCTTCTTCATCATCCTCGTCGTCCTGCCCGTCAGGCTCATCGTCGTAGTGTTCCATGTCGTACTCTTTCAAATCGTCATCGTTGGCAATCTCGTCCTCGTCCTCACTGTCGTCCTCGTCCTCACTGTCGTCCTCGTCTTCTTTCGCACCAGCCTCTGCGCCTTCAACATCCCCCACGCTGACTTTATTCAACGCATCTCTCGCCTTCTCCAAATCTTCCTTCGCATCGTCGAGTTCCAGTTTCGCCAGCTTCGCGATCCTCGAGTATTCCTCATCGTCCATATTGTATTCGGTCGGGAAGGCGGCGGCGTGCCCGCGCGGCACCCATGCCGTTGCTGTGATCATAGACGTCATGTTGGGCGATTTTGCTCTACTTGGTATGTCGAATGATGAACAGTTCAGTTCAATCTTCCATCTTCTTCACGAACTTTTTTGTGGATCCCGCCAAGCTTTGGGGGATGCCGAAGCCCCGCAAGTCTAATTGACGCCCTGAGCACGTTTGAGATGTCAACATCGCCTTGTGACCATCTTCCTCTCTCATCTCACCTATCGTTAACCGTATACTCTTGGAACAACAACAACATCTTGGAATCAATATGGACCACTCACACATGGACCACGGCGGCATGGATCACGGCGGCATGGGCCACGGCGACATGGGCGACATGCCGATGTGCAACATGAACATGCTCTTCACCTGGGACACAACCAACCTCTGCATCGTCTTCAAATCCTGGCGGATCACAGGCCTCTGGTCCCTCCTCTGGTCGCTGCTCGCCGTCGTCGCCCTGACAGCAGGCTACGAAGCCGTCCGGGAAGCCTCGCGACGATACGAACAGCGGCATGCGGCGATTATTGAGAATTTGCCTCGTAAGTCTCAATGGATATGTAGTGTACTACTATGCGGCTATGTCGTAGCTCATACCGCGCTTTGTGAAGCTGTTATCACGACTACGTCGAGTGACGAACGAAGCTCACTCCTCGCGACAGGTAGTTCTGTCAAGGCGGAGGAGCAGAAGGGGAAGATTGTCAAGGCGTTGTTTTATGGGGTGCAGGTGTTTTATTCGTTCTTCATTATGTAAGACTGAATCGAGTAACTATGAGCATGGTATGCGGTGCTGACGTGAATAGGCTTCTCTTCATGACATACAACGGCTGGATCATGATTGCGGTTGGAATTGGGGCTTTCATTGGATACTTGCTTTTCAGCGGAGCATCAGCTACGAAGAGTGCGGCTTGCCATTAGCACTGTGAAGATCCTGTACGAGCATAGCGGATTTAGATATACCTCACAACCCTCTCCATGCGACTTTCGCCACGTGGTCAACTCTCTTTCGGGTGTTCTTGACGAAGCCAAGATATCGCATCTCGGCCAATCCTCTTTGAAACAATGCCATAGTCTGCTGCTCATCTTGTGCATCACCAACCACTGCCTGGAACGCCTGCCAGAGGTCGCTTGCATTGATCAGATTCCCGGATTCCAGGTATAGCTGGTACAAGACCGCAGTGCTCGGCTGAGAAGATGCCAGCGTTACATCATCCCCTTCACCCTGATCTGGTCCGCAACAATCGCAGTCGAGATAGTCGTGCGGCGCTGCAAGAGCCCGCTCGACTGCATGCCGTGGTCTAGGCGTGAACACTTCCCGGAACGGTGATTTCAGGTCGTACATGAAGATCTCGTGAAAGGCGAGATCTTTAGGATTGACCAGCTTCTCTGTGAGGTAGGTTTCCAGCACATCCGAAAGACGTCGAATGATCGTAGTGTAAGCTGCATCCTGCTTTGAGAGCGTCGACTTTTGTTTACTGAGCTCGACCTTTTGAGCGATGACTGTGGTCCTCAGGGTGGAATTCTTGACATCCTCTTCACTTCGTAGGGGTTGCGCCGTGTCGTCTTGGTTCTGGATGAGCGCTTCCAGCTCAGTTGCAATAGGTGAGATCTGCTCGGTCAAGTCTTCTGGCTTATTTCTCTCTAACAAATAGTTCACAACGCCGATCGCAGTATCCGAAGGGGCTTTTCGAAGTGAAAGGAGCAGCGTTCTGAGCATCGGCGACCCTGCTAGTTTACCAGACATGGCCTGCACGTACATCCTTGGCTGGGACGAGGCTGTTGCGTTTGGCAGCGTGGTTTGCAGGCAGCGCACAACTTCTGTAGCTTCGAGTATTTTTGCCAACCCCTGTTTCCCCTCCTGCACACGGGCTTTGGCGAAATCAAATAGCTCCTCGTCATTGTCGAGCAGATCTCGCAGACGTCCAGAATCTCCTTCATCCAGTATTTGTCTTGCGAGATTGCGAAAGGATGGTAGATTCCTCACTGCTTCTAAGTGCTGTGCTGTCACATCCTCCAATTCCAGCGAGGGTGATAGAAAGATGCTGACAGCATTGGCATAGAAGTGTGACATGTACGCATATCGTGCAGCCTGTACCAAGCTCTCAATGCCCTGGATATAGTCGCTCTGTCGATCTAGTATCATGGTCGCCAGATTAGATCCAATCCACAGCGATGCCTCCGGTGTGGTAAGAGAATCGAAAACTTGCTCGACTTCGTCCGCGGACACAGCAGCATCGAACACCCGACCATCGAGGTGCTTGATCGCCGTTTTCGACAGTCTTTGTTGTAAGAATTCGACAGAGGTCGCGATGTTGAAGAGCAAGACGAACGGGATACGGTCCTGCCAGTAGCTGAATAGCTCAACGAGCTCGGACAGCAGTCCCCCATCGCAGGCCTCCGGGTCTTCGATGGCGATGACAACTTGCTCAATTCGCCGCTCCTGGACATACAGGTGTAGTAGTTCCAAGTCATAATTCAGCAGTTTGGGGCCGCCCTTGCGAGACGCTGGCTGCTCTTCCAGTTCATCCTCGTCATCCTCGACCGTTCTCGAGGTGACCTTTTGAATGATGGTCTTCAGTAAGCTTTTGAGATTGGAGCCCGAGGAGGAAGAAATTTGGGTGTACGACCGCCGTCGATCAGTGTTGCTCTGGGATGAGATTTGTGCTGCGATGGAAGTTCGCAGTGCGGAGTTTGGGCCAGCGATGATGAGGCCAGTCGGTATACGCTCCTTCGGCGCATCGACAGCGACATCTTCGAGGAATCCGACGATGTTGTTGATTGTTGCCGCATTGATGGTTCTTAGTCGTTCGTCTATCCGGTCTTGCTGGGCTTTCCATGTGTCTTGGTATGCTTTCTTGCGCAGATTCCACGAGGATTGCAGGCCTTGCGGTTCGGTTCGCCTTCGTTTTGCGGGTTGAGGGTCATCTGGTTTGAAGACGTAACATTTTTCATACTCCATGGCTATCAAGACGTGCACATGTTACTTTTGGGAAGGGAGGTCTGAAGTCAAATGAAGACGCGCTTGGAAGCTAGGACGCGATTTCGCGCTAAGCGCTGATTGGCTGTCACAAGTCACAAGGGTCTGCACAAGTGAATTCGAGGTCTGCATAAATACATCCAAGGGACGCATTGTTCAATTACTCGGTCTATCCGAGTGATGGTATCATGTAGTCTTGCGAGCTGCGCATCTGTGAAGTGTGCATGTACGGGTTGAGAATCGGTAGACTGGTCCCAGCTTAGCCATGCTCGTCCTCCGACAAGCCAGGGCAGTCTCCCATCTCCTTGGTTGGGTAGCGGATCATGCACCAGAAGCAGTAGAAGTAGTGCTCGCGAAGGTAGGCCACGACCTTCTGAAGTCTCTCGCCCACAGGCAGAGCTTGAAACTCGTCCAGCTCAGCGTCCTCTTCGTCGAGATCCTCCTCCACTTCGGCGCCGGAAGCCACCTTGTCGTCCTCGTCGCAATCCACGTCGTTGTAGTCGGTTCGACGAGACAGGCTCTGGGCCAGCTTGCTGTTCATGCGGCGCTTGTGATCCTTTCCGAGTCGCTCCTTGACAACTGAGCGCCAGAGTACGTTGATCGAGTGCAGTGGCGTAGTCTTCGATTTCTTCGCGGTGCCATCGGCTTGGCCCTTGACTGCATCTGGCTCGTCCTCCGTCTCAAAGGTCTCGAGGGTACGCATAGCAGTCCACAGCTGAGCCTCTTGCTTCTTCTCCTCTCTCTCGAGTCGGTTGCGCTCGCGATACTCCTCCAGAGTAAGCTTGACGCGCTTCTCGTTGACGTTCGCCGCCTCGGCTGCTTCACGGATCTTCCGCTTCTTGTCGTTCTCCATACCGAGACCACCGCGATCCTCCTTCATCTGCAGCTGGATGGGTTGAGTACGCGCACCCTCCGTCTTGCCCAAAGCGCCGCCTTCGTAGCCCATCTTGGACATCATCTTGGCGCCTTTGTTGGAGCTGTCGATTGCGGTGGCGAGTGCTTTCTCGCGGTCTTCTTCAGCTTGCTTCTTGCGCTCGGCCTTGGACTTGACGTGGCCTCGGTCGAGGCGTTCTTGCTTGAGGCGGGCTACGCGCTTGATGGAGCTCTCCCTCTCTTCCTTGATGTGGTCGAGGGGCATCGACAGGTAGTCGTCTTCGTCTTCGTCGCCAGCCATCTTGTGTTCTGTCGCAAAATCAAGTTAGCAATTCGTCTCTTATTTCACGAAGGTTACGAGGGTTCCCGGACGGATGGCACTGGCACGGCGGTTCTGGCTTGTTGATGTTGTTGTTGTGCTTGAGCAAGTCGCAATTGATTGTTTGATGCCTACCTTCGGCTCGCTAAGCGGGGGTATTCTTCGGAAGATCTCACGAGGCAGGTACGCCTTCCATCGACAAGAGCTGCAAAGCCACGATTCCAGAAGAGAGGAAAAATGCAATGAGGTACGAAGCCAAAGATCTTTCCCAAGAGCTAGAGATGTACGGTTCACTTGGTCCTTCATTGAAGCTTTCATTTAAACTTTCATTTAGCCTTTCACTTTATCCTTCACTTGACCTTTTATTTGACCTTTTATTTGACCTTTTATTTGACCTTTCAATCGATCTCTCACTCGGCCTTTTACTTGAACTCTCATTTAACTGCTTACTTGACCCTTTACTTCAGTATCCACATTTGCCTTCACTTTGAGCCTCACTTCTGTCTGCATTTACGTTCATCGGCAGAATGGCCTATCCCGCTCGGAAGCATCCGTGACGCAGGTACGAGAGCTGCAAAGGCTTCAATGTTGATTTCAAAACGATGACTGTTGATGCCAAAGCCCTACCTACGTCTTAGACACATCACACCCCAGCCAAGCAACTAAGCAGACGAAGTGGCATGCAGCGCAGTCCTTCCGCCTCATATCGCCGAGAAATTAGCTCGTTTATTCGTACTGACAAAGCCCCCAAAGCAGAAAAGACTCCACATTCTCCTGCCGGCTCCTGAGCCGGGAAACCCTCTTACGCGCCAATTCGTGAGAAGGATTACCGCATGAAAGACAGCTAAATGCCTAGTCGGGTAGTAGCCCACCGCCGCGAGGGGCATGCAGAAGCACGTCGAAAGCTTTGTTGATGGCTCGATGATGGACATGGATGCGTGAGGGAGAGGAATAAGAAGGTTCTTGGTTCCACGGCCGTCTTTTTCTTCTTTCTTTCCATCCCTCATCACTGTCTCTTGCTTTCTGTCTCCGCAAAAGGTCAGCAGCATGGCTCCAAAGATCGCTATTGTCTACGTATGTTTGGCCTTACCGACTAAGCTCATGAGCTGCTCAATGGCACTCAATGGCTGCAGTTCTTGTTCTCAATGCTGACATTGTCGATGTCTAGTACTCCACATGGGGCCACATCAAGCAGCTCGCCGACGCTGAGGCGGCTGGTATCAAGGAAGCGGGTGGCAGCGTCGACGTCTTCCAGATCCAAGAGACTCTTCCCGAGGAGGTCCTTGGAAAGATGCACGCTCCTCCAAAGGACACCAGCATCCCTATTGCCGACCCTAAGACACTCGAGCAGTACGATGCGTTCTTGTTTGTACGTACTCCCACTGCGAGCACGACGACAGCACCATTAACAGATTACGCAGGGCATCCCCACTCGTTACGGTACCTTCCCAGCTCAGTGGAAGACCTTTTGGGATTCCACTGGTGGCCAATGGCAGACCGGTGCCTTCTGGGGCAAATATGCTGGCCTCTTCGTTTCGACCGGCACGATCGGTGGAGGGCAAGAGGTCACTGCCTTGAACTCGATTTCCACGTTGACTCACCACGGCTTCATCTATGTCCCTCTGGGCTACAAGACCACCTTCAGCATCCTCGGCGACGTCTCTGAGGTCCGCGGTGGAAGCGCCTGGGGAGCAGGAACATTCTCGGTAATTCTCTGTCAATCACTTCCAAGCAACTCTCAAACTAACATCTGCTCCTCTCCCTCTAGGCCGGCGACGGCTCCCGCCAACCCACCGAGAAAGAACTCACCCTCGCAAAAGAGCAAGGCAAAGCCTTCTACGGCGCCGTCAGCAAGGTCAACTTCGCGTGACTAGATGGCAGCGCGAACGGACAGAAGCAAGAGCAAGGAACAACAGCTCCGGCAAAGACGGAGGGTGGGCAGAGTAAACCTGCACAAGGACAACAGCAGTCGTCCGCTGCGGCCCCTGCTGCACAAGAGAAGGAGGATGAGAGTAAGGGACCTTGTGGGTTGCCTTTTAAGTGTTCTGTTGCTTAGATGATACCAATGTTGCTTTGAAATAGAGCGTGGAATGCATGCCTCGAACGACCAAGTGCCGCCCCTTTCCTTTTCATCGGTGTGCCGTGAAGAGTTGCGATAGCGTCTGAGGGCTTTGCAGTGGTTTGTCCTAATCATGCGGCCCCCTTTGAAGCTCTTTGCCCGCATGACATGGAGAAGTCAGGCTGAAGCGACGTCCCGATGTGATGGCGTTTGGGTGGAGAGGACGAATAGCTGATAGAGCCAATCTTGAGGTTCCAGAACGTGTAAAAATATCCATGCCCGAAACGCCTGTTCATCCAAATAGTCGGTTCGTTGCACGTGGCGAGACTGTGCCTTCCTGCTTCCTGCTGTAGGGCTTGGCGTCTCACGCTGTTGCTTCCTCGAATGGCGTGCTGTTCTCGTTGAAATACAAACACTCCAGTCCGCCTCAACATCATCTTTTCTGCATTCGCCTTACGCTCCCACATCTTTGGACAATACTAGGCAATCTTACCTAGCGAAAAGATGGCAGGTGTGCAGCCTTCACGGCTTTCGAAGAGAGCCTGTCACGACAGTCGGACTTGAACAGCCGCTTCTACGATCGAACCGATGCCCGGTGTTATCAGGACTTGAAGATCGTTGCGTTCGAGCATGACCGGCAACAGCATGCTGTTCGCTTTGTCCCCGTGGAAAGACGCCGAGTGTCTCGAAATGCGATACGTACCATTGCCATGACCGAGACGAAACCCTCTTGTGTTTGACTCAAGGACGCCTGGCGTCCCATGGTTTCGCCGTTGGAATCACCCTGCGCTCTGCCCAGATTACGGACAGTTTGACCAGCGGAGAAAATGCGCTGACGTCGTTGTTGTGGGCAAAATGTTTTACGAAGGCTGTCGACGCCTCGCGAGACTTCACCGAGACCAGCAGCAGTCACTCGACCTGATCTCGGGTCCAGTCCGATGCGCAGATTCTCCATCAACGGCGAGTTGCCGACTCTTGCGAAATGCATGGCCAACCACGTCATGTTCCCATATCCACGCTCTTTCTGGACGCCCTTCCGATGATGAGTGACCGAAAGACAGACAGCTTTTCATTCACTATGTGCTACCAGTGACACGGAAGCCGAAACGACACGATCCGTGGCAGCGACCAGGTTCAGGGAGACCCATGGTGGAGATGCGGTCCGGGGAATAAACGTCACAGTGCTGGAGATGAAGCTACTTCAACTTGAGGCTGAAAGTTGAGGCGGCCATGCAAACCACGCATATGGCAGACGGCGGTGACAGACGATGATGTAGGTGCACACGACCAAGCTAGACCGGCAATATTAGGGATGGCAGGCCGCCCACAACGGACGAGGTAATACGGCAGAGGTGAAGTCACTCGTACACAGGATCGGCCTCCACACTGCTATCTCGGCGTGTCTTTGTCGGGCAAGGCGGGATCTGAGCAAAGTCTAATCGAATCGGTTTGTGAATTCATTGCTGTTATCTGCGCGTTGATTGGCCGAGAGCAGGCACTGATAAGAGCCTGGTCGTCTGCTCTCCTTCACCTAAAGTCTGCGCCTCGCTCTGCATTTCTCTTAGGTACTGGATTGCGGTTTTTACGTACAGCGTCCAGGGAACCGCACGCTTGTGCCAAACCTCCGTAATCCAGCACCGCAGCCTCGAGACACTCGTGCCCTTGGCGCATGGCGGTATATCATCACCAAACGCACACGACGCCCTCGCGTGCCGCGTCGAGTATACCCCCTTCCCTATCTCCATCATTCACATATCATCTATCGATGTTCCTATCCATGCCGATCTCGCGTTGACCACTCCACGTTGTCTCAATGACCCCCAAGACGCTCGACTATCTGTTCTTCATCACCGCCCTCAGCGGCTCGTCTGACCACGCTTAGTGTTGGCATTTGTCGTCCCTCGCATTATCCTGCTTATTCGCTGATAAGCCCATCTATCCTGCCTTTGTCTTTCCGCTGCCAGATACCTGGGGCGCTCCCCGTTTGCTCGTGCGACCTCTGTCTCCGGCCACTGCAGACTCTCGCGTGCAACATCTGCCCCATCCGGAAGTCCAGCTGAACGCCAAGCGCGGCCTATCTGCCATAAACCTCCTGCCTCGCTATCAACACCGACGTCAATCTTGCCGGGTTCTGGAACCTCACAATGGCCACGGCCATGGCTGTCCCCCCTTTGGCCCCACGGCCCTCGCCACGTCCTATCGCCGCCTGGACTCCCCCGAAACACCACATGGAGGGTAAAGAGAACCGTCCTGCTTTAAAGCAACTCCAGCAGACTGCCCAGCCTAACCGCCCGCGAAGAGAACGACCCTGTGACGGTTGCCGGAGACGAAAAAGCAAGTGCGTTCTGCAGGAATCTAAGAAATGTGTTCTCTGCGAGGTACGTCTTCCCTCTATCGATGCCAAGGCTTCTTTCCTCTAATCTTTCGTAGTTCCACAAGCAAGACTGCACGTTTGTGGAGAATGCCCAACCACGTAAACGAAAGGCAGACGATGGCATGAAGAGCGATAGCCCTGCAAAGAAGAGCCCTGCTGTCACCCAACGCCCACTTCCTCCTGCTCCCACTCCGCCCAGGCCCAAGACGGAGTCTGCACCACTCGTCGGCGTGGTCCAGCCCTCGATGAGGAAACCCTTCGCCGTGGACGAGACGCTGAGCCTGCAACGGCATCGGCATTGCAAGTATCTCGGCCAGACGACTGCTTTGGATGCATCCCTCATCGGTCTCGGCAACTTCAACGACAAGAATGAGACCGAGTCACGGGTCGGCACCCTTCGGCAAGTCACTGGTTCGGAATACTTCAGCACACATGCCGATGCCGATGTCCAAATACCGGACGACGAAGCACGAGCTTTAGCGGAGATTGAGCAGGTCGTTGGTCCTCATGGGTCTGCTCTTATCGATATCTACTTTCGCAACGTCCACCCGAGCTATCCCATCATCCAGAAACGTGCCTTTCTCGATCGACATCAACATGGCGATAGGCGATTCAACCCACCATTGCTTGCTGCCATGTACTTGCTTGCACTGGCATGGTGGGATCAGGACCCTGCAGTCTCGTCCCATTCTAAACCCGACGTCGAGAAGCTGGAGTACATCGCGATCACAAGCCTGACCATCTCGATGCAACGACCCAAGATCTCTGCAGTACAAGCTGGCTTGTTACTACTGCAGCGTCCCAAATCTAGCACATGGACCTTGACCGTCCAACTCGTCGCTCTGGGACAAGATATAGGTCTTCATCTGGACTGCTCAGACTGGTCAATCCCTCGATGGGAGACGCTACTACGAAAACGCCTCGCATGGGCACTCTACATGCAGGACAAGTGGAGTGCCGTGATGCACGGCCGACCATCACACATCAACGGCGCAGACTGGAACGTCTCAGCACCAACCGAAGAAGACTTCGACGAGTCCATCGACCCCCTCCCCACCCCCTCCGAAGACGTCGACCCCCAAGTCTCCAAAGGCCGCATCGTTTTCATGCAAATGATCTCCCTCACAAACATCATGGCCGAAGTCTGCGACACCTTTTACAGCGAAAAGGCCAAGGCAGAATACACCTCGGCGGGCCGCTATGCCACCCAACTCGTCCTCAACCGCGCCAAACCCGTCCAGCTCAAACTGAAAGAGTGGTTCGCCAAACTGCCCACCGACTGCAAAATGGACAGCTTCACCCCCGGCCAGCTCTCCTCCCAGGGCTACCTCCACCTCGCGTACTTCGCGACCGAAATCAGCATCCACCGCCGCATAGTCCAGTCGCTCGACCCGGCGACCTCTGACCCGTACATGCTGTACATCTGCCGCTCCGCCGCGAAGACCCGCCTCATCAGCGCCTTGGACTTCGTCAACCGCCTCAAACCCGAACATCTCGACGCATTCTGGTACTTCGCCTCGGCGTCCAACTTCGCCCTCGTGGGCACCTTCGGCGCCTTACTCATGGCAACAAGCCCCGGGAAAGAGGAAGCGTACTTCTACGCGTGTCGCCTGAACGAGTTCAAATGGACGTTGACGGTGAGCGGGAAGAAGGCGGTATGGATCCACGGCGCGCTGGAGATGTTGGATGCGACGAGCGAGATGTTGAGGCGGTTGCCGGAGAAGCCTTCGGCGACGCCGACGAGTGAGTTGCATTTGAGTGCGCCGGTGCAGGGGTTTCAGTTTGGGGAAGGCATGGACATGGGCGTGGGAATGGGGATGGATGGGGAGGGGTGGGGCGATGATGCTGGCACGGATGTTATGAGTTTGTGATGGCGTTGATGAGTGATGTCCAAGGGGAGTTTTTGGGCTCGGGATCATGATGGGATGGGATGAGTATAGATGATAAATACGACGGACTCCTTTTCAGAGCATATGAGATATGGCATGTACTTACACGGATGTGTAACTCGTTGAGACGCAACGGGATGCGGCTCTTTTCCTCTCGTCCATTACAGTCTTCGATCTCGCCTAGCTGTGGCCGCAACGACAGGTACTGTCACGCCTGGGCTCTGGCGGCCGTCAAAGCCTCCCTCCATACACATAGTGATCCAGCAGCTCGAGGAGAAACCTACACCCCGTTCGATGACCAAAAGACAACACGCCTCGCCACAATCCCTCCATCACTCCCCCTCAACTAACAGGCTGCTGAACCGGCCACCCCACCGCCGTCAAATTCGCCACCATATCCCTCGACAACCGATCATGCACCTGCCACACCGGATGATAATTATTACTCCAAAAGCACCCCGTCACATTGCGACACCCAATGCAACTATAGCACGTACTATCCCTGAACCCATAATACCGCGGATGATCCAGAATCGTGCTGAACGCACTATGCGCGTCGTAAACCACCGCGCGACTTCCCGGGTGCTGCGCCGTGAAATTCCGCACGTAGGCCGGGAAGAGGTTCTGGTTCCAGAGGGCGACGCCTTGGGCGTAGTTGTCGATGATTTTCTGGCCTTTTTCGAAGACCATGGGCGCGCGTTGGAGCGGGGGGAGGTTTATGAAGAAGAAGTTGCGCGCGCCGGTTATGTAGAGGTTGTCCATGAGGTTGAAGTAGGCGTCCAGGCGGGGTGGGAGGCATTCCGAGAAGGGGACGTCGGGGGTCGTGGTGAAGAGGAGGGAGCACCAGTTGATGTCGTTGATGCCGACCCAGGAGGCGAAGATGGAGGTGTTGCTTGTCCAGGTCATGCCGAGAGTCTCTCCGCCGCTGCCGCTGGAAGATTGGTTCGAGATGGGGATTTGGCTGGAGGTATTCCCGTAGTCCCCCGCGTAGAGAGAGGAGTATTTCGGCTCGTAGATGTTCAGCGCTTGGTCTGTATAACCATCTGGAATGCTCGCGCCGGAAATCGCAAAGTCGTACGTCAGTGTTGTGGTCGTGTTCCATCTTGCTGTGAGGAACTCGACCCAGTTGGGCCCGTTGGAGGAAGTTTGGTTGGCGATGAGTGGGTTTCCTAGTAAATCATCCGGTGAGGTGCCGAGGGGTGGGAAGCCTAGGGGTTGCGAGATGCTGGGTGCTGGGCTGGTTTCGTTGAAGCCGGAGGAGGAGTACGAGTCGCCGCTGAGTCGGGTGGGTTAGTTGTTGCATTGGTGTTTTTGAGGGGATGGGTGGTTCGGGTTGACTTACAACACGAAGAAATGGAGGATTGGGTTGCTTTGTGGTTGTTGGCGTTTAACGGGAGTTGCACCCACGACAGTAGCCGCAGCTACCAACACTAAGAACCTCATGTTCCTCGTTCAACCAAGAAACAGCAGAAGCCTAGAAGATGGAGTCCCCGCCGAGAGATATCGAAAGAAAGACTTGGCCTACCTCGAAGCTTTTGCTTCGTTTCCTACCCACGATGTTGCATCCGCTCAAGCGAACAGCTTCGATCCTTCGTTGCTGCAAGTGACACCGCTTTCCTGCTGACCTGACCTGACGTTGTTTCGCTCGAAGTGCTGGGAGGGAGGCTGGGAAAGGCACAGCAGGAAAGCTCGAGATCCCCGCATGTGAGTGAATCCCTCGATGACGCTGGACGCAGGAACAAAGTTAATACGGGCCGAAGAGGTCGGCTCCACCTGTACGCAGCTTGATGTGAATGCAAGATGATCGAGCAAAGTAGTGATATCTGGTGGTGATGTTTCTGTGAAGTGCTCTCTTTCAGGTACGCAGGTCTGTCGGTCAAGTCCAAAGCAGTCGACGTTCGCTTAGTCCTGCACAGGCGCAGTAGCAGTCCCCAAATACGCATCACCCTCGCCATAATACATGAACCACTTCCCCTTGAACTGCACCGTAGCTTCACTGAAGAGCACATTGCTAACCTGGCCTGCCGTAAAGACTGGTTGCAAAATCGGCAGCTCCATACGTGCAACTGGTGGGCCCCGAGGCGCGTTCTCCAGGTCGACGAGCATCTGTCCAGTGCTGTACTGTCCGAACTTGTAGCCACCGAATCCTTGTCCTACGCCGTTGTAGAATTTGATCCAGTGCTTGCCAGAGCGGGTCTTGATGAGGGCACCGGCGGATTCCATCAGTCCAAACTCCCAGTCGTGGATACGTTGGGCGAATGGTATGTCATTCTTGGTCTAGAGAGCAGACGTCGTCAGCTAGGACGTGAGAGACAAGCATACTGTTACTCACATAGTTCCAATTTATCAGATCCGTCGAGTTGGCAGTGTAAAGGTAGCTGTCTCCCCACTGCATCTGATACAGACCGTTGACCTTCTCCGGCGCAATCGCACCGCTCTTGCTCCAGCCTTCTCTTGGACGGTTGTAGTTGTCTTCCGGCCTGTACACGACATCGGTATTGTACGGCAAGATAGGCCCATGCTTCTGCCAGCTGACAAGATTCTCAGACGTCGCCATGCAAAGCACAGCCTGATTGCCGTTGAAGCCGGTGTAGGTCATGTAGAAAGTACCATTCACACGCACAAGTCGAGGATCTTCAGTTCCGTTGCGTTCGTAGGGTTCGGTGGGGAAGAAGACTGGTTGATTGTAGCGTGTGAAGTTGTAGCCATCGTAGGACCAGGCGAGTCCAATGCTCGAAATCAAGCTCTCATTCTGAGCGCGGTACAGCAGGAACACCTTGTCGTCGACTACTGCCGCAGCTGGGTTGAACAGGTAACTGGACTCCCAGCTGTTGTTTGAGGGACCCATGATCGGGTTGTTCTTGTATTGCGTCCATCCTAAGATGGGGAACTCAGGAGCTCTGTAATTGCGGTCGCCGTCCGTTGAATTGCGTGAGATGTTTGGATAGGTGCTGGAGCCATAGTAGTGAAGGTAGCTAGTGTTGAATTGGGCAAACGTAGAAGGAATGATGGCGCAGACGGAGAGGATGGAGGACAGACTGCATAGAGAACGCATCGTGGAATAATGGACAAGTGAGAAACACTGGTACCGTGACCACAGAAAGTCTCTGGGAGTGCTGGACTCTTATTGTATCTCTGCTCGATTTCCCTCTTGAATCGCTTCGCCCGTGCACGTGGTCGGCCGTACGGTCGATGACATCGCAAGCAGTCTTTGAACTCGGTGTCGAAATCTTTCTCGTTTGAGTAGAACCCCGCATGGTAGTTACCTCGACAGAATCCTGATGATGCTGAGCTCAGACTGTACCTTGCATAAGAGCAAAAGCTTGTCGGCTCCACAATCCAGCTCGACTAGGACGATGGTCTGATCAGTGATGCTAGGTCTGCGAAGACCGCTATCCCAGTAGGTCTTCGTGCAGTACTTTCAATTGTGCAAGTGATATCACAACCTCAACCATTTTTGATGAGGAATGAGTAAAACAGGCCACATGGAACCGCCACAAACGCCACGCTAATAACAAATTCGTTGAACGTTCTTCGCGCTCTGCTCGTTGTCCGCTTTCGCTTCTTCCATTTGGCTTGGCTGTCTTGGTCTTCGCCAACGTGAGACTCTTCATCTGAATCGTCAGGATCCTGCCACCGTAGCTCAGGGTAAAAGCCAGCTTTCTCAATGAGCGGGCGACTCTTGTCCTGCAGATTCGGCAAAACCTGGCTGCTGGTGTTGAAATTGTAGTTCATGCCAGCTGAACCAACAGCTGGGCTCACACTCCTCGTACGAGAGCTGTAACTTCGCTGGACGCTGAGATTGTTGTTGTTGATACTGGTTGTCGAGGTAGAGGTGGATGATGCACGCTGGCGGCCTTGCGTTTCGTTCTGCTGGCTTTTGTTTGGGCTAACATAGCCATTCGCTCTGCCGCTTTCCTTCGAGCTTGATCTTGACTGATATCGAGGCAAGGAGAGCTTTCTTCCAAACTCACTTTCAACCTCCTCATCGTCCACGGAAGGTTTGTTTCGAATACCGATGACTACAGCTCGAATGAGCAGAATCAACAAAGTCCAGCCGAGGAGTATCGCGTAATTGATGAAGATGCTCAGTTGATCAGGCAACAAACAGAGATGGCTCTGGATTGTGGGAAGTGGCGTTCCCACTGTGTTACCCATCTCATCGACGGGATTCCACAAGCTCACGAGTTGAAAGCCAGGCCGTCGAACGCCCATGGCCCAACTAAAGCTTTTGACAGTGATTTCTCTAGCTGTCTGCATGATCACTTGCTCCTTGTTAGTTTCTTCGTTCCAGCGTCCAACATTGAATCGATGTGTGATGTCGCAATAGTCATGGTCATCCCCTGAAAACGCATGAATGATGTCGCCAGCCTCGGACACCTTCTTCGTGATCCTTCCGGTCAGTGTCGGCGTGAGAACGTTCTGATATTGGTAGCCGCGGTGTATAGGAATCGACCTGCCTTTCTCTCGACTCTTGCCACAGTCAACATCGGGATTGCGGAATAGTGGAATATGTGAGAGGAGTATGACTGGCAGCTTAGGTTTCCTCTTCGCCTTTGCCCCCAGCGTCGGTTGATGTGTCATGTCTTTAGGATTAGAGACTTCGTGCCAGTAACCTTCAGCTTCGTGCTCTCCGGGGTAATACGCATTCAGCGTATCTGCAACGACCTTGGGCGCGATGCTCGAAAGATCATCTAGGAATTCGTCCGCTGGCTTCCAGAGATGCTGGAAATTTATCCTTCTCTCCTCCGACATCTCTCCATCGCCAAGCACATACTCGTCAAAGGCCGAAAGTGATGGGGCATCAATACCGACAAAAGTGTGATTCCCTATCACGTACACAGAGTTCGTGTCGCCGAAGTGACTCTGGAAACGATCGCGGACGGGCATTTGCACTCCAGCTCCAAATCCAAGGTCGTGGTTTCCAGGTAGGCTTGTCTTGACTTGTCGATGCCTGCCTCCAACGGCGTACTGTTGCCAGTTGACGTAGTTCGCCCCATTTTCCACACTGACAGCATCGGTAGCCTCGTTCTCCGCAGGTACCAGATTGCGATCCGAATTAGGGTACAGCTGCTCTGGTGCGAAGAAGATTCGCCCAAAACGTTCAAACTCCGAGTTCCACTGCTTGTCTCCATAGCTTGACCATCGTCCATCTTCCCCGTGGACAAATTCGCGCAAGTCGGTCTTGCCGTCTCGGGGCCATATGTTGTGCTCTTCTTTGGTGATGATGCGTGAGTGTGGGTGCGACTTGGCGTAATAGTAGCTGTCCAAGCTACGTTTATTAATGCTCTTACCTTGGGAAGACTCTGCCGCTCCTTTCTCTGGCCCATCGAGCCCTCTTGCCACCTTCTGACCTTCTTCTTCCCCTTCTTTGATTACACCAAGTTTTATCAATATATCTCTTTGGCTCCGCGTCAACTTCCTTGCGCGGCTTGTAGCCCATTCCCTTCCTCCATCGAACAGGTCTCCTAAAAACACCACCGAGTCGGGGTCCAGCTTTTCATTAATTAGGCGAAAGTTGCGGGTCATGTACAGGTCGGTGTATGTCTCGGTCAGGCTGGACAGGGGCCAAGGACGTCCAGGATAAGTGTGAGGATCGACGAGCTGAGGGTCTGCAACGAAGACCAGATGGTGAGGTCTTGCATGATGCGGCCATTCTTCCCATTTGTCCCAATTGCAGGCTTGAATATGAGATTGGAAAGTCGAACGCTCACTGCTGTACAATGCGTAGAACCAGACGCAAGTCAGGAGCGTCGTCAGAATGGAAAGATAGCGTAGGAAGGCGTAACGTCGCGTGATCCGGCGAGTGGCCTGGGTGGCATAGTGCCGGAATCGCATCCTCAGGAACGAGCGTGGGGGGCTGTTGAGGCAGTGAAAGGCATTGTGAAGGGTGCCTTGACACTACAGACCGGGAGTGTAGCGTGAGAGGGAGAAAGACGAGAAATTGGGTGAAAGGAGACGGATACATTCACTCAACTTTCTCTCTACCACGCGTCACGGCTTCCAGAACTCTTGGCGCGCAACGGCCGCTAGGACCCCGCATTCCGGCGATCCGTTCCGCGCCTCCTTAAACTCAACCTCGTCCTCCGAACGAACATCGACTTGCAGAGTGAACAAGTCTGGCTTGCCCTTCTACATTCTTGCGATTCAAATGGACTGATCTATATCCCTACCTTACAGAACGCCTGGAAATCTCTATTGCATACACTCATGCACTTGCCAGGCTATTTTGCAGGGACCCGATCCATTGCTGCTACTGAAGATCTTCTCAAAACAATGCTATCGGGCGTCATGCTTGAGAATGGATGGCTAGCAACCCACCGCACCATTTGGCGGACTTGAGAAGACACATATACTGGCGTCTGGAGGAGCTGACTTTCTGCGGTTTCAATCGACAGACGATTAAGCCAACTCTAACGCCCCCCTTGTAAGCCTCTAGGGCTTCGAGCAGCCATCGAACCGAGCGAGACTGTGTTCTGCATCAGTGCTTTACAAAGTAGTTATCCCGGTTCAATGCTGATATGGCGATGGGAGAGGCCAATCGTGGTCCAACCTATTGCTCGGCCGCCCGCTTGGAGAACGTCGAGCAAGTAGCATATGTTCGCTTTGTGCCTGTTCCTGCATCGGTCTCTGCTTCCACCGATGATGGCACTGCCGAATATTCCATGGCTTTCAGCACACCCTCCTCCGCTTCGTTTGCCGGCCTTCGCCAGGTGGTGACTCAGGCTGGCTTCTGCCACACGCGATGATCGACCGAACCCGCGAGAAACTATGAAATGCAGCACCAGGACGCGTCGACCTCGGACAAATGAATCAGTCTACAGGAAATTACGAGACATACTGGCCACGTTTGATGCAGAGTCAGTGACAATTTTGATCGAAAATCTGGCAAAATCTCGTGGTCGATTCATGCAGGAACCAACATTTCCAACACGATCTTGCCGGATATCACAGACCCGACCCACGTCAGTGATGATGAGCGACTTGGCATTGCCGAGTTTCAATCCCTCAAGACCCTTCTCAACGTGTGCAGGCATTCTATACCAAGGGTGATTTGACAAGGAGGAAGGCACTCCGTGCAGGGTGAGTACTACAATCCCGAAACCCGGACTTCCTTCCGCTGCACTTGACTTTGGAAGACCAAGAACATCAGAGTGGAGCATCTTTCGTGGCGGCTCCTCTGAATGTGTCCTGTGATCTCACCAAGAAACCCAGCTGATGTTCCACTTCTTGGGTCTTACCTCGTTACGGGATACAACGACAACGAAGAAGTCAATCAGACGCTGAAATGCCCCCGCCACGTCGATCGCTTTATTAGAAGCTGAAGCTCAACGTGATCCACCAGAGTATCCTCTACATCTATGATGCGTGACATCTCTAGCCTGGACAATTTCAACAACATCATGAGGTTTGAAATCCTCGCACATAGGGCCTCCAATCTCTCGCCACGCCCTGTATCAACAAGACTAGGCTATGCACCCAAGTCTGACACTGTCTGGCTTTTGCTTGAACAGCGTTGTGTTGCCGTCGCGGACCGCACTCGAAACGAGTCTCTGCGAACACCTTGCGGAAGAACCATGTCCGTTCTCTCAAAGTTCCTCAGCGTCCCAAATTCTAGGAACCCGAGACGTCATCCCTGTGGAGCACGTTGCACGATCCCTACCGACACACCTGTCTCGTGAAAGGCTGGAGCTTAAAGTTTGGAACTGAATTAAATCTGAAGCAGATGCTGGACCTTGGACGGATACACCGGGCTTCAATAGACGAAGAGGGAACTCCGTGCAAGAGTTGCCGATCTGACCGGCGTATATATGTCGACGATGGATCACTAGCTGGCTCACATTCATTCTCTAACTCTACGCTCGCTGTCTTTCTCAGTCCTTAACGCTTGAGAGTTTCGTCTTGTTTACAACCCAGCATGCACTTCACAACAGCTGCCGCAGCGGCTATTGGCCTTCTTGGCGTCAATGTGGCCGCTCAAGGTCTTGGTCAGACCGCGATCTGCCCATTCGATGGAAACCGCGGTCCGAATATCTTATTGGCCGTCGTTCAGTCAGTCACGACTCTCACTCAACGTTTCCAGACACGTTTGCTAACGTCCTTCAAGACTCCCCGATGGTGGCACCGAGATAGATGCTTGGCTCTACGGCTACAACTGGTGCAGCCACAGCAACTTCGTGTCTAGCTCAGGCGACATCTGTTCCGATACCGGAAGCAACGACAATACGGTCGAATTCATGCACGCCCCATTCACTAACAAGTTCGGTGCCTTCGATCCCATCTGCTACGCAAACATCGATATTCAATTCTTCGGATGCGAACCCGGACAGAATGGCGGCTTCAACTACGACAACGTTGTGGCGTGGATTACATCCAAGCCCCCGGACCAGATCACCAACAGTGCCGTCGATGCTGCACCCAACTTTGGACCTCAAAGGGGACAGTTCGGCCAGCCTCCGCAGGGTGCGATCCCACTGTCCCAGGCGGGACCTGGACAGTTCAATGGCCAACAAGGTGGACAGCAGCCGCAACAAGCGCCACAAGGTCAGGTCGGCAAGAGACAGCAGTCTCAGTCTCAGGGCGGCGTTGGTCAATCCCAGAACCAGCAGCTCGGCGGTCTCCAATCCAACAACGTGCCAGGCTCATTCAATCAACCTCAAGGCATCAATCCCCAGCAGCAGGGTCAGTTCAACCCACAGCAGCAAGGCTCGTTCGCTCCTCAACAGGGTCAATTCAACCCACAGCAGCAGGGCCAATTCAACCCACAGCAACAGGGCCAATTTAACCCACAGCAGCAGGGTCAATTCAATCCTCAACAACAAGGTCAATTCAACCCACAGCAACAGGGCCAATTCCCTTCTCAACAGGGTCAATTCAATCCTCAGCAGCAACAGCAACATCAGCAGCAAGGCCAGTTCAGTCCCCAGCAGCAAGGCCAATTCGGCGGCCAACCGGGACCATACGGTGGCCAGCCAGGCGGCGGTCAACAGCCAGGCCAATCGGGCTTGCAGCCGCAGGTCTCGTATCTCTACCAATGCGTTGATGACAGAGAGCACCGCGGCTGTGTCTACAACAGCCAGATTGATCCTCCTTCTGAGACCAAGTATACTGCTTTCTTGAGCGTAAGTCTTTCCTTTTCACTTCACTCTTCTGATTTGTGGCTAACAAGCTTCTCCAGTGTGGTGTTATGGCCGAGCCGTAAACGAGCCGTAAGCGAGACAAGACAGAAAGGCCATACTGGCATGTGAGATTGGAACCAAGGACGCAACAATAACTGGTGGGAACTTATAGGTGTACGGATGGGCATGTAATACTACGGAACAAGAGAAATATCACCGTGTGAACCAAATTTCATTCGTTCAATCCTTCTCGAGTCCTCGCCTTTGTTCTGAGACTTCCTCGTCGCCTCTGATAGGTTGGTCTCCGATAGGTTCGTGGAGATGCCAAGAAAATACTCCTTCCTAATCGGGACAGCTACACTGCCCTAACCTCATTTCGTGTTTTTTCAGCATAAGGCCCGTTCCGTACGATACCCGGAGGCTCTGAAGGAGGAAAAGTCGCAACGTCATATACCATCTCATACAGCAGCAGGCCTCATGCTTCGAAGCAACGTCGTAACCCATTGATGGTAGTGCCAAGCCCTAGTGCAAAGGAAGAGCAGCATGCCGGACTTTGCTGAGCGCATTCAATGTCCGACTCAAAGTCATGGACACAGATATAAAGAGTCTCTCCTCGTAGCTCACACTTACGCTGAGCAACGCTCTGACTACCCCTCTCACTAAGATTATAATCGCCCGCCATGTCCAAGCCCCTCCTCGTCATCTTCGGCATCACAGGCCAACAAGGCTCCTCCCTAGCCACCCACATCCTCACCGACCCGCTCCTCTCCAAAACCTACTCCCTCCGAGGCATCACCCGCGACCCAAGCAAACCCGACGCCCAAGCCCTCCAATCCCGCGGCGTGGAGCTGGTGAAATGCGACCTCGACGACCGCGCCTCCATCCGCGCCGCCCTGCAAACCGCCCACACCGTCTTCGCCATGACGGCCACGATGTACAAGCCCGGTGGCATGGAGCAGGAGCTCGCGCAGGGGAAAGCCATCGCGGACGAAGCGGTGGCTGCTGGGGTGCAGTTTTTCGTTTATAGCGCTGTGCCTTCGCCGAGGAAGATTTCGAGGGGGAAGTATCTTGTGGATTCTTTTGATATTAAGGATGATGTGAAGGATTATATCGAGGGGTTGCCGTTGAGGAGTGCGTTCTTTTGGCCGGGGTGTAAGTTTTGTTTTTCTGGAGTTGATTTAGGAGATGGGTGGAGAGCTGATGATTTTGTGAAGCATTCATGCAAAACTTCCACGGAGAGTTGGCGCCACGGCCTGGTCCGGATGGCTCTCTCGCAATCACGAATTTCGTCTCGCCTACAACCAAGTACCCCCTCATCGACATCGCCGGCGATACAGGCAAATTCGTTGGCGCGATGCTAGCGGAGCCCGATAAGTACGTTGGCAAGACGGTCTGCGCAGCAACTCGCACGTACACCATGACGGAGATGTGCGAGATCATGAGTCGATCGTGTGGCAAGAACATTGCGTACAATCAGGTGCCCAAAGATGTGTTCGCTGGCTTTGTCCCGGAGGCAATTCGGGAGACGCTTTTGAATATGCTGGCGTATTTCGAGGAGTTTGGATATTATGGCCCCGAGACGGAGCAGCTGGTCGGTGTTGCGGCAAATGGTGCCAGAAGAAAGCCGGTTGAGTTTGAGGAGTATCTGAAGAGAGATCCCCTGAAGGTCTGATGACGGGGACATTGTCTAGAGCCGTGGATAGCTTCTGCTTTCATTACAATGGTATCACTGCTTCCCGTCACCAGGGAAGTTCGCCCGGTTCTCCAGGTTCTGGCAATTGTAGCAATGTGCTCCACATTTCCAAGTCGTCTGGTGTCGGCGTATCAAGAGGTGGAAGCGTCTCTGGGGAAAGGACGCCACCGTCATTCGTTTCTTGGGACCGTATTCCACCATGTCCCATCGCCATGCTTGTAGGGCGGGCTGTGTCAGTCACGTTATCTCTGGGACCGTCTCCGCGCGACCGTTCGACAACTGCCCCTGCAATACGTCGAAGGTCCTGCAGGAACGGCAGAGACCACTCTCCCTCCGTTTGAAGTTCGAGATTGTGAGAGCAACCGATCGCGATGTCTGTGTATGTCATTCAGCTTGACATTCAGACTTTACCTCGACACGCTTACCGAGCAGCAAAAGCTCTGACCGACATGTACCCATTTCGGAGGCGTGCAAGATGTGAGTGAATGTACAAATGGAGGCGTAAATCAAGCCGAATCCTGCAACACTACTTATATTAGTGCTGATGAGCTTCTCGTTGAGGAAGTTGATCCAAGATGGACTTACAGAGAGGCACAACTAGCATCCACATGGACACTTCTTGACGCGAGGATGATGCTGCGGCACGCTTGGACGACTGCACCACGAGAAGTCGCGTGGGAGACCTGTCCAGAGTGACTGTCGTCTTTGTGCTGTTCGATCCGGCCACCTGTCCATGGCCGTGATAAGAAGACATTGACGTTCAATACGATACAGTGATAGTAAAAGTAGAGGATAAGGGCCTGGCGGGAATCCAGGCCAGCTGGTAGCTTGAGTGTGTCCAGGGGCTGGGATAGGTCAAAGTCGTATGTTTCAGATGTAGCGGTCTTGAAGCGGTCGAGCTCAGCAGATAGTTTAGAGATAGTCGAGGTGAGGTCAGCGATGCTCTGCTTCAACGCAGATGCATTCGAGAGGCGTTTCGCGACTAAGGATGAGACTTGACTGAGATGGACGAGCAGTCGACAGAAGAGATGCACATCATTCTGGTCTGCTAGACAGCAGCTGATCTCGTCGTCACCGATCATCTGTAGCCTTGTTAACCCACGGAACATGTTCCAAGGGGTGTGATCTCGACTGACCGATGGCCTGCCGGAGCGAGATACCGTCTGCTTTTCAAGACAATATATAGCCCAGAACAAACGGTTGCGATGCTCGACTTCTCTGCGAGGCATGTTCCATGAGAGTGCACTCTGCCGGTGCATTCCCATGGAGCATGCCAGTCGCATCGCATTCGACGTCAACATGTACTGTAGGGATGAGCTTGAAAGGCCTTCTGAGAAGTAGGCCTGGTGGGATTGAGTCAACACGGACTGTTCTTCGTAGAGAAAAGGGCGGAACTGACCATAAGCGTCAAAGCCTGAACACCTATCATCGACGAGCTATAGAGCAAGAGGTTTGGAAGGCAAGCCATGGCATTTTCAAACAGCGCCCACGAAGCGCGCTTTGCCTCACGGAAGCCAGCTGTTTTCGAAAGATGAATGCGACAGCCGGCAGCCAAGAGAGCATTACGCAGTGCATACCACGCGCTATCGTCTCGAGCATGATCGAAATGTGCTTTTAAGCGGGCATTGAACCAGGCCTGATCGACGATGCGGAAGGCGGCTTCAGGAGCGTTGGAGAAGTACTCTACATCATTGACATCAGCCTGACTCTTAGATGCTGTGTTTTAGATAAGGATACCCGAGCTGTACTTCCACGCAACATCTGGCTCAGGCTCTATTGCGCGAGCGGTTGGGAGGGTGCCCTCGACTTTGAGTCTGCGCGCCATGCTCTTCGTGAGGTTGACCGCAACGGGCTCGAAGTCCTCCGAAGTCGACTTTGAATTGACCCACTCGATACCGGGTCGAGAGCATATCGAAAGGAAGCTATTAGGCCCTACACGCTATTGGTAAAGTTGACATGACTTGAGGACGGGCCTTGAAGGTATACCATACCGAAATACTCATGACTGGGCTGTATGGTTTCGGTCGAGCATCAGCGCAATGATCAGTGCATTACGGAGGCTCAGGTGCGATGTCATCAACATACCGCCTGGGCAACGTAGACACCGTCGTTTTCCTTCTGTTCAATGTCTCCCTCGTCGTGACGAGCTGCAACCGAATCACTCAAGTGGTCTTCAGACACCGTTTGAGGGGTAATAAGTCCGAGAGATTCTTGTACGAACACAAGCGGACGGATATGAGATGCTTGTGAATGAGCTTTAGGAGATCTCGTTGACGGGATTGCAGGCGTTGGTAGGCATGCTGGTGCTGGTGAACGATCTACATTCTTAACCAAGGCCTCGATGTGATCAAGCCGCCGGCGAAGTTCATCGGGAGCGTCCTGCAATCGCGATTGATGGGGCCGAGCAATAACACAAGTCTTTCCATGATCGAGACAGTTTGAACATGGCGAACTGCCATTGCCTGGATGTGTGTTAGCTATCGTCGGCTCAACGGGGGAGGGGTTTCGAACAGCGGATCTTCTTGGCACGGCAGTAGGTGCACGCCACCGGTCGTCTTCGACTGCGTACTGACCCTGGTCGGGGAGAGACGTTTCCAGATTCGTTCGCCATGGGTAGCAATTGGAGTTGTCTTCTTGACGAGGGAAGTCGGCCGCGAAAGAATGGCAGAAGGCTGCGGTGACTTCCCGAACGAAAGAAGTCGGGAATTCGGCCCGGGCGAATGCCGTGAACCGCAGTGACAGTGTTCTTCCTTTGCTCTGACAAATCCAAGTACGGAGACCGGAGTGCCTTGTTGTGAGTCCGTTCGCGTCATGGTGCGAAGTTGACATTTCGTTTCAAGCAGAGTGAGCTAAGTGGTGATTATGACTATTGCTCGGACTTAACACGCTCGTCTTCAGCCTGCTGCTCCGCCCAGCGCCTCGCATGACATTCCACCCTTGCCTTGAAAGACTGCAATATGCTGCCAGCAGCCTCTGGTGTGGGCACGCTACCTTCCGTTGTTCGAGATGGTGGATGATGTTCAATCAACTTTGTGCCATTTGCTTCGAGGACCAGCCCGGAGTGTCCTTTATCTACCCAATCGTCTTGATAGGCGTTCTCCAGATCGGCTAGGTAGTTGTAACCGCGCATGATTGTATCCATTGGTGTGAGCTGTTCTGGGGACATTGCATCAAGCACCCCTTGCGGAAGAATCGTCGTGGCGACGATGGCTGGACATAATACTGTCAGCCGAATGTTGGCCAGCTTTGCCCCTTCGCTGCGACCAATAGACCGACCAAGCCCAGTAATTGCATGTTTCGTTGCTGTGTACTGTGGCAAAACTGGAATCGGCCATATCGCAGCACCTGAGCCGGTGAGAACGATTTTGCCGCCCTTGTACAATTTTCCAGCTTCAGCATTCGTCTTTGACAAGTAATGCGCGGCTATGCTGATCCCATAATATCTAGGGCAGGGTCAGCTCTGCCACAATGTGGTTCATCGTGCGATTAGCACTTACGCTCCGATAACATTGACCTCGAATGTAGCCAAGTTGGGACGCCTTGGTGGTTCGTCGAGAAGTGTGAAGATGTCGTCTCGATCATCGATTCCAGCGTTCAACGCGCAAAAATCAAGTCGACCCTGCCATTCGTATGCTTTCTGGAATAGGTGTACTTGTTGATCCCACGAGGATACATCTGTCTGGACGAAAAGAGTGCCTGGAACGGTTTCGCTTGGAGATGTGACATCTGCCATCACCACATTCCATTTCAACTTGATCAGATGCTGAACCAGGGCGCGTCCTATGCCTGAAGATGCGCCAGTGACGACGGCGACTGGTGCTGTCATATCGAGTGCCAGGGAGAACGACAATCGTGCGCAACGAAGCTTCTAGAGTCGATGCGAGAGATGTAGTAGTCGTTTCGGAATGAGGCTCCTTGTTGAAGAAACACAGCCGGCGCCTTTCCATTTTAGTTCGGCCCGGCGAGGAAAGTCAGCAGAATCATATATATTAGACCAGAGTTCGATATGTAATTTCCATTCGAGCACTGCAGTATCAACAACACACTGTACAGCACCACCAAACCTCAAGCCCGTTCTATCGCGCCCCGCAATCGAATCGACAATGTCTTTCACAACCCCAGAATCGCTCAAGGCTCGCGGCCTCGAGATCCTCAGGATTCTCTGCGTCGACAAGGCCTTCGACAAGATGCCAGGCGTACTGGACCCCAACGTCGAAGCATACCACGATGACGAGGCTGCCCTCGTCGGTCGGGACAATTTCATCTCTCACTTTCAGCATCTCCTGACTGCGGTACCCACCTTCTCATACCAGATCTATGACTCGGTCGCGGAATTGGACAAGGGAGGCAAGGGTGGAAGGGTGTGGATCTTTTCCAGGCTTTTGGGGCTCCCCAAAGGCATCCAGAAGGACACGGTCGACATGTTTGATATTGATGGGGAGGGTCGGCTGGTGCGAATGAAGGACGTCCAAAGGCTTGTCGCGCAGTAGGCCGTACTCCGCAGACGTCCGCTCGTGTTTGGCTCGGGTAGAGTCCACGGAGGCTGGAGTTGAGACTAGAGTACCGGCTCGGTGGCATAGCGAATCGTCTCGATTGGCGCAACAACAACTCGCCAGTCGGATGCATAGAGAGTTGAGGAGAACACTGGCCTGTATGGAGAGTCATGCAATCTATGTTGCTTATCAAATCGCGCGAATGAACTGTTTCTCTCTCTCTTTCTTGCCATCTCCGCCTGTAAGGCAATTGTGATATTTGTCCGATGATATTTTGGCTCCAGTAGCTAGCGTGACATCTGGAAAGTACGATCAGTGGGCAAATGGGTCTCTTGATGAAAGACTGGAAGAGGCATACTAGCCTTCACGATTGCGAAGAAGGCCGAGGAGTGTCGTCCAAGATCCCTGTTGACGCTAAACCCAGATAGGACACATATCAACAAACAGAAGGAACGCCTGGGAAGTGAATCTTATCTGTGCATAGCACTCGAGTCGCAAGTGGATCGGACCGCGACAACATAGTCGATCTTACCAGTACTTGATTCCAGCTTCATCGCTATTCACCGAGCATCCATGGCACCACGCGCCAAAGCCGCGCCGCAACGAGCAGGCGCCGACGACAGCGAAGACGACCTCGCGACTACCGCCATTCACTCCGAGACGACGCGCAAAACCGCCATGCCGAAAGCAAAGACTGCCGCAACGAAAGCCGCACCGAAGCGCAAAGCACCGGCGAAACAACCGCGACAAGCTCTGAAAGATCGCACGAATATCCAGGACGAGACCGAGGACGCGTTAGACGAGGAAGAAATGGCGCCCAAGACCAAGCGCGCAAAGACTACAAAGACAGCGACGCGAAAGAATGCGGCCGCAGAAGATGAAGAGCCAAAGAAGGCGCCGGCGAAGAGAGGGAGACAGACGAAGCGGGCCCCGTCGCCAGAACCGCTCATGACGATACCAGAGACTCAGCAGGATCCGGAGCAGTTTGACGATGTGGAGCAGTCGATTGAGGCAGACCCCGAGAACATGGATATTGAGAAGGAGCCCACGCCGAGGCAAGTGCAGAAGTTCTTCCAGCGTGCGCCATCGGTACCACTCCAGCCTCTTCAGCCGCGACCGAGTGCACGACCCGGTGTGCGATCTGGATCGGCCCAGCCAGCGTACTCTCGCGCCCGCAGTGGGAGTGCCAGTGGCAATGAGCGACGAGGCGGCGACCCAGAGCTAAGGAGGCAGCTGAACGACCTGACGAAGAAGTACGAGAACCTGCAGCTGAAGTACGAGAGCCTGGAGGATGTCGGCAAGACGCAGGCAGAGTCCAACTTTGACAAGCTGAAGCGGGCGAGTGATCAGAAGGCGAGAGATGCTCATGACTTGATTACATCGCTCAAAAAAGAGCTGGCGGAACTCAAGAAATCAACCTCAACCAACTCCTCAGAAACAACCGGCCTCCAAAAGCAAATCACAACCCTCACAACCACCAACGACAAACTAACCACCGAGCGAGACGACCTCAAATCCAAACTCCAAGTCTCCCAAAACGAAACCAAATCCCTCGAAGCGAAACTCGTCCAAGCGCGCCAACAACTCTCCACTTCCACTCAAGAAGCCAAAGCCCAAGCCGACAGGAAAACCAACCTCCCAGCCACCGGAGGCGACGCCCAAAAGGAAGCCAAAATGAAAGAAAACCTCTACGCAGACCTCACAGGCCTCATCATCCGCGGCGTCAAGCAACGAGAAAGCGAAGACGAATACGACTGTATCCAAACAGGTCGCAACGGCAGTAAGTCCCCCATAACCCATACCACCCCCTCCTCCCATCACCCACTAACCCCCTTCACAGCCCTACACTTCCACCTCTCCATCGCCAACGACACCACGACCCTGCACCCCAAAACCCCCTCGAACCTCAGCTACGAAGACGCCGAATTCGCCTACGAGCCCCTCTTGGACGAGTCCCGGGACCGCGAGCTCCTGGATCTGCTCCCCGATTACTTGACCGAGGAGATATGTTTCCCGAGGAATCACGCGCAGAGGTTTTATGGTAAAGTGGTGGATAGTATGACGAAGAGGATTGTTGTGGAGGAGGATGAGTGAGTGATTGATTGATTGATGGATTAAAGTAATGAGGAAGGAAAGTGGAGTGGAGGGCGATGATGTTTTTGATTCCCAGGCGCTTTCTTTGTTTGGATTCACTGCACAGGGCGTATGGGGTGTTCAGGATCGGGTACTGTAGTCAGCCAGTCTCTGTGTTCTTGCTTGCAGTTTGGGTAGCGAGAGATGCTATGAGCTCAAATGAAACGATTCGTTGTTTTTGCTCTCGTTGAGAAAATCTTCAAAAGTACCCACCAAAAAGTGTGTATCGCTATGCATTCGTTCCATCCCATCCCGTCCCATCCCATGCCTCGCCTCGCCTTGCTCGCTATCAATCAAAAAATCAAAAAGCATCACTCGCCCAATGGCCCTTACACTGAAGAGCGAATCGCCACCGCCCTTCTAGCAGTAAAGCAGCCGAACAAGCAAGCAAAACAAAGTCGTAAAAATCGTAAGCAAGTGTAGAGGAGAAAGACCGTCAATGAGTCAGTCCGCCTCTTGTGCTATGTCTTCTCCTCCTCGCCGTCGCGAAGAATGGATGGATGGATGGACAGCAACCCGCACCATAGTAGGAAAAAGACGAAAAGTCTCGTGGATCAATCAATATCAACACCCCATGCCCAGTCGCTTCGAAACACAAACAGTCGTTCCCGTTCCCATCGTCCATCTTGCGCCATGTTTCCCGTCCCCGTTCCCAGTCCCACCCGTTCTGTGTTGGCGTTATATGAAGCAAGGAAATAAGCGGTCGGGTATCATAAAATGCAGTCCACACACTCCCTTCTTTCGCCTGCCTGCCTTCCCATTGTTTCCATTCGTCATGTGTTTGTTCGCTCCATTTGTGTATCAGACACTGTCGTCAATGTCGTTCAGGACCATGTCTCTCAGTTCTTCCAGAAGCTCGAGCTATGAGCCCAAGGTTTCCACTTCGTGGTTATTCTCAGCGCCGGCGATCGTTGCCGAGTCCCCCGAAGTGCTGGCTGCTGAGCTGCTGGCCTCGCCTCTCGTCTCCTCTGATTCGGCGGTCTTCTTCTCGTCCACGCCTTGCTCTCGACAGAGAGGACACGAGTTTCGACCCGTCGTCAGCCACTGATCGATGCACTCTTTGTGGAAGAGATGGTCGCACTTAACAAGCTTGCGCGCTACTTCCTTCGCCTCGAAGTCGCACAAGCATACCAGACAGCGCTGGCCGACGTCAATCGTGACCTGTTCGTCGCCTTCCATGGCCGTGGCGACCAAAGCTGCAGTCTTGGCGGCGTCCGCTGGCATGTCCGCGGTCTCGATATTGTACAGTCCACCCGCACCCTGGACATCTTCCTCGGTGGCGACTGGAGCTTTGGCTGGGCCTAGGAGTGCCGAGAGAAGCATCATGTCTTCGTATGTAGGGTTCTCGGTGAACAAGCTGGGCGTCGTGAGTATTGGATGATTCTCTGGATAGGAACCACCCAGCACGTAGATGATCCAGCTGCGGGAGTCATTGCTTGTGTTGCGGTTCTCGTTGCTGGTTGACTCGGTATCGCCGTTGGTTGATGAGCGCGATAGTGATGGCAGGTTGTCTGGCTCAACGACGCCATTTCTTCTTGGGTGTCCGGACGCGAAACGAGGGTAGTGAATGTTGGGTGCTGTGTCTGATCGTCGATGAATGCGATATGGCTCCGAGTCTCCCAACAAGCCTGTCCCAGAGTGTGTGGAGTGGAGAGAGGCCGTCTCTTCCGTATGTGAGCTGAGTGGGCTTGCGCCAGATGCTCTGTGGAGCATGCTGTTTCGCCTCGACTCGCTGCTGAAGTCTCGCATGCTGTTAGCCACTATAGATGTAGGTCTTGAGTGGCTCGGGGTGCTATTTCTGCTTGAGATTCGGCTCAGTTCGGGACTCGGGCTCGCAGGCGTCGCAGGCGGTGGTCTCGGCTCGTAGTTTGAACTTGAGCTCGCCACACTCCAGGGGCGCTCTCTCCGCCTATCGGGTGATCGATGGTCTCTCTGGTCGTCCATCCGATCGCTCAGCCGGCTCCTGCCCATGCCGAATCCACCCATGCTGGCTCTCCGCCTGTGTCTGAATGAGGTTCCGTTCTGTGGAGGTCGTAGAATCGAGTCGATGCTTTCATGCCCATGTGTACCGAGCGCGTGCGCAGGGAGTGGGGTTGGAAAGTTGCCTAGGGCGTCGATGAATGGAGGCAGATCCTCGCTGGGCGAACCAGCTCCAGCGTTGGAGCTGGGGCTGATGGAGCGAATCCCTACTATGATGATAGGCACCATCCTGCCCTCAGCACCGCCAGAGCCGTCCGAGGCATCAGAGACTGCAGATCCACGTGGGTCTTCATTGTTTGGTCCAGAGGCGCCGAAACGGAACATCCTGAAGAAGTTCAGAGGCGGTCCTTGTGACTCGGTGCCTTCTGCACCGTTCTCGGCGCCGCCCTGTCTAAGGGCTGACGCTATCCGGCCGTTCTGCAATGCTCTTAAGAACCCGTCAAAGCTGCCGTCCTCTCCACTGCCGCCCAAATCGCCCAGCCCGGTGCTTCCAGTCAAACTCCTAGCCTCACTCAAGGCGTTGTGATCATCTCCCATCAGAGTCGCTGCAGTAGCTGCAGCCGCCACACTGAGTAGCCGACTCAGCATAGCTGCTTGATCTTCGTTCCTACGAGGTCGTATTGAAGAGACTGACGGCGGCGGCGAGCGTCTTCGGCGGAGAGAGGAGGTAAGGTGGCGTACGGGTCTGAGGGAGTTGAATCGGTTGGAGCGTCGACTCTGGTTTTCGTTGCGGGGCGGTGAGGGCTCAGGATCAGACGACTGAGGTCCAAAGGGCTCGTGGTCGAAGGTGGAGGAGAGATCAATAGAAGGTAGGCGGGGCATGAACTCGTCGCCGTGGCTGCTGTTCTGTCCACTCCTCGCATACGACGACCGGCGCTGCAAGAGGTCGTGTGATAGTCGCGGGGCACGAGTGCTATCTCGTCTCCATATGTCCCGGAACCGTGACCGTGTGCGCTGTAAAGGGCCTGGCTGGTCTATCGGCTCGAGGTGTGCTCGTACAATGTCTTCCTCGCTGTTGCTGGGACGCCATATCTGAGAGAAGCGGTTGGTGTTTTCTGAGCGAGCGTGTGTCCGGCGCTGGTCGGCGTTGAGCAGGTTGCTGTCGAGATCGTCCTGACTCGTATTGCTGCTGCTGCCGCCCAGAGCGCGGGTGGTGAGGGCTCTCCGCAGCGACGATGTCGTCTCGGCCCTCCGCGGGCGCTCAGCACTTCTGCGCTCCGGCCGCGAGGAGTCTTGGCCCATATTGGCCTATGGGTATGCGTGTGCCTGTCGAGGCAGGAGAAGCGGATGAGGCTATGCGTACATCACTCGGGTTCGGAGCGTCGGCGGCGGCGTAGCCTGAGGATCAAGGGGGCTGGCTGGCGAACAGAGGTTGCCGCCAGGGATGAGATATGAGCGGAAGGGCGGACTAGGAGCGAGGGGCGGTGGGTGCGATAGTGATGTCGTCGGGGATGGTGTCGTGTGTGGGCGTGGTCGTCGCAACAGGCGTGATGCGGACGACGAGCCGCCCCCAGCGAGTGACCATCCAGCCAGTGACTTGCGCTAGCGCGTGCAGCAGCAGTTCAGCCCGGCCGCCGCCCTTTCGGATGGCAACCTTTTAGCCACACCTCTCCACCCTCATGAAACACGCCCGGCCCCAATAATTCACCCCTACACGTGGCCAGCAAACTTCACGTCTCATCTTGTCGCAGTAATTTGATATTCTGCGCTACGCTATATCAAACCATGTGACCATGGCGTCCTTCGCCCCCGTCTACAACCCGCCCACCTCTCACCAGTCTTTTCTCACACGCGAGCAAAAGCGTGAGCGCAAGCGCAAACGAGATGCGGGCGGCGACGGCGACAACGATGGAGACGTATCCTCAGACGAGCAATCTCCGCTGCCGAAAGACGAAGACGAGGACCAACCCCGAGTGCCGCACCCGGTCAATAAGACGGATCCTTACTACGTCGCCGGACATCCAAGGGAACAGCCTCTGCCTCGTGGAAATTTCCCGCATGCCGCAATCAAGGAAGCCAGGCAGACTGATGAAGTGCCCATTGAGGAGGAGATCGCACGGTTGAACCCGCCTCTTTTCGTGTCGAAATATACACCCCAAGACAAGCATGGCTCGCTCAAACGGCGGCATCTTGATAATTTGACTGCCGTCTTGCATCAGTGCATGCTTCGTGGCGATTGGAAACGTGCGTCTCGTACCTGGGGTCTGATCCTACGTACTGAAGTCCAAGGTCGCGGTATAGATGTCCGCCAGAATGGACGCTCGTTAGTCGGTGCAGAACTACTCATGCGACGCAATCAAACTCTGGAACAGCGGCAAGTACGACCTCCAAGCTCAAGCAGTGCTGATAGCAACCTACAGCGCAGTAATCACGATGATGATGCCATGCTGCCAGTCATATCCGACGAGGGCTTCAAGACGGCCCGAGACTACTACGAGCGGCTGATCTTGCAATATCCGTACCTGCAACGGGCACCTCACTCTGCAATCAATGCCCTGGCCATCTATCCTGCATTATTCAATGTGTGGATGTACGAAGTACAAAGTCGAGCAGACCGAGCACGTCGAAAGATTGGTGTGGTGCCTGGTTCTGGCGAGTCTGATCTTGATCGCAGTCCGGGGCGCGATGACGAGAATGATGCAGTCGAGCGGAAGAAAGGCTTCAACCAGATCAGAAACCAAGAACTCCAGCAGGCTGTCCCAATCGCCCAGCGAATGGACGAACTCGTCCTGAATCCGCCGTATGACAACAGCTTGGAACTCTTGGACCAGCGAGGTAACCTTGCACTCTGGCTGAGCGAGATGCACCGTGACATGTCTAAGATTTACCTGGAAAGCCTGAGCGGTACCTCTTCTGACGACGACGGTCCGCCAATGAACAGATACGAGTTTCGAGCGTCCAAGCGATGGCACGAACAGGAAGCTAAGAAGGAAAGAGATAAGGCGACAAAGATCTTCCAGCAACTGGCCGACGCAAAGGTGGATGTTCCAGAGGATATCGTCGCTTTCTTACAAGAGGATTTCGAAGAAGTACCTGACAAGGAAGACAGCGGTTGACGGGTGATTTCGAGATCCGCAGACCAACCTTCCAACCTGTGAGCGCTTGTCGCAGAATTTCAGGCTCACCAACAACGCCCATTCGCCAGGCCACATGGTACCAACGTGGAGCGATATTGGCCCCGGGTGTTACTGCCATCAAGCAATTCATCGGCTGCAGGCCGGACGCGAACTTAGCAGGACGTTCACTCCCTAACTCTGTCCTTCAAAAAGTATCCACAACGACTTCGACATTGAATTTTGGAGGTTCCATACTGGCAACGTACATTCGATACGACTTTGACAGGGCACCATGGATCTCATAGCATCATTGCTTCACCAAGAACCGAGAGGTTCGTCAGGACTATCTTTGTTGCGCAAGCCAAGAATAGATCGAGTGAAGCTTCAGCCTCACGTCGCCTCCCGCAAGCTTCGCCCGGCTTCAACCACGGAGCCACGAGCCTGTCAGACCGCATCCTGCCCTACAACCAAAAGGCGCACATGGATCGTTGCATAAGCTGTAGTGGCAACTTCGCCATCATAGTGTCAAAGCAATAGCGAGACTCGGATACCGCTAGCTATAGCGACTGCTTACAACAGATTCAGACCCCAAAGGCCCCATCTTCCTTCTCGTACTGCGTCATGTCGTAACAACACTGCCCACAGGTGAATGTAACCATCACGAAAATACCCACTTAGCAGTGAACGAGTGCGAACGTCGCAGCGAACAGAGGTATATAACTCTGTATGACCAACCGCCTTCAATGTGGACATCCATTCCAAAACAATCAGCTACACGCAAAGCATCAACCAACATCTTTATCACCACAACAACCACTTCACCAACACAACCATCCACACCACATACCTCAAAATGTACACCACCGCCTTTCTGACCACCATCCTCGCCGCCCTGGCCTCTGCAGCTCCAACAACCTCTAACCTGGCCGCACGAGACGACACATACTACGGCGTCGGATTGACCATCAAAACAACCGACGCCTTTACTCAACCACCAGTCTACGAGCCCGCACCTGTCGAGATCAGCGTGCTCACGTCTCTGGGCAACGTTTCCGCCTCGGAAATCAAATTCGACGTCCCCGTCGCCTCCCACGTCGACGTCAACCAGGTCGAGTGCAGGGCTTACAAGGACGATGCTGGTGTCGTTCCTGGCAGCGCGCCGTTCAACGCGAAGACGCCGGCCGAGTTGAGCACGAACCTTGTTACTGTTGCGAGTGTGCTCTGCTATGTTGTCACTGAGGCCGAGAAGGTTTAAATGTCGCATAACATATGCGATGAATTGACGAAACGTCGGCAGGGTGGTATATAATTACTCATGAACGAACTGCTTAGATATGAAACCTTGATAATGAATGACGATAATGTTTTGAGGACTCAAGATTATCCAGCTCTCACGCTTCATTCTTACACTCTGTCAATCTATTCTTGTAGCTAATAATCATAAAATGCCCGTTCACATGGTTGACGGAGAAATTTCGGATACGGTGAGTGAGTGAGTGAGCGGCGGATTCGGACTCTTGCTTGGCCGACGTCGAGCCTCGGACCTCCAACTCTCTTTGCGGTGAAGCTACACCACCACCTACCTACCTCTACCCTGAGTTCCAATATACTTTACTTTCCAAGAGCTATCCTCCTTATCAGATCGAGAGCTCTGTCCAGGATACGCGTACCGGGATCGAGCCCTCTGGAGGACGGCTGCCGAACAGAATCCAGCCAACGATATGCTGTGAACGACTAGGACACAGGACGACGAGACACGCTCAACACAAGAGATGGCGTCGCCAAAAGCGGTCAGAGCTCTCAGGAGCTTCATGAGGGCCGCTCAGAGGTCACCCGGTGTACAGCAACAGAGGAGAACAGTATGCGCCGACTGTCTGAACCGACGCAGTACAGTCGAGCGTGGAAGGACTTTCACCGGGACAGTACGAGCATGGCCAGCAAACACACACCAGGGAAGAGTTTTGAGACGAGGCATGGCTACAGTGAGATCTCAGCCGCATCATGAGAAGGGGCCGATTGCAGAATACGATCGCAGAGTGGCATCTGGCCGGCTGCGAGACGATGAACACCAGAGGACGTTGATACAGGCTTTGGAGGATCTCCATGAGACTCTGTCCAAATATAGGCCACCCAAAGTGGTACGGCCGACAATCGAGTCTTTGCAGCCCAAGAAGCCGTCCTTCTTTGGATCAATACTGGGTAGCGGCACAGTCGGCCAGCTACAGATGCGACCTCACGCGGATCTGCCCAAAGGCCTGTATATGTATGGAGATGTTGGCAGTGGGAAGACGATGTTGATGGATCTCTTCTACGAGACACTACCGGACAATATCACCCACAAGATGCGTATACATTTCCACAACTTCATGCAAGACGTACACAAGGAGCTGCACAAGATGAAGATGCAGTACGGGAACGATATCGACTGCATCCCGTTCGTGGCGGCGACGTTCGCGGAGAAGGCTTCAGTTCTATGTTTCGACGAGTTCCAGTGCACGGATGTCGCAGACGCTATGATTCTCAGACGACTGATTGAGAGCTTGATGGCGCACGGGACAGTGATTGTGACCACCAGTAACCGACACCCGACGGAGCTGTACAAGAACGGCATCCAGCGAGAGTCTTTCGTTCCGTGTATTAACCTCCTTTTGGACCAGCTTCGAGTGCTCAACTTAGATTCAACGACAGACTACCGAAAGATTCCACGACCGCCGTCGGGCGTATACCACCATCCACTGGACGCAGCGGCGAAGCGACACGCAGAACATTGGTTTAAATTCCTGGGCGACTTCGAACACGACCCCCCTCACAAGGCCGTCCAGCACGTCTGGGGTCGCGACATCGAAGTGCCTCGCGCCTCTGGCAAAGCCTGCTGGTTCACCTTCAACGAGCTCATCGGCAGCGCCACCGGAGCAGCCGACTACCTCGAGCTCGTCCGGCACTACGACGCCTTCATCGTGACAGACGTCCCCGGGATGAACCTTCGCAGCAGGGATCTCGCCCGCCGCTTCATCACCTTCCTCGACGCCGTCTACGAATCCCGCGCCAAACTCGTCCTCACCACCGCCGTCCCCCTAACCCAAATCTTCATGTCCCGCAGCGAAGTCGACGACCTAATCGACCAAGCCGCCGCGACCGGCAACTCGGCCTCGAAGCACGCGCAGCAAATCAAACAAGGCGGGGACGTCGACGACGCGATGCGCATGATGATGGACGATCTGGGGATGAACATGGAGAACATGAAGAAGAGCAGTTTCTTCACGGGCGACGAGGAGGCGTTTGCGTTTGCGCGGGCGTTGTCGCGGTTGACGGAGATGGGGAGTCAGGAGTGGGTGGAGAGGGGGTTGGGCATGGAGGCGAGGGGTGGCGAGCAGGAGATGGAGGATTGGAAGAAGGTGAGAGGGCATTGGCGGCAGGATAGTTATTGAAGAAAGAGATTTTTGCGGCAGATATCATCTCCAGAAATGAGGGGACTGGACTATGGAGATAGGAGATACCCACTCTGGAATTTGAAGAGTGTGCGAGTGTTGCATAGAGTTAGCGAAGGCATTAGCATTTCTGTTTTTTAACGGCATTAGATGGGCGTGCGGCTTTGACATATAGTTCTAACTGTATAGAACTTCCTCAAATATCACACCTCACCCTCCTCGCCACCTCCCCCCAAACAACCCCAAACACTCTCCCACAACCCCCATCCCCCCACAAAAACCCCTTCACCTCCCTCTCCACCACCCCTCGATCCCAGCCATACTCCTCCCCTCCCACCAAGACCCTCAACTCATCCACGAACAGTCCGTACCGTCCTTCGTCGATGTAGTAGGATGCAATGGCACCGATGAAAAGAGCCCATAGCCTCAACGCGTTCATCTGTGGGGGGAAGGGGGTGGTGAGGAGGTGGGTTTGTAAGTCCTTCAGTAGATCGTTGTTGTTGGGGCTGATGGGGAAGAGGACGGCGGCGGAGTAGATTTTCGCGGTCGTGAGGGTGAGCGAGTAGGGGGTTTGGGGGGTTTTTTGTTGCGAGGAGGGGGTGAGGTTTGGCCAGGTTAGGAGGGAGAGGAGGGTGTGGTGGAGGGTGTTGCGGGTTTGGAGGAGGTCTTTGTATGAGGGGGCTGTGGGACGGTGGGGTCGCGGATTTGTTTTTGGTGGGAGAGGAGGGTGGTGATGTGGGCGAGGCGGCGGAGGAGTTTGATCATGGAGGAGGGGAGTGGGAGGGAGATGAAGCCTTCGCCAGAAGGGTTTGAGTCGAGTAGGTCGTCGAGCCAGGATACGTCGGTATGAGGGTAGGGGTACGTTGGCGGTTTGTTCGATTTGCTTGAGGAGAGGAGGTCGGCACTAAAACCGTCAGTCGCAGGTATGGCTAGAGAGATTCAAGAGACTTGCAGTGACACGCAGATATCCAAGCCAGGGAGAAGTGTAAGATTGTGCAGACCCCCTGCTTTCTCTACAAGGAAATGGACTGCTCGAGCGTGGCTCTCGTCTGCTTCGACGCGGCTGAAGAGGGCGATCCAGTTGGCTTCGGGCCATGATGCTTGACTGAGCATGATATAATGTTTGAAATAGGGGGTTGGAACTTACAAGCAAAGCATCGAACAGATTGCCAGGGGCGGGTGCTTCCTTTCTCGCTGACATTGCATCGCCAGAGGCATGTCACAGCCAGAATCAACGGTTCCAATCTCGCGTGCGTGGACTCGATATGAAGCAGGGCCTCATTGACAAGCTGTATCGTCCGGACCTTATGGGCCAGTGTTCGCTGCAAGGTCCTCGAGCTCCCACTGCGAAGTTGGCGGTGGATGCCCGCAGTAAAGCTCAGAGAGTGAAAGACGAGAGGATGTTGACAGAATGCTAAGAACCACGTTGGGATGTCGTTCGGATGGAGGGTATCCATGATTGTTTTGAAGCCTGCTTTCCCGTTAGCTAAAGACCAAAGCGAGGAAAAGAGAAGAAAAAATCGGTCGGTCTTACAATAATCAGCCGTCTCCGCAGCCATAGCAGACCCAGGTCCCTCAACATCAAACGACTGAATCGAAAGCGCGCCAAAGACAGGCGATACAGGCCGCGGCAAGGTCAAGGACGATTCCGAGAAATCGAGGTCGAAGTAGCTGCCGCCTTCTGTCGTTGCGGGAATCTTCTCTTGTTCAAGTCGCCTTGGATCTGTAGTGGGTACCACAAGTGCACTCTTCGCCCGACGATGCTCTCGACTCCGCTGCGAACTGATCCTTGCGGCATGACTTCGAGAATCTTTATCTCGACTGCCGGCTCGACGAACGCTGGGGTCTCTGGCTTCGACGAAGTGGAAGGAGTGTGGTGCTCGCTTGCTGGCGATGTTGGGTCTGCTTGGGTCCATATTCCCTAGAAAGTCTCGCTGGAAAGGCCATCTTCACCATGGCTGCCCTTCTCATGCTCAAGTAGCATCTTTCCTGACCATGACGTAGGTTCCAATGGGGACATGGCAGCTGAATACTCCATCTTTGGCGGCTTGAAGTCGTGTTTGTATGACTGCATCGTTCTTCGTCCCTTGGCGAGGCAGTGAAATCTGTCCAGATGTAGAAGGAGCTCCATGGCAGAAAGGGGTCACCGCCAGTGAGCACCCTCGACTCCCGCAAGACAACGTGTGCGAGCACGTTTTGCGCTGGTCAGCTTCCCAAATGATCGTGACGATGGCACAGAGTTTCTGATCTCTGAGATCTCTTCGTCATATTGCAGCTGGCTTGTTGCGTACTTGGTGATGCATCGATGTTACGAGAGAGTTGCGTCGAGAATGCGGCTCAAGACGGCTGCAACCACGGCTATATGCAGCCACATAAAAGCTTAGGATAGGACAGAGAAGCAATCGAGATATGCATAGTGCTGCGAATACTCGTTCATTTGGTATCTATTTCGAGACGTCAGTGTCCTCCACAGTGATCTCAGCAAACCATGACCACTTGACATGATCGCACACCCATCGGTGCTCATGAAACGCCAAAACACCATGCGTGAACCTCCAAAGCCTGAACGCCTTATCAAGTACACTTTTAACGACTTCTCGTACTGCCCATGCCTCTCTTGCCAGCCAAAAGCCACTTCGACTTGGCCGCAGTTGTATGTCGATCTGCCTCTCCCTGCCTGGCCATCCGGTTCATCTTCTTCTGGCCAAGCTTCTGCAGACGATCAGCCTTGGTCCTCGACGTCTCGTTGGTCACACCGTCATCTCTTCTGTTCGTGCTCTGCTCCCTCTTCGCCGCCACTGACAAGCTACGTGACAGGCGTTGCTTGGGTGTCTCGTCAACTTCCATTGCATCGGCATTCGAGGCATCCTCGGTGCCTGCCCGACTCCTGCCACGAGGTCTTGACTGCGAACGAGCACGCGCTGAGATCGCAGAGGTATCGTAACCAGCATTCTCAAGAGCGGACTCCATCTTCTCGAGGGTAACGGCCTTCTTCGATCGAGGAATGACAGCTCTGTTCTTGAGCGATTTCCGCATCTTGTTCTCGTTTCTGATCAACTGCCGCTTCTCTCTGATCAATTCGGCCTTGTAAGAGATGTCCGCTTCTTCGGCATCCTCAAGCTCCTCATCTTCCTCGTAGTAGCCCTCCTCATCCAATCGAGCCTCTTCCTCCTCCAGTGCAGCCAGCTTGGCCTCAATGTCAGGGTCGATGAAATCGTAAACGTTCTTGCCATCGAGTGTCTCGGGGATCTTGTCGTCCTTCCACTCGTCATTCTCCAGTAAATACTTATCTCTCAGATTGATGTTGAAAACACCAGCACCTCCATTCTCTTCTTCAATATCGCGCATGAGCTTTGGTCTGTTTGGATCGTCCTTGTCGTATTGCATCTTGTTCTTCACACCTTCTGGGATCGAGGGCTCCCATGGCGTGCCACCCAACGGCTGTGCTACGTGTATCCTCCTCAGCACGTCGCCAAGTCTTCCAGTCACCTCTCCAGAAGCGTTTGTCCCAGCCGTGAGTTTTTGTGCGTTGCGCTCAGCCAAGAGACGGTCGCAAGCAGCGTTGCGAACGTTCATCAGGCCTTCAGTAGTTGTGCAAGAAAGTTGCAGGAGTTCCACGTTGGTACTCTTTAGCAGTTTTTGCAGCTTCTCTTGTGTTTCCGCATCCAGGTCTTCTGGTCGCATGACATCGATTTTGTTGATGACGATGAAAACCAGCTTGTTTGCGAATAGTGGCTTGATGCTCTCGAACAAGGCCATTTGCGCCGAAACGCTGTATCCACACTGCTCGCTCAGATCCATGAAGTACATGATGGCACTTCGAAGATGAGCAATTGCTGTGATACTCTGCATCTCAATCGTGTTCATCTCTTCCAGAGGGTGGTCCAAAATACCGGGGGTGTCAATTGCTTGGAACCGGAGCATTTTGTAATCGAAGTGGCCCACGAACAGAGATTTCGTGGTGAAAGCGTAGGGTTGAACATCGACATCTGCGCGGGAAATGTTCTTGAGGAAAGAGGACTTGCCAACATTTGGGTACCCGCAAATGAGCAAAGTTCGGGTATTGGGGTCGATACCTGGGAGACGGCCAAGATGCTGTCGCACCTGCTCCAAGTACACCAGCGGGTCCTTCAAGCGCTTGCAAATGGTGGCCATGCGACCGAGCCCTGCACGCTTGAGCTGCTTGCACTGGTAAAGAGATTGTCCATATTTCAGCAACCGAATATAGTCTCTTGCCACCGTCTCAATCAGGCCTTTTGCAGTGTTCAGCTGACCGAGAGCTATCCGGAAGTGGTCTGCATCGTAGAGTGTATTGAGCAGATCCTTGTGGAACGGGTGAATGTCGTTCAGTCGCGGGAAGCCATCGAGAATGGCAGATAACTTCTCGGCGAAGGTCTCTGAGGTGTACTTGACTTTACGAATGTAAAATGCGCGAATTCGACTGATTTTGAAGCCAGCACGGATCTGAGTCGGGAGGCGGCGCTGCGTGCGGGAGAGGACGATGTCGAGAAACTCCTGCGACGTCGGCACCGGCGCGATGTCCTTCCACGTCGTCTTCATCCTGGCGGCGGAGAATGCTGGTGTTGTAGAGGGGTCGGTGGTGGAGGAGGGAGGAAGGCAAAGTCTCGTCTCAAAATTCCAGCCATCGATAAGATTTAGACTTTCTTGGCGCGCAACCTTATCTCCGTAGATCCGACGTCGTGCTACCTGCAGCTTGCTGTCTCACCAATGCATCAACAGCAATCAACAAAATTGTCCTAGACAGCCTTGTTCATACCCCTATTCAGTACCATGGATATATCAGAGTCATCTTCCCTTCGTATCAGGCTATCTTCTTCCTCTGCTTCCAAGCCAATTCCTCACCTAAGTCACCACATGTCGAAACGTACCGTCTACTTTGGCTATGGGTCCAATCTCTGGCGACACCAGATGCGGAAACGATGTCCCACGTCAAAATACCTAGGCATTGCAAGACTCAAGAGCTACAAGTGGATCATATACGATCGTGGTTATGCAAATATCGTCGAGATCAAGGACGACGAAGACAAGACGATCTGGAAGCACGACTACAGAAAAGAAGTGTGGGGCCTTGTGTATTCTCTTGAACCATCAGACGAAGCACGACTAGACGTCAACGAAGGCGTGCCAATTGCCTATACGAAAGAGTGGATCGAGTGCGAGTTCTGGCCTACTTCAGAGTCCAACGATGATGCATTCGCAAGCGAACAGTTTCCCAACGAGCTTGAAAGTGCAAAGGGAAAGCCCGACACCTCCAAGGAGCCCAAGAAGGTGGAAATGCTGGTGTACATCAACCGTGAGGGGACGGACGGAGACAATGATTCGAAGAAAGAGTACATCTACAGGATGAACATGGGAATCAAGGATGCCTTGAAGGAGGGCATGCCGAACGAGTATGTGAAGCAGGTGCTAAGAGAATACATACCTGAGCGCGAAGATGAAGAGGTGGTCGAGGTTGCCAAGCGGCAGGCACTTGACTTTCAAGACGAGAACTGAGTCTAGCCACACGGAGTAGTGACTTGCAAATCGTCACCCCTGGATTCGATTGCCGAACGGTCGATGGCAACGCCAATGAGATCTTTCGTGATGGGTGCCGGATGATGGAACAGCAGAGATAGAAGGCACATGCTGCACACCGAGCGAGGCCTTACCATCGCGGAATACGAGAGAGACCCATGCTGAGGTAACGTTAAGACTCAGCGGCAGTAAGCATGCGCTGCGGCAAGAGAAAAATGCAAAGAACAGACAACATTTTATGTGTTTTTGCCATCCGGCCTGCATGGCTTTTGGCCGTGCAAGACTTCAATCAGCGAGCTGAGATCACGCCGTTCGGACACGTCGCTTACTCAAGTTCATCCTGGACAGAGAAGAGCCTGCACACCATCAACCAGCTGCAAGTAAGCTACACGTGCATGGAGTTGCTGACTGGTTCTCTTGCCCAAATTGCAACCATCCTCCACGTTTACCGAAAACGTATGCAAGCGGTCGTCAAAGCTGCGCCTGTGGACAAGGGTTCGATATTGTGGTGGTGAGCTTCACCAGTCTGCACGAAGGCCGAACGAAGCATTTCTCGAGATGCAAGCCACTCGCGATGATGCTCTCGTCAGGAGCAGCCTTTTTCGGTCTCCCCCCATCACTTCACTCAACATCACGCGTATTCTGCTATACACTGTGCAAAACGACCGGGCCACATTTCGATGCAACCTTTTCAAAGCCCCTAGCCGACTAGCAATGCATGCCAAGATGTCTCGCTCCAAGGTCGAGAACCCAGAGTATGCGCATGCTCGTTGCAAGCGGACAATGCTCGTGGGTTGCACTATCCAGCTGACCCTACTCTGTTCATGCGACCGACTGCAGCCGACGAACTCGTGAGCGCCATGCGCCACCCCCATGAGCCCAGGATGAGCTTTTGCGGTGTGCATCGCCGACTACACCTCAAGTGATAACTGTGTCTCTTTGACGGCGCCGTCGCTTTCCGCTGAGATGTGTCTCTGCTATCAACCCTACTGTTCGATTACTGTGAAGATGAGCCATGGACATGACCAGCTACCATCGGCAGCAACCACCACCGTACTACGCGCAGCGTTACAATGGTTCGAAGGATCCAGTGTCTCGAGGACAGAATTATACACAATCGCGAAAGGAGAGTGTGACCGTCAAATCGATCAGAACTTCGCCAAACAATGCAAACTTCGGCAGCAGAAGGCTGACGATCAATACGCCCTCCTATGCCGGTTACAGATCTGGATCAATTCTATGTGGCATCTGCAGAAAGGAATTTCATCCCTCACGTCCCGAAGCGCTGCTGGCACACCTAGCTGCACATTTTGACTTGAGGTACAATTTCCACAGATGCCAGAAATGTGAGATCAACTTTGTCTGCGAATCAGACCTTCGTCGACATCTGTCATCAGCGATGCGACATCAACACTGCGGGTACATGTTCGAGCACAAGCAGGCGTGTCCAGGTCATCATCCGCCCCGTCAGAGAGGCAATGCAAGAAGTCGGTCAGAAGACAGGCGTCGGTATAGTCTGATGCGCCACAGCGACGATGCGCGGTTTGATTTCTGCTATCGATTGCGGAATTGGGAGCAGCTACAGCTACAGGCACACTATCAGAGGAGGCGGCCTGAGCCAGCACCACCAAAAGCCTCCTTTGCAGTCAGAGAAGCAAAATGGTCAAGTCTGTTTGACGTTTGCAGACTGCCCTTCTTGCACCGATCGAAGAGCTACAGCTCCCTTGGATCCCAGGCTCCAATCCTCAGAAACAAGCCGACCGCTGAACAGTCCGAAGCGAACGAACTCGTTGTCCCAAAAGCCGATGTTCTAGGCGCCATGCTGCTACGTGCTGTCTGTACCGGCAACTTCGAGCTTGTGGCCTCGTTGCTCTATGCCAAAGCCAACGTTCATATGGAAGATGTGTTTGGATTTGGCTCAATGCACTACGCAGCCCGATATGCAAGCCCTGAGATTGTGCGGTTGCTTGCTCGAACTGGACCTTACGTCAACAAGACCGATGATTCGGGCATGAGTCCATTATGCCATGCAGTGAAAATTGGGAGGTCTGACGTCGTGCACTGCCTTCTTGAGCTCGGCGCAGAACTACGGTTCGATCATCTCGAGCACTGCGTCTCCACTGGTGACAGCGAGACAGCCGAAGTCTTGCTAGACCACTGGACCAAAGAAAACAGGCATTTGGACTCACTGGACGTGTTACTCCTCACAGCGACACAGACCCGGGACAGAGATATGATCGAGCTGCTCCTGGAACATGGCGCAAGGGCTCTGGCCAGAGACGAGGCTGGCAGGACTGCCATGTCCATAGCGTCTGGCAGAGGTGACAGAGAAATCGTACAGCTGTTGTTCGATTACGGAGCTGAGCCTGGTTGGAGTCATGTGCAGAGTAAGATGTTGAGCGAGGTGGCTCGGTATAGACATATTGCCATGGTTGAGACGTTGCTGTCGAAGGGGCGGTGATGTTCGGCCCTTGCTTGCATAGGTAGCCTCATACAACAAGGTCCCAACGTCGTCGAACAAATCATGACTCTCATGTCCTTTCTAAACGACTTTAATGCGATTGCGCAGACACTCATCACAGCAGGTAATGGGATGATAGCTCTACCTGCGTTGAGCACTGATACGATTGCCAGAACAACCTACCGTTGCGCTCCTAACGAGTCGCCGCGATGTATGAAACGTCTACCGGTCCAGCGCATCGTAGCTCCTCTGTCATTTGATTTGGTTCACCTGATATTTGGTGTGACTGTACGTTCATTCCTTACCTCGCCTTCGCTCTTTCCTTCTCCACTATTATCACATGCCGTCCAAAAGGGGGCTACTTCTTGGAGAATCTTTCAACAGCCAGAAACGAGCACTGAGCGTCGCAGCACAACGATAAGACTGTTCCCTGCTTTATGTTGTTCGCTGCTGTCGCCGTCGGTGACGCTGGTAGGCCGTGCAGGCTCAGCCTTGCCGTCGATTGTAGCACGCCAGATGCCCACGTTTCTTAGCCTAGCATTGCATCTCGGATAGGTTGGTTTCTTGACATTACAGAACTGCACCGCAGCAACGAAAGAGCAGCCCTGCCGTCGAGTCGCGGCGTGCTGAAGCAAAAGCAAAAGTCTCCACTTCTTCTCCACGCAGAATTTCAGTGTTCAACTTGACTCAGATGCTCAAAAAGCCATTCGCAGAACAATAAATCTTTTGATTCAGTGCTGGCAAATATAATACGCCGAAAAAAACCAATGTGCGTGTGGTCCCTGGAGACAAGGCCAAAAAAAAAGCTTTGCTTTCGATCGCACATCCTCAAATGTCGACCACCATGGGACTCGAACCCACAACCTTCCGCTTGCGATGCTCCACGATAGGAGGCGGACGCTCTACCATTGAGCCAAGCCTTCGAGCGGGTTAGTAGGGGCGTGGAGGTTGTCAGCGAAGTGGCAACTTACAGCCACGTATGATTGGCTGAGCCCAAAGCGCTTGCAAATTATATAGCTGACAAAAGAGCTTCATTGCTTCCGTCGACGGTAATAGATGGGACAAGGATGCTCAGATGGTGAGATCGGGTCTTTGGGGTCGTCGGTAGGCTCGTGAGTCGTCTGCAGGGCTTGTAGGCGGTAGGAGTTGGCGTGAAGCGAGTAGCACCGTTGATGGGAGAGAGAATGAACAAGGATCTTCCATCGATGGCCGAGGGAACGCGTTGGATGGGTTCCGGAGATGCATATATGTCGGTTTTCTTAGTCGACGGGCGTTCTCGTTTGATTCGGATACGAAAAGAGTCTGTGATGGTGAAGTTTGCCCAGTCAACGTCAAATCGACGCATTCCCAGCATGAGTGACATCCAAATACATGCCTGAACCTGACGGCAAGGTATGTTGAGCTCGACTTTTAACATCGTTTGATCAAGTATTGAATTGTATGAAAACATGGTCGCGGGATTTGATAGAGACAAAGTAGAAAATGAGATACGAAAAACAACAGACGTCAAGAAAAGGAATATTCAACTAAAACAGTAAGGCTGTGAATTAATATTCGGCGCCATGTTAAGACATGAAGTCGCTGCGGTGGTGGTCCTTGCACCTGCACGTGGTTGTCGCATGGCGGGAGAGGGAAGGAAGGAAGGAAGGGACATGCTGCTTGACTATGTGGTAAGCACGACGCTCAACATCGGCCCTTACCGAGAGCGTAACACTCAACTTGAATATCCAGCGTAGAAAGAAGTGACCCATTGCGCAATAGGTCCCTTGATCGTAGTCGTGTTGTTCGGGAATCATAATACATCTTGTACAGCCAGATGAAGAAGCAGCATTGGCTACCTAGAGCGCAAGCAAGAACGCCGAAATTCTGGGAAGGGAAGAAGTCGTCGCTCTTACAGCTCGTCGTGGTCGACGGGCTTCTCTTCCTTGCCTTGGGCCATGATACGCTCATACTCATCATCGTCGATCTCCTCAATCTCAAAGTCCATGCCCTCGGGCATAGTACCCTTCATCTGCTCCTTGAGACGCTCAAGCTCTGGGCCAGTCTCTGCTGCTTTGCTGGCTTTCGGTGGTGGCAACTCCTCATCCAGTTCGACAGGCTCTTGTGGTAGAGAGGCAGCATCAGCGATGAGACCCTGAGGCACGTCCAGTTTCTTCGAGTCGCCCATGCGGATGGCATCCACCCAGTCTTCGACATTCTTCATCGTGAACTCCAGCGACGAGAAGTACCTCCACCACGACCGCTTGCCGTTAATGGCTATGACCTCGACGTCAGAGGGTGAAAGTTCAAGCTTGGTGCGAAGTGCGGCAGCCTGCGAGTTGCTGTGCGGGAGTTGGTAGAATGGGAAGAGGTTGCGGCCACCAGTCTCGTGTTTGTAGTGAAGCTCGCTCAATGTCATGATGGCTTGGAGTGTCTTTGCAGATGGGACATCTTCCTCTGGGAGGAGTGCGAGAATGCAGGTACCTGCCTTAGTGTTGAGGCACTTCTGCTGCAGTGAAAGACCGTCCAAAAGAGACTTGATGGGCTTAGCTGATTCAATACCAGCTTCACCAACCTTGGCTGGCTTCTTTGCGTGGATCTGAGGGTTCGGCGAGTAGGTTGGGTCATCGATGATCGTCTCGTCCGTCTTGGTTCCAGCAGGGTCTGTCTCAGCCTGCTCGGATGCCTGGGAAGCCGACGATTTCGCCAACTTGGAAGATGCACTCGATGCCTTGGTCTTGTCGGTCTTGGATGTCTTCTCCTTCTTTTGCTTAGGCGCAGGGTCAGGGTTTGGAGAGGCAGCTTGCGACAGGAACTTCATAATCGCGTCCTTCTTCAGCTCGCCATCGTAGGTAATGGGCTCTTTGCCGCCTCCAGGGAGAAGGACCAAAGTGGGAAACTCCTCAACACCAAATGCCTCGACTGCTTCAGTCTCCTTGTTACGGATTTGACCGACATTCAACACGCCGAGGAAATCAATCGCAACTGCCTTGAGCAGAGCGCTGACAGTTCCCTTATCCGTGAACAAGATCGCCTTCGGTCCATCTTCTGCCACCCAAGCTGCGTAGTCTGCGTCTTTCAACCTCTTGACGTGATTCGGGACCTTGTCGAGCACCGCGTCGACGATACCCTTCGCTGTCCTTGCTCCTTGGTAGTCTTCCACAGTTGGCTTGCCAGCCTTCTTGCCTGGTCGAACGATCTTCAACGTTGGGAAGCCTTGAACACCCATGGAGCCGCAGAACGGCTTGTTGTCCTCCTCGTTGCAGTCGATGGCTGCTACCTTGGCCAGACCAGTGAGTGACTTGGCTGCTTTTTCATATGCCGGCTTGAGGTTTTGGCAATGGCCACACCATGGAGCGTAGAATTCGACGATGGAGGTATGGTTCGATTTGGCGATCAGATCGGGATATGTCCGGTGGTCGACCTGCAGCACAGGTGATTGCTTGGTGTAGATGGCATTGGCAGCGGGCATGAGCAGCAATGAAGCCGCGGCAGCAGCGAGAGTTTCTGACTTGACCATTGTGTTTGTCGTGAAGCTGGAGAGTGCTCAGGCCGGTTCTGGCGGCGCTTACATGATATAGTGGTTATGATCACTCACAGGCAAGTTGTCCTTTTGGCTTCACATGCAGGCGTAGCTTCCACTTGCCAGCCCCTGTGCGATCCGTGCGTCCATGCTTTTGCGGGGGAGCTGAGCTTAAACATGACGAGGCAGCTCTTAGCGCTCCCAAACATTCACTCACCTGAACAACCCTCTTCCCCATCGGGCAGTTGCAAAACACAACCCAGCTACAGCGCAGAAACAGCACTGCGAAGAAGTCATCGCGATTATGGCGGCGGTGGTGCCTGATCGCATGAAGGCGGCGTGTCCTGACGTCCAGCAATTCGCGAAGAGAGCGGCCCAGTTGCAGAAGTTCCGGCCGATCGTCAGCTACTGGTGTATGTTTGAATGGTCCTAGTTGTTGCAGCTGTGGTCTAACAAGTTTACTAGGCGAATACTACATCCTCCAACTTATCCTCGCCAAGAATCTCCACACCGCCGATGAAGAGTGCGCCCAGTACGCCGCCCAGTTAATGGACAAGCTGGAACAGTACAAGGATGCGAACAAGGGCAACGATGCTATAGAAGACGAGGTCGCGTCAAAAGCATATATTGAGAACTTCGCGCTGGAAACACTCAACAAGGGCGAAAAGGCGCAGACAACGAACACAGTGTCAAAGGCAACACCTGATACATTCCAGGCAGCAATGACCTTCATGGAGCTGTTGAACATATGGGGGCCCCTCGAGCCTGAAGTGCGTGAAAAGATAAAATATGCAAAATACCACGCCGTGAGGATAGCGAGGGCGTGCAAAGAAGGAACGGATCCAAATTTGACGAACCCGGTTGTGGAGCAGCCGGCCCAGCAAGATCAGATCATGGAAGACGGCATTGAAGAGGAGTTGAAGAATTTGGAGAACGATGCGGGTGTGTACAAGCAACCAACTGTTGAGAGTGCGCCCGAAAGTGCTCTGCCTTCCAGGCCAGAGTCTACGCTTCATCAAGATCAACCACGGCTGCCACTCGGAACAGCAGATGAGAACGCCGCACCCCAGGAGCCAGACATTTCGCCTATCGATCCAGCAGACAATGCCAACAGTAGAGCGGGTTCCGTTGGTGGTGGCTACTTCCCTTCAGTACCAGACGCTCCCTCGAATGTCAACAGCGCTGGGCCAGTCACGCAACCGCCATCGTCGACGCAAACGTTCACCACTTCGGACCTGGCCGATTTCTACAGCCAGCCCACAGCACAGCAACATACTGCACCTCCTCCAGCTGATCTCGGCCGACCGAGTGCACCGACTCTTCATCAAGCGACAGTCGGCCCACCATCCGTGCCTCACATACCTTCGCCATCTCCTGCGATGCCGCCGCCGCCGCCGCCGCCGCCGCTCGTCCAAGCCGCACCTGCGCCAGTTCAGTCGATACCGCCGCAAACTGCACATGGCGGTCCACCACCAGGTGGCTACCGGACCGACGACGACTCAATCATGGCAGCACAAAAGCATGCGAAGTGGGCCATCTCGGCTCTCAACTTCGAGGACGTCAACACCGCCGTGAAGGAGTTGAGAATCGCGCTGAATAGCCTGGGAGCTAGCTGAATTGGGCTCTACAGCAAGGAAGCTTGATACCACCATGGCCTCTCGATGACTCTGAAGAACCTTTACGACAACCGTGATGGTCTTCTCGGCGTGGTGTAGGGTCCACAGACTTGTTGCCTGCGACATGGACATGGAAGAAGATTTCAAATGAAGTATTCGAGACATGGCAAGACTGACGGAAAGAGGAAATGTGAGACGAATCGTATGGTCACCAAGCGATTCACGGACAAGTGAAGCAACGAGTATCAGAGAGGCTCAATGCATTTCCAAAACGGTCCAAGTTGACGAGGTCCGTCCGCAAGCCTACCCATAGACTATGCCAGCGCTTGAAGATACCCACGATGCTAGACGAGTGTACATAGCGAAAGAACTGAATACTCTCCCGACTCACTTCTCCCCAAAACTATACCCTTCATACCCATTCCTCCTGACGTCCGACAGCGCCTTGCGCCAAGACCCTATACCCCCAAAATAAAATCTAGGCGAATGTTTCCTGCCAGGCACATTCTCGCCGAAGAACCAGCTGCCCGTCTTGGCGAAGAGAGTAGCATGGCCAATGTCGGTGCAGGTCTGTAGCCACTTCTCCTCAGCTTCCTTGCTGTTCTCCACGACGCCAGTACCCTTGCCTTCCTTCCTAATCTCTTCCGCCCTCTTGATCAACTCCGCTCCAAACTCTGCACTCTTCTCAGTCACAGGGGGGTTATTTGCGAACGGAACACCAGGTCCATTGACGAAGAATAAATTCGGGAAGGAGGAGGTGCTGATGCCGAGATGTGTTCGTGGCCCTCCTTGTCCGAGCCAGTGGTCTTCGAGGGTCTTGCCGCCGCGGCCTTTGAAGTCTATCGCGTAGTATGAGCCATCTGTGGCGTCAAAGCCGGTGGCGAAGACGATGAGGTCGAATTCGTGGTCTTTGCCGTCGGAGGTTTGGAGGCCTGTTGGGGTGGCGCGGGAAATGGGGGCTTTCTTGAGGTCGTGGGCGAAGACGTTGGGTTGGTTGAATCTATAGATGATGGTTAGGTGCATGAGTCCTCACTTTACAGGTTATGCATACCTCTCATAGTAATGGTCGTCAGTGAGAGGACGTCTGGCAAACCAGTCATTGGAAGTGAGGACTTCCGCCTTGGCTTTGTCCTTCACGATCTCGTTGATCTTCCTATGGATGAAGTTGATAGCTTCTTTGTTGGCAGCCTCATCAACTACTAAATCCGAGAAGCCACCAAACAAGAAACGGAATCCAGAGCCCTGGTTCCAGAGATCCTCGAAGATCTGTTCCCGATCTTCTGGTGAAACGGATAGGGTTGGCCTGTTGGGCTCAGCGAACCCAAATCCAACAGCTGAGGCAAAGACATCGTGCCAGATCTGATCGTAGCGATCGTTGATGAGCTTTCTCTCTTCTGTGGAGACCAGTCGGTATTGCGCTGGGAGGACGTATTGAGCGTGTCGTATGAAGTGGGTAAGAGACCCAGCCTTTTCAGCCAGGGTTGAGGCAATCTGTACGCCGCTGGCGCCAGTACCGATTACCGCAATACGCTTGCCTTCCCATTCGATATCAGGGGTCCACTGGGACGTGTGAGTGATTCGGCCTTTGAAAGCGTCGAGATCTGGTATGTCTGGGATGTACGGCTTGTGCGTGATTCCAATACTTGTTACCAAGTAGCGAACTGCGTACGACTGGCCATTGCTGAAAGCGACCTTCCAAAGGCTGGCGTTCTCGTCCCAGTGCGCTTGTTCCAGCTTGGTATTGAACGTAATGAGGGGGTAAAGATCATGCTTCTTGGCGACTTCCTGGAAGTTGGCCTGGATCTCTGATTGTAAAAGATAGTTGTGAGGCCATTTCGAATTCTGCAGAATCTCTTTGTCCCAGGAGTAGCGGTAGGTATCGGACGTCACGTCGCTTCTTGCTCCTGGGTACCTGAGCTCGTCAGTGGATGTACAATCTATTTACCAGAGAGCAGCATCTTTACTTGTTCCAATACCACCTGCAAGCATGCTAGAGTTAGCCGTTGCCTATGCTACAGTGGCGCTGTTACACTTACGTTCCTCCAACATCAGCGCCTGACTCGACCGCGCGGACATCAAGTCCTAGCTGCTTGAGCAAGTACAGAGCATACAAGCCACCGAAGCCAGTCCCCACAACAAGTGCCTCGTGTTGTTCTTCGTTCGCGATGGATCCCATTTCCGCCAGAGCTGCTCGATTACAGCAAGGAAGAGAGCAGCCTCGACCAACATCTCACAGAGCTCGCTCCTGCCATCTTATGAGTACCTGGAAGAGCTCTCTATCCGTGGTTCTTCCATTGATCCATTGGGAAGAAGGGAATCCCGTGCTGCTGAAGCTCAATGGCGTCTTCACTGAAGCCATCACTCCACCATATTGACAGCGAGGGCCTGGAACTCCACTGTGCATGGAGAACCTGATTTGGTAAACAGCTCAGGAACGCACATGCTAGATGGAAGCCTCTTGGAATATGAGTGGGCCTGAAGACGCGATGCTATCAAGCTCTTCGTGCCAGCTCGCACGTCATCGCTCGCGCGATCCTCGCCATCCTTCGCGACGCTACCTTGTCCAGAGCCTATGATGGCGATAACGTGGCCTTCCGCACATGGAAAGTTCGCATGGATCTCGGATATTGAAGTGTAAATTCTTGCCTCATTGGCATTGAGATGAGTTGATGGAGGCTACGGATGTCGTTGCCAGGGGAAGAAGAGCTGCTGCATATTGCGTATTATTGACGCACTGGCTTTGCATTGAATAACTTAAAACTCTCTAGTGTCTTTCAGACGCCACACATCGTCTCGCTACACGCGTCCCGAAGACATCACTGTCTTTGCATACGATACGCCATCAAAGACGAGATGCAGACACAGCAGCCCAGCGCTCAGTATATTGGCTCAGGAGCGTTAAATGCTTTGTTTCGAGCTCACTACCACGCAGGACTTCAGCATGCAATGAGCCTCGCGAGTTCTTGGCGGCTTTCCTGTCACCGCTCACCCTGTTTCTCGATGGCCTCAGCAGCGCGAGCGAGGCTGTCCGGAGTACCAAGAATGTCGTTGAGGTTGCGGTAGTTAAGGAACTGTGACTTGCTGATATTTCCAGAAGGCAGTGGGGAAGACTTGGGTACCTCTTTTGCGACTCCATTGGAACGTCGACTTGATTCGGGAGCGTCTCCTGAGGACCACTTATATTTCGATCCCGGATGATCAGGTCTCAGCCGGGGACCTTTGCCATCTGCAAGATAGTTCTCTCTCATGGTCTTGCCTTCGGCTTCTGCAGGATCCCAGAACACGCCACGCTTCTTCAGCTCGGGGATCACCCATTTGATGAAGTCTTCGAACGTCCCCGGACTGATGGCATGACTCAAGTTGAAACCGTCGATTCCCGTCTCATCAATCCATCTTTGCAGCTCATTAACGACGGTAGTTGGAGAGCCGATGACTTTAGGGTGTGGCCCGCCCAACGCTAGCTCCGCTGCTACGCGCTTCTTGGTCCATCTGATGTTGTCGGAGCCCGGAATCGTTGCCTTCCAAGCACTCACGACACTAGTAATCCCACCCGGTGCACCGAATTCAAGGTTGTGGTCATCATCAAAAGGTCCAAGATCGTAGCCTGTCCATCCGGCAAAGAGCGCTAATGAACCCTCTAAGTCGGCCCAGGAAAGCAACTCCTCGTACTTTTTCCTAGCAAGCTCATCTGTTTCGTCTACGATGACGAGCATGCCTACAATCAGCCGGATTGAATCCGGGTCTCTGCCAATGCTTCTACCTAATTCGTGGATTTCGGTTGCAGTCTTGCGGACAGTGTCAGTATCCATGCCGGGAATAAACATTGCTTCTGCGGTTGAAGCTGCAAATGGCTTCCCGGCTGTGCTGGCGCCAGCCTGAAAAATAAATGGCATCCGCTGCCGTGAAGGTTCCACGGTGTTGGGCCCTGCTACCTTGAAGTATTTTCTGGCAATGTCAGTACAATTTCCAGACGTTCACTCGGACCTGCCAACCTACCCGACATGATCAATGCGTCTTACTCGTCCTGGTACCGCATACTGCCTGCTTAGTGGATCGTTCTTTTGAACGGCATCATCGCGCCAGGATCCCTCCAACAGCTTGTACATGACTTCGACATATTCGTGGGCGATCTGGTATCGCTCACCATGAGCGACCTGCGCGTCTAGTCCAAGATTTCGGGCGGCACTGTCGAGGAAGCTGGTTACGATGTTCCATGCAACTCGACCATTGGTCAGATGGTCCAGAGTTGAGAATCGACGAGCGAGCAGAAACGGATGTTCGTACGTCGTTGATGCTGTAACTCCGAACGAGAGACTTTTGGTCACGGCTGCCATTGCCGGTATTGCAACGAAAGGATCTGTCTGCGGGAACTGTGCACCACCAGGCAAGGCGGGATCGATATTTCGAGGTCCTTTGTAGACATCGTAAATGCCGAGCATATCAGCCAGAAACAAGCCGTGGAAGTTTCCATCGAGGATTTTCGCCAGGTCGACCCAATACTGGATGTCTGTAATGTCTTTGATACGATTCCGAGGATGAGCCCAGAGTCCTGCAGGTGGCGCTTAGTATGACATGCATACAATAGGTGAGTTGGAAGCTCAGCCTTGTCCATGAAACTTCATACCTGCAGAGACATGGCCAGGCGTGCTCATCGAAAAGGCGTTGAGTATCCATGGCTTCTTGGGGGTGTGACCATTGCTCAATTCCCCCATTGTGTCGATACTGAAACTTTGATCAGGCTTCTGCTATCGACGTGAGGTCAATGTCGGCGCCAAGACCGAGCTGTCGTTGACTTCGTGCAGGATGCATGATCTACAAGGCAAGCTCGCACACCATCTCATCCGTACATGATGCGAGCATTTACTTTCGGGATGCCTTCTTGGACGTCCTTTGACGACTCTACAGCGAATCGCTTCGTCTGACAGCCGCTTTTGCGGTGACGATAACATCCTCGCCTACATGATGGCCGCCGGCGGCAGTTCATCGAATATATGGAACCTCAGCCATGCGCTCGCAACGTGGGTGTTGTTGGGCGCACGCAATAGCACCGCAATGTGGCAAAAGGGACCCTTCTTTCGTTTTGACGAAGGCACACGCTGAGGGCAAGTCATCTAATACCCGAATGATATCCTCCTGGTTCTCTGGAAGTCGATCAGAGCGCAGAGGGTGTACCAGGTACACCTCCACGTGCCTGTACATCAAATCGACGCCGATCAATCGCGCCAAACAATTGCAATGTCGACAAGTAGTCCACCACCAGCCTTGAGCCAAGGGGTTGGCTATGGCGTTGTCACTGGCCTGGGCGTCGCGTTCGCCATTGGTACGTCACGCGACGAAGAACCACTTCAGGACAGGCACTGACATGATGAAGGCATGGTCATTGTCACTCGGCTCTTGAAGAGACACTTCGGCGAGGACAATGAAACGACCGAGACGTTCGTATACGTATCGCTGCACAGGCTACATATGCAAGGCTGACAGTGGTCCAAAGCTTCGCAGTAGCGAACCGTAAGGTCGGGACAGGCTTGACTGCATCTGCGGTCATTTCCTCTTGGATGTATTCGACTGCACTGCTGGGTGCGCCGTACCTCACATACTGGTATTAACGACACCTTACATGGATGGGTCGACTGTTCACTGACACTCGCTTTAGGTATGGCATCGCTCTGCCTCTCTGGTGGGCCAATGGCCAAAGCACGATGATATGTGTGTTTGCATGGCTAGCAATCGAGTCAAAGCGACGTATACCGAACGCTCATACGTTGCTCGAGTTGATTAGAGCTCGCTATGGCACTACTGCACACCTGATTTGGATCTTCATGTGCACGATCAACAATCTACTCATTGTATGTCCTCCTTATCCGTCACCTGGGCCCCTATAGAAGACTTGACTGACTTCTGACTCGTTGTAGTTCTCAAGTGTGAGCACGACTCCCATTCTTCTGGTCATAAATTGGTACTCACCGTTAGAATTAGATGCTTGTCGGCGCCTCCGCAGCAATTACTGCTCTGACTGGTATGAACATCATCGCGGCAACATACCTGCTTCCGCTAGGCGTGGTCGTTTATACTTACTTCGGTGGCATCCGTGCTACGTTCTTGACCGACTACATCCACACATTCATCATCATGATCATCCTCGTCTGGTTCACGATCAAGATCCTTGCAGTCAAAGAGATTGGCTCCATCGGTGCTCTACACGATGCTCTCAAGCCACTGGGCGATCAATATCCCGTGGAGGGAAATTACAAGGGATCGTACTTGACCATGACGAGTAACGAGTCGGTGTACTTTGGTATTATACACGTGCTGTATGTATGCTGCTGCCATCCTACACTGACGATCGCTAACTTGGAGCAGCACAAACTTCGGCGTCGTATTCCTCGATACAGGCTTCTGGCAGAAGGGCTTTGCAGCTGAGGTGGCCGCAGCCGTGCCTGGTTACATTCTCGGTGGCAATGCTTACTTTGCAGTGCCGTTCGCTTTTGGTACCATTGCAGGTCTTGGTGCGTTGGTCGTGGAAGAGTCGCCTGTTTGGCCTACGTATCCAAGGCGTATGACAGCGGAAGAGGTGTCTAGTGGCCTTGTGTTGCCATACTGTAAGATTCAACCCACACAACGGCTTTAAATAACGTCCGCTAATGAATATGTAGTGTCTCAAGCAATAGCCGGCAGAGGCGGAGCGGCCGCTGTGGTGCTTATCGTGTTCATGGCTTGCACGAGTATCACTTCGGCACAGCTCATCGCGATGAGCTCGATCTTCTCGTTCGACGTGTACGGCACATACATCAACAAGCGCGCTACAAACAAGCAGCTCATTCGAATGTCGCACGTCGGCGTTGTGGGAGCTTGGCTTGTCGTCTCTTCGTTGGCTACAGGCTGGCACGAAGGCGGTGTTGACTTGAACTGGCTCCTGTACATGCTTGGAATATTGATATGCCCAGGATTGTTTCCAACAGCTTTTGCGCTCGTCTGGAAGCGGCAAAGCAAGATCGCTGCTATAGTGTCGCCAGTCGTCGGTAAGTAGTCAAGGAAAATCTGTTGCATTCGACATCCACTAACCTTGTCGTTATTAGGCATGGCCTGCGGTATCGCAGTCTGGATCGGCGTCTCCGAAGCCCTCTACAACACAGCAACCATCAAGTCCCTAGGAAAGACTTTCCCCTGCCTCTACGCCACCGTCGCCTCAACCTTCGTCCCGCTACCGCTTACAGTCGTCCTGTCATACATCTTCCCTGACAAGGACTTCGAATGGGCGGATCTGCTCTCCATCGAACGCATCGAAGATGACGAACATGGCAAGGTCTCGAGCAACGCGACACGCTTTGATGCTGCGGCATACTTTGCGCCTGACAAAGTTGCGTACATGAAGCGCATGTCGCGGATCGCGTTCTACGTGGGTGTGTTTACGTTTCTGGCGCAGTGGGTTCTGTGGCCGCTGCCTATGTACGGGGCGTATTTTATCTTCTCGAAAGGGGTAAGTTCCAGCAACGTTCATTGCCGTACACCAGTGTTAACATTCTCCAGCTATTCATCGCCTGGGTTGTGATAGCTCTGATATGGCTGTGGCTCGCACTGTTCGTCTCAAACTTCCTGCCTTTGATTGACGGTGGTGCGAGGAAGATATGGATTGTCCTGACGGGCAGGACAGAGCTGCCGTCTGCGGTTGATTCGCCGCAAGGCTCGACTGGGGTTGTGACTCCTGAACACACAGAGACGGAAACCAAGTTGGGGCAGCAGGCTGAGGTGGAAACAAAGGCGTACTGATCGATATTGGTATGATACATAAATACATAGATCTAATACAGACGTTTGTGTTATCCGCAAGATCCAGATCCAGCCTCGCCTATCATTTCTCTATTCTGAGCTTCCATTCATCCTGATCCCCCTCATCGACAGAGTTCGTTGCGTCTTCGCTGGAATAGATGGCGCAAGAGCTCCATGCTCGGGAGCATGTACCTCTGTACCATTCGATAAACAATCGTTGCACAGCACTATATACATCCAAACAAACAGACGATTAGGAACAACAGGAAGAAGTCAATGTCAATATGGCCTCAACAACAGCCAACAGAGCCTGGCGCCACAAATTCGCCAACATCACCTCCCCCTCCCAAAACATCTCCCTCTCCAGTGCCACACCCTACCAATTCCGCATCCACTACGTCGACGTCCCCGCCTACAACAAGAACCCAGCAGAAACAGCCAAGAAACCCCCGAAAGGCACAATCCTCCTCATCCACGGCTTTCCGCAGACCTGGCTGCAGTTTCGACACGTGATCGATCCGCTCTCCAACGCTGGGTATCGATTGATTGTGCCGGATTATCGTGGCGCGGGCAATAGCCAGGCGCCGCCTTCGAATGCGGGGTTTGCGGGGGGGAAAGGGGGTGGGTATACGAAGGTGGTAATGGCGGATGATTTGCATACTCTTGTAAGATTGCCCAGTCTCAAAAAGCAGTAATGATCATATCCTTGCTAACAATAAAGTCAGGTCCGCGATCATCTGGACATCAAAGAGAAGATCCACGTCTTCGGCCACGACATCGGCGCCATGATCGCACACGCCTATGCCTCTTTCTTCGCAGCGGACACCGCCTCCCTCATCTGGATCGACTGCCCGCTCCCGGGCAGCAAATTCCACGACTCCGTGAAAAAAGCCCAAGTCTGCTGGCACTTCACCTTCCACAACGTCGAAGACGACCTCCCGGAGAAACTCGTCGAGGGCAAAGAACGGATCTACATGCGTCACTTCTTCGATCGCCTGGCCGTCAACCCCTGGGGGATCCCGCCCGGTGGCGAGGAGGAGGATGCGTATGTGCTGGCGTACAGTCGACCGGGCGCGTTTCGGGCGGCGTTTGATACGTACCGGGCGTTTGAGGAGGATGGGAGGGAGAATTTGGAGTTGGTGAGGAGGGTGGGGAAGGCGAGGGTGCCGGCGTTGGCGATTTCGGGGGATGGAGGGTTTAATAAGGTGGGGGCGAGGGAGCAGTTGGAGGAGTTTTACGAGAGTGTTGATGCGCAGACGGTCAAGGATTCGGGGCATTGGGTTGTGGAGGAGGCGCCGGAGGAGTTTGTTGAGAAGGCGTTGGCGTGGCTTGGAAAGGTGTCTTCGTAGGAGGATGTATAGCCGTTTGCGAAGTTGTGTCTTGTCGTGAATTCTGATGAACTCTCGATGTGATCGAAGCCAGGCTATACTTACAACGCCTTAAGCCGAACGAAGCAATCCACAGGACAATGCGTCAACGCGTCCTTCGCCCTCCGCTACGACAACGACGGTGGAGTCGGCAACAGCTCAAAGCTCCAGACGACGCAGACGATCAGAACCTGCAACTCAAGCAGTGCCCATCTCCGACCTATTGTGTTCATTCAGCAATAACTCAGCATTGATCAGGGGTAACACACTCACCAAAACAAGACCTTTGCCCAGCCCCAAACGCATGCATCGGCCCAGCGTCCGGATCAAAATTCCCATTCTCATCCAACCATCTTTCCGACTTGAATGCTGCCCTATCATCTCCCCAAAGACGAGCCTTGTCCCTGTTCGCCTTGCTAGTGTGGCTCCGCTTATACTCATCGATAGGGAGCGGGTCCATAATATACCCAGGTCCATTAGAGATGAGGAAGACATCAGTGCCTTTAGGGATATGGTAGCCGAGGATTTGCGTATCTCGGAGAGCCTTCCGGACGTTTGGAGGGTTGATCTTACGGGCGCGGAGGATCTCGTTGATCACGGCGTCGAGATAGGGGATGCTTGTGTTGGTGATGTCTTCGATCTTTGGCATACGACCTTCTGGGAAGCTGTCTCTAAGGAAGCCGCGAAGCTTCGACTGGACTTGTTGATGTGCTGTTAGGAACTTCAAACCCCAAAGCATTGTCGACGTAGTCGTATCCGAGTCGCCTATAAGGAACCCAAACAGCTCGTCCTGGATTGCTTGGCTTTCGAGATCGGCTGATCGGCCTTCTTTCTCGGCCATTTTGATCTCTTTGGCGACGACAACCTCCAAGGCTGACGCGAAGTCTCTTTCGGTCTGTCTTTGTGACAACTCTTCGCTAGCCTCCTTCAATTTGGTACGGATAAGAGCGTCTTTGGCTTTCCTCGCATTGGCCCAGTCACGGCGAAAGGTGACCGCCAACCAGTGCGCGAGCGTAGGGAATGGAGAACTCGTCGGGATCTCCATTGACTTGATCAGCAATTCAATGGCCTTGAACGCAGGTGGGTCTTCAATCTCCGGCAAGTCGACGGGTCGATCGATGTCTGTGGGCACATCCAGCCCCTGAATGCTGGCAAGATTCTTTAGTCGAGCTTCATTAGGTCCGATCTCGCCACCAAATGTCCCTCGCCAGATGATGTGGAGTAGGTTATTGTGGACATCTACTTCTCCTCGGAAAGGCCGCGCTTTCGCGAGCCTCGCTTTCTCTCGCCAAAGATCCACCAACTTGCTGGCCGTAGACCACATCTGCGGTCCAGCGACCCAGTTTAGGAAAGAAGGCGTCATCACATCGCCAGTCAGACGTCGATGAGCGAGCCACTCATCTCCAGTTGGTAGGGCGGCTTGATTTTTCGGTAGCAGGACGTTGAACAGCTGCCCTATAAACGAGGACCGATCGAATTCTTTCGTGCGACGGATCATGATGTCGCTTGCTTCTCGTGGATCGCTGACGATGACCCATGGTCTTCCAAAGGGGAGCATGAATAGCTGGATGACGGGCTCGTTCGGCTGGGTCATGAGCTTGGGGAAGTATGCGTAGATGTCTCCATGTTTGTTTACGTGCTTGAGCACATCAGGGGCGTCACCTAGAAGACGTTGAGCGGACTTCTTGTTTTAGGGTATGCCGGGTATTGGTCTCGGAAGTGCAGCACGGTAAAAGAGGTATGCAATTACAGCAATCATAGAGATCGCGGCGAAGGCAGACAGCGACATTACTTCAGCCATGGTCGATTTCCGCTGAACCTGACGTCGCTGGTGTAGGACACAATTGGGGCCCGCGACTTTCTGATGCTGCTTTAATAACCCATCAATCTTGTCCAATACAGCCTTTGACATGGATAATATCAAGCACGACAAGGTGCATTCACTGCAGCCCTACATTCATTCCTCGAATGCCTTCGTGTCGAATCGGGCCCGTGCGTCCGCTAGTGAGGTTGTTGTCAAGCCTTACGCCATGTTCTACATCAAATGTGAGACTCACACAGTAAGCGGCGCAACTTCTTACAAGTCGTCGTTTACTCGGGACTCATGGTGTTGGATCGTTTAGTGTAATTCGGACTGCTCGGTTCGACACATGACAGGAGTACCGGCATGCTTTTAAGCGCGCGAAGTAATGTGGTCGCGCAGTATATTACCGAAGTCGTCTCTGTCAGCAGGCGGTCCTTACTCAGACCGACCACGTACTGTCTAGGATTTCCAGACTCAAGCATGGGGCTGTCTCTAACTCGAACGAGGCGGATCCTGGCCATTGATTTGCAGAAGAGTGGTGCGAAGCTATTGTTGTGACTGGGAAGTACGCCACATAGACCTGTTCAATCGTGTAGGTACTAGGTCCCTGACCCTGACGATATCCCTAGTAGTTCTCACGTGAAGCCTTGTGGTCGCATTCGAAACAAAGTTGTGCCTTGTCGAAGACCTTGACATTTCTGCGGCTGAAAGCTGTCGTGCACGATCTCAGCGTACTGCTCTCTCAAACAATGGTCACCTCCATCATCGTGGAGCCCTCATCAAACCAGTCTTCGTCCTTGCCTGTCTCAATATCGACATGAAGCATTCCGGCACGTCGGTACACATCATCGCCCTCTACCCGGTGAAGCAGCAGAGCGCGTGTGAATTTCCAGTCATAGCGGTCATTCACGTGGTCACGAAAACGGACAATTTCCACGGCACGCAGCGCGATTTCTGTGTCAGGAGGCCATTCGCTCGGGACATCAGGCTTGACTTCCAAGCGTCTGTCAGCGCCCAGCGGGCCAACGCCGTAGAACTTCTTAGATCGACTCTCAGGGACACGGGCGAACCACGTCCCATCTTGTCGATTGAGCCAAATCAAATCCCTCGTCCGACCTTTAAGGATCAATGTGCCTCGGCTGACTTGACCGAAGATGTGGTTTCCTGAACACGGGGTTGTGGATGCAGCCTCCGTCGAACAAAGAAGCTCTAGATCCGACAGTTTCTTGTAATCGTGTCGGAAGGTGATCGGTCCAACGACCGAGCACCAAGACCAGGATGGCCCACAGTATATAGGAGGTCGTGTTGTCGGCGAATCGAAAGAGGCTCTTTCCCACATCAGCTGCCATTGGAGATCCTCCGCCCATAGGCCGGCGAGGTACTTCGTCAACCACAATCGTTTCCCATACTCTTCGGCTAATGCAGCAAGAGCCGGAAGCTTGTCAGAGGCCACAGAAAGTCCAAGTTCAGTGTACGTCGTCACTATGTCGGTCCAAGCCTTTGGATGTCTCGCAGAGTCTAGACTTTTCATTCCGGCATTGAGGAACCCCGAGGCCGAGACTCCCTGTTTGAGGTAGTTGCCGAAATCCAGTTTGTAACTGCCTCCATCCATGTGTTCTGACTCCCGGCAGAAGAAGGCAGTGTTTCGCGAGCCGAAAGACAGAACTCTCGTGGTAACTTGGATCTCCTGATATGCCCAGGCTCTTGTGAAGAGAGGATTGGTGTTGATGAATCGGTCGCGGTCCACCTCTGTTGGAACTGCAAGTACTGGGACAAGCTCCCCGGAGTAAGACCGAAAGTTCACGAGCGATGGTCTCCATGCGGTTCGAGCATGCAGAAACCCTTCCCAACTGTTCAAGGCACTCGATGCTGCGATAGTAAGGGTGGAGCTGGTATAGATTTTATGGATCTGTGCAATTTGCTCGCTGATATCCTGATCATCATCTTGCACAATGCAAAGAGCGTCGACCCAGATGAAATGGAAACCGAGCTTGGAAGCCATCTTTACTCCATCTCGAATGCTTGCAGGCAGGTCTTCCGCGTTGAAAAAGTGCCTGAGAGCGTGTATATTAGCCTTGGTGGCTTTGCCCGGATAGTTTCCGCCCCAGCAGTAGCTTAGAGTGACATAGCGAGTCGAAGTGGCGTGGTCATGTTGGAGTCGCACCACCTGGCCGTCACGAGATATTTCTAACAGCCTCTTCGGCCTAAACGTTCCTTGACGTGCTCGACACCGAGAATGAGAATGTTCGCACTGGGCTAACCATCTGCGAGCCCTTCGCTCTGATAGATAAGAGTCCGGAAGGAGATTCGGGGGTAGGAAGCCATTCAGCAGCTGCTCCGTATGCATATTCCCACTGGCCAGCTTAGAATGCGAGCGCAATGCCTTTGGGGCTGTGTACAGCTGAAATTTACGTATGTATGGTTGGTAATCCCCCTGGTCGGTCCATAAGTTACGGGTTACGTAGAGGTAGGGACCGTCGTCTGCTTTATCGAAATTTGGGGCGCACAAGATGGGCCTGGATTTGCTTATCGCGACAAGTTCGGCAACAGTTTCCAAGGACAGCCCGCGAAGGTCTCCATCAAGAGCCAATAAATAGACACAGAATACACAATCGTTGCGAGCTGCGCGGACACACTCAGCCAAGGTGACTGCTGTTTCTTTGCCGTTCTCGAAGCTCATGAGGTGTGCTCCGTTGCGGTTCGCATCAATGCATAGCTTCTGACAGAAACTGCATGTGTGAGGTGCGATTTCAGGGCGAGACTCTTCGTTTAGTCTGTGCAATGTTGCATCGTCGAGTTGTTGCCATTCCGTGCGGCCGGCATTTCGATTGCTGTCACCCTTGTGTGCAACTTGGCGATCCATTATACTTCTCCCCAATTGAGAGCGAATTTAATCACCCACGGTGAAGGCCAGTTGTCATGAATGGTAGACACTCGATCGTGCGGATGCTGTTCGCTTTCACGGCATGCCGATCAAATGCGACATGTTGTGCAAGCTGAAGCGCATGCGTGGCGTTCTCACACAGCCAACCACTGTTTCCAACCAATCCTACAGGGGTAAATCTATCAGCTGGTGTTCGTCGCATGCAAGCATTCCTGCCCAACCCAGTGACACGTGCATTACACGACTTGGCAGCTGGAAGCCTGCCTAGATATGCTGTATCTTCAGCGGTGACCGATAGCAACCAATGAGAATCTGGGAAACGAAGGTGTACAATTATGCGGATGCGGAACCCATAGAGATGTCCTGTTTTCAAGATCAGCACAGCCCTTTCAAAGCGTCGAAAGCATGCACGGTGTGATAGGTTGAGGATCAGAGAGAAGATTAAGGTCGACAGCACCCAACACAAGATTCCGAGTGGCTAGATGTCAAAAGACCCCAACCAACGACGGTAATCTTGCGAGGATTTACGTCTAAGGATGACAAAAAGTTTTTCATCATTAGAAAGGGAGCTGGGGAAGTGTTGATAATGTACTTACTCCATAGTTTCCTGGGTTATGATTGTGTGCTCGAAGCTGGACGTGCTTCCACCTCCAGTGAAGAGTTCTGTCTCCTCATGACGTTGTTGCGAGTGTAGCCTGAATACGCAGTTAGCAAAATATACTCCAAGCAATGTGTTCGAGTACGCGAGGTTTTGAGTATCCTCAGTGATCTTGGTGTAAAACAATCAGGGCCGAAGCTCAATAGATAGTAGTGCGTTATGTTTTAATCATCGGCATTGGCGAGGGAAGTGCGGTATGTGCCAACATACCTTGGAATCAAAATCCAGAGATGTATATATTAATCAATAGTCCATCTCGATGCTTTCAGTCTGCTGATTGTCAAGTTCTCGGACCAACCGTCGGTGTGTAAGCGAACCCTCGTTTGGATCAACCTCCTCGATGTATGCTTCCCACTTACGCTTGTGCCTCTGATCGTATGGCACTTCCTCCGATCGCTTGCGATTCTTGGAGACAGTAGAGGCTTCGCTTCCACTGCGCTCAGTGCTGGGCTTTCGAGGATTCGACTTCCGAGGATTTGACTCTTGTGCGTTTGACTCCTGTGTCACCAGTAGCGAGAGCTTCGAATCCTGTGGAGGCGGCGAAGGCGACTTTTGCTTCCTCTGAATATTCGCATAAGCCAGCAACTCGTCCTCCAAACTCGACTCGGAAGCAGGTGACGCCGCCCTCTTAATAACGCCTTCCTCAAACTCGCGCTGTTCAGTCTCTTCCTCCTTCTCTCGCTGCTGTTCCCGCTGAATCTGCCACAACTCGGACCTCTTAAAGATGGCAATCTGCTCATCGGTGAGAGTACGCTTGACACCATCATCATAATAACCCAAGTCATCATCCGGCTCTGGGGGTTCAAAATTGAGTGCTTCCTCCGCTGGCACAAACCACCTCTCCGGTCGCGTGTCATCGCCAAAGTGTGTAATTTGAAAGTTGAGAAGATCTTCCTTTAACGTGAGAAAGTCAGTACTTACCTTGAGTACGTGCTAAGATGATCAGTTACCTCTGTGATCTTGGGCATGGTGGCGAGGAATTGTTGATGCCGCTTGGCCTGTTTCTTGGCCTCTTGCTTGATCTTCGCTTTCTTGACGTTGTTGCGTCTCTGCGCCCCTTTACCGGCCATCTTGGCGGTTGATGCTCGGATGGCGCGCGGTTGTTGGGCGGGAGATGGTTTTGGTGATGGTTGGTAATGGGAAGAGGTCTGGAAGACGCGACGTCGAAAGAAAGCCGGCCGCGAAATTTAGAGTTTGGAGGAACTTCGCGAACCCGCTCCTTCTCGGCTAGCGCCGATCCGGGCATTTCTGGCCGCTGAACTTTAGGGCCAGGAAGTCTATGACGTTGGACGAGCAGTTGGAACAACAACACCACACAAACCTATTGCCCGGAGTCTCGACCGTCCGGACACCTACGACCGTAGGGAGAAGATGCAATCGTCATTGTGATAATCTCAGCCTCAGGTGGATCTATAATTGAGTACAATCCTCGCAGAAAACAATTGTCCTTGAGCATCCCTGGCCACATCAATAAACGCCCGAAGGACTAAACAAAGGACAAGAAGAACATCCCAACCAACACCCGCCTGCTAAGAGGCATACCACCCATCACCATGGCCCTCTACTCCCCCATCCACGTCCTCGACAACTACTACCTCAGCATAACCCTCCTCATCACCATCGCCTACCAACTAATCGGCTTCTCCCTCGCCTTCACCTTCAAATTCGACAAACTCACCGACTTCATGGGCGGCTCCAACTTCGTCCTCCTCGCCATCCTGACCCTCTGCTTCAGCGGCACCACCACCGCGCGCCAGATCGTAACCTCCATCTTTCTGATCCTCTGGGCCACGAGATTATCCGGGTTCCTGCTCTTCAGGATCTTGAAAACCGGCAAGGATGATCGGTTTGACGATAAGCGCGATAAATTCTTTCCATTCCTGGGCTTTTGGGTTTTCCAGATGATCTGGGTCTGGACGGTGAGCATGCCGGTGACGGTGCTCAATTCGCCGAATGTGCTGCGGTACCGCCAGCCGAGCTTCGGGAAGGCGACGGATATTATCGGGGTGATTTTCTTCACGGTGGCGTTTCTGATGGAGGCTATCGCGGACGTGCAGAAGTATCGGTTTAAGATGGGGCCTGGGAAGGAGCCTGGTGCGGTGTGTAATGTGGGTTTCTTCAAGTACAGTCGCCACCCTAATTACGCAGGTGAGATCCTCGTGCAAGTCTGTAAGTCCTACACCCTCCACCCCTTCCCACACATCCCAACAAGCTAACATCTCCCCCAAGCAATCTACATGATCGCCGTCACCCCCGCCTCCTACGGCACTGTCCCCTCCAGCTCCGGCGCCTACGCCGCCCTCTACGCCTCCTGCGTCGGCTGGATCCTGCTCACAACCCTCCTAATGTTCGTCTCGGGCCTGCCGCTGCAAGAACGCCCGGGGGCCAAGAAACGCTACGAAAAGGGCGTCGGATGGGAGGCCTACGCGCAGTACCTGCACGACACGAGTATTCTGATTCCGATGCCACCCGCGATCTGGAAGAGGTTGCCAGTGTTTGTGAAGAGGACGGTCGGGTTGGAGTTTGCGATGTATGTGTTTGATCCGGCGAAGCATGCGGATGAAGGGAAGGTTGCGGAGAGGAGGGCGGAGGAGGGGAGGGATGGGAGTGAGGGTGGTGATGGTGGGGTGAGGGAGAGTCATGAGCCGTTGAGGCAGTAAAGTGCTGTGTTGATGTTGGATTATGTGAAGATTTATTGTATTTGTACGCCATACAACATGCAGCGTTCAGCGCATACTTCATAGATGACTTTAATAGTTTTATATCCCCCTTCTCCTTCCCCCAACTGTCGGCCTAACAACAGCAGACCCCTTCCCAGCACCACCAGGCCTCTTAACCGCACTCTTCCCCGCCACAACCACACTCCCACCAACACCCTTCCCCCCACCCGCCATCTTCTTCTCCCTCTCCTCCTCCGCCCTCTGCCTCGCCCGATCCCTCACAATCTCCGCCTCCAACTCCGCTTTCTTCGAAAACTCCATCTCCCTCCGTCCCTGGATGGCACTATACCCCTTCTCCTTGACGCTATAAAACACCCCGCCCAGATCCGCCAGCCAGTGCGCATCCACCGCCGTCGCGACGGACATGTACTCTTTGCTCGTGAGGATGAGTTCGTGGTAGACGACGTAGTCGGGTGGATCGCCGGAGTTGTAGAGCGCGCTGGTCGGGTGCAGGGCCATTGTGACGGACGTGCGGAGGTTGACGTACTCGCCGAGGCCTTTGCGTTTGGCGGCTTGGTGGTAGTAGCCGCTGCAGATGCATTGCCTCACAATATCGAGGTCGTAGCCGCAAGAGACGATTTCCATTTTGCTCGAGGACATGATGTCGGTGATTTGCTGGCGGATTTCCTGGGCTCGACGGAGGGCTTTCGGGTGGAGGAAGTGTTTGACGCACCAGCCGTCTTTGCAGCCGTTGGCGACCCATTGTTGGTAGACGGTGAGGAGGGTGAGGTGGTCGGAGTCGTGGACAAAGAATTTCTCGCGAGCGGCGTCGGCTTCTTCGAGGCGTTCTTTGGGGCGGTAGAAGACGGAAGGGACGGAGAGCATGGCGACGATGGTGACGATCTCTTCGCTGCAGCGGTAGATAGTGGAGGACGTGATGACAAGCTTGGCCAGGGACGGGTCCATTGGGTAGGAGGTCATTTGTCGTCCGAGATCTGTTAATTCTCCCAGATTGGTGAGGGCGCCCAGAGCCCACAAGTCGAAGAGAGAGGTCGTGATGGTATCTTGTGGAGGCGGGTCCATAAAGTCAAAGTCAAGGAGGTCCTTGACACCAAGACTCTTAAGCAGAAGTACAGTGTTGGCCAGGTTGGTCCGTTGAATTTCGGGGATTGCGGCGATATAGAACTCTTCCTTAAACGCCCGTTCTGTGTAGAGGTGGAATGCTTTACCCGGACCAGTACGTCCAGCACGACCGGCTCGCTGCGAAGCGTTTGCTTGACTGATAGGCGTAATCTGCAGTGTATCCATTCCCATGCGAGGATTGTAGACCTTCAGCTTACTGAAACCGCAGTCGACCACGTACATGATACCATCGACCGTCAAAGACGTCTCGGCAATATTCGTGGCAACAATGACTTTTCTGGCACCCGGCGCCGCTCGGTCGAAGATCTTGGCTTGCAGGTCTGCCGGCATCTGGGAGTAGATGGGTAAGATGCTGAGCTTTGGGGGATCATTAAGCTGAGCTAGACGTTCGGCCACAAGCTCGCAAGTCACCTCGATATCCTCTTGCCCTGTCATGAAGACAAGGATATCTCCTGTGGGCTGACTGACATGAATGGCCAAGACTTGCCGTACGGCGCTATCCACATAGTCTTCGCAGGGCGATCTCGAGTACTGAATATCCACAGGAAAGGTTCGTCCAGGGATGAAGAACTCCGGCGCGCCGCCATAAAATCTCGAGAACCGCTCAGCGTTCATCGTCGCAGACGTGACGATGAGTTTGAGATCTCTCCTCCTCGCAAGAACCTTCTTGATCAACCCCATCAGAACATCCGTATTCAACGCTCTCTCGTGCGCCTCGTCCATGATAATGCAGCTGTACTGGTCCAGATCCGGGTTCGTCAAAGACTCTCTAAGGAGTACACCGTCCGTCATGTACTTGATCGTAGTCTCCTTACTGGTGCAGTCCTCGAATCGAATAGCATACCCGACCAAACCACCCAGAGGAACCTCCATCTCCTCACTGACACGCTTCGCCACGGACATGGCAGCCACTCGTCGCGGCTGCGTACACCCAATCATCCCACTCTTCGCATACCCATCTTCATACAGGAACTGAGTCAACTGCGTCGTCTTTCCCGAACCCGTCTGCCCAACAACAATAATCACCTGATTATCCCTCACCACCTTCAAAAGCTCCTCCCGCACAGCAAAAGCAGGCAAATACTCCCTCTGCTCCCGCAAAGATTTCGAACGTGAGAAGTCCGACTGTCCCTTATCCTGTTTCTTCATATGCTCCGCAAACTTATTCCCCTGAGTCTTCTGCTCCTCCTCGCCATTCGCCGCCGGCGCCGCCGAATCCGTATCCTCCTCTTTCGCGCCCATGATATTCCCCAGCGCGGTCCCTGCAATCGCCGTCGCCTCCTGCGCTTGCTTCTGCCGTTCCTTCTGCTGTCGTCTCTCCTTGACCACTTTACTCCCCTTCTTCGCAAACACAGCCATATCACTCTGCGGATCCCGCACCGCACTGATCGGCTCCAGCTGCTTCGTGAAAACCGTCTTGCCATCCAAAAACGGCGGCTTGAGATCATGCACCAGCAAATGCACCCTCGTCTCGTCATTCTCATCGTCGAAACTGTTGCTATACTGATCCCTCGTCTGAGCCACACTACTCGCTAGCATTCGATTCGTTTCCCAAGCATCGTTGTCCTTCTGCCGCTGCAGGAACTTGGCATTCACTTTACTCCTCGACGCCAGCTTCTTCTCCCAAAGCTCGCGCTCGCGCTCTTGATCCGCCCATGTGGTGTCTTCCGTCCCTCCGAAGGGATTGTGCGTTTCATCGCCTAGAACGGCTCCATCTTCGCCGTAGTTGTACCAGTCGCGGTCTAAGGCGGCCGAGTCTTCCTCCTCCACGCCGGGCTCTGGGCCGTCGAATTCTTGAGGTGGTTTCTCATTTCGAGACTGAGGTTTCGATCGGTTCTCGCGGTCATTTGGTCTGTTCCTTCGCGGGGCGATGTTGAGGTGTTCGTCGTCGCCGTTGTCGAGTCTACGACGTTTCACACTATGGTCGGCCATCATGCGTTCAGGTCAAGGCTGGTGTTGGATTTTACTCACTTTGAAGAAATGGCTCCAGCATGATTCAATCTCCAAATTTGAAGCAGCGCCCAATGAAGTTTTGATGGATGCTTAAGCGGGACGGGACGTGCCATCACTAGCGTTGTATCGACTTTTGAGTTGAGTGCACATGCAAGTTCACGGCCTTCACAAGATCTCGACATCCACTCCGAGCATGAATATATATTCCGTCTTTCTTGGCGATTAGAACGCCATCTCCATCACCTTAGAATCACTCCGACCCTGCAGCTCTCTTCGAAACATATCAATCACTCCCTCACCCTACCAAGAGCGCCAACTTGAATGAACGAATGGATCACACAACAGGAGACATCGAGACTGGGACTAGTGGTTAATACACAGTACACATGAAAGTGAATCTACACTCATAGCATCTAAACACATCATCTCCTTTCTTTTGAGCTTCTCCCTGCTCTGCATGCGCCGTAACACCCTGCGTGAAGTAAACCGGCCGCCCGGTAGTAGCCTCGGCCGTGAATGTAGAAGTGAAAAGGGATATCGTCGAGCTTGGAAAAGGAAGTCTAGACGTCATCTAGTGAGCATGGCCGTGGCCGTCATGAGAATCATCCTTCTTCTGCTGTGCTGGAGGGCAGCAGCTCTTGCCACCACCGCAGTCGTCACTGCACTCCAAAAGGCAGCTCTGATCTCCACGCTCGCTAGCTGCTCGGCGGACGGATCCGTTGCGTGGGCTGTCATCGTGACTGTGGGAGCCCTCGTCGTGGTGGTGGGATTCTTCGTCGAGATCGGATTCGTGGTGGAACTCTGGCTGGATGGTGGATGAGTGAATGCCGTACTCATGCAAACACTTCCTGACGGCAGAGGCCAGCTCCATGTAACGTTGCGATCCCTCGCCCTTAAAGTTGAAAGTGACACGAACGTGAAGACTGGCAATCAGCTTGGTGTCGCTGAGCTGCCAGACGTGCAGGTGGTGGCAGCTCTCGATGCCCGGAAGGTCCTCAATGTCGTCCCTGATGTCATCCACCTCGATACCATGTGGCACAGCCTGAAGCAGGATGCGTGACGCTGCCTTGCACAACGGAATTGCTGAGCAGAGGATGATGATTGTAATGACGAGTGAAATGGCAGGGTCGAAGTAGAATCGGCCAGGGAAGTGCGTGAGCCAGATGATCAGTGCAGTGGCGATGACACCAATGTTGCCAAGAGCGTCACCCATAACGTGGAGGAAGATGCCCTTCATGTTGAGATCGCCGTGCGAGTGGCCGCCACCCTTGCCAGCTTCTCGTGGCTGGTTGTGCTTGTGCTCTCGGTGGTCGAAGGACTTCCTCTTGTTGTTCGTAGTGCCATATACAACCTTCTGTGCGGCACCACCGAGCAGAGGCTCGAAAGAGTCGGCAGTCTCTGGCTCTGGATCGACAGCATTCTCAGTATCAGTGCCTTCATCAGATTCAACAGGATCCATGCGCGCTGCAGCAATGATGGAGTTTCTGAATCCAGTCGGGCCGGGATAGTCTTCATAGTTGACAAAGCCCTTGGATTGAGAGCGGCTATGTCTGCGCTTCTTCTGTGGACTCAGTTGAGTCTTAGCAGCGAATCCATCCTCAACTGCGGTGGTCTCGCGGTTGGCAGTCTCTGGCTGGGCAAGATCCGAGGACGTGTTGCGGATGGTGTCATCCACGCCGGTACGCGATTCGCGGTGCTGATGACCAGTTGGCTCGTCGGTATATGGCTCATGAATGTGTCCAGCATGTCCTTCCTCAGCGTCTCTTACGTCGTGGCTGTGGCCTTCCTCGCCCTGGCTGTGACTGTGCCCTCCTCCGTGGCTGTGGCCGTGGTCGTGGAAAAGCACCAGGCCAACGATGTTGGAAGCCAGACCCAAGCAGCCTACTATCAGAATGAGCTGGGGGTTGTTAACCTCTTGCGGTTCCACGAATCGTTGAATGGCGTCCAGGAAAATGGTTACGCACAGAGCCACCAAGAAGACGCCATTCACCAATGCACCGAGAGTCTCGGCACGCTGGTAGCCATAGGTGTACATCTTTGGGGTGGAGGTACGATTCGCCATCTTGACAGCCCACAATCCGACGCAGAGGGAGAGGACATCGTTGAGCATATGGAAGGAGTCGGCGACGAGGGCGAGCGAGTGGACGGCATATCCGGTGATGAGCTCGAGGAAGAAGAAGGCGGTATCAATGACGAGCAGGATGATGATGCGAGTCGACTTGGAGAGGGCCATGGTGGATGGATGGAGGTGGTGGCCGTTCGGGGAGATGTTCGGGTGAAGGTATGAGCTCTGGGCTCGCGTCGCGGAGGGTGTGTTCGCAGTCGGGTGGGGTTCTGTCACGCCCCTATAGCAGGATCTTGGGGAAGCACGGGAGTGCTGGGAGTATCACGGCAGCACGAGATGAGTGAAAACGAAGTTTCAAATCTTGCGGTTGAACCTGACAAACCGAAAAGAACGGGCAGCGCCACCACCCACCTCGTCCGACAACCGGATCCTGCGCGTCGACCTGCCCGAACTGCCGAAACTCAATCCTGCCAGTAGCCGAACATTGGAGCACACGACATCAAATAATTGCCAGTTGTCATGGAAGTGAGGGTGGAAGTCAGGCAGAAATTTGATGGAAAGCACAAGAGTCGGATGTCTCGTGGGACCAAGCATCTCACAGATTCGCAGCTGCCGTAGTAGTGCCACTGTCGATTCAAGACTTCAACACGAACGCGTGGGCTGGCCGTTATAGGCGACCGCGAGACATGTCTGCAGAAGTCGCGGTCGTATTAAGCGAATCACGCCATTGAGTGAATGTTCAACTACACCTTCTCCTCTTCCACAGCCTGTTGCACACACTCCTACACGTATGAAGTGATATAGCAATGCTCCATCAACAGTATCCAGTGTCAATGGCATGTTTCAGTCCCCTTCGCTCTCTTCATCTCCCTCCGAAGCCTTAAATCCCGCAGCCGGCCAATGTTCGTAGTCGAGCGTTCGCCGGCACGCCGCCCTTGCGTCACATGAAGGAAAGAGAACGAGCAGAGGATGGACCACCCCCGCGGCGAGAGTAATCCCACCCACGGCCAACCCATCTGCTGAGACCATGCGGGCTGAATGCCACATTCGCCCACCATTTCTAGAGTCCAGCAATGGAGCATCGGAACTCTCAGCAAGCGTCTGGCGATCCAGTGCGACACATCCCCGAGCCAGAACCTGCACACCTGCACGATGAGACCGACAGCGACCGTGAATGGGAGGCTACAGAGCTGCGGGCAGTCGTCGAACGCCCACCAAACCATCGCGTGTTGAGTCTTGAGCTGCCAGCAGAGCACTGGTATGATTCCATAAGGAAGTTCTGGAGACGCCATGTCCGCATCTCTGTACCACATGTCGATTGCAGAGATCATCTTGGTGAGTAGTATCCTATACGCCGTCATTGAGGCCTTCTCAAACAAACCTCTTCTCTCGCGTACAGTGCGAAGGCCTCGGAGAGATGCATACCATGCTCTCCCGTGTCGTGTCCTGAGGCAAATCGCAATGGTCGCAACCGCTGGTGTCAAGCCCGAACATGTTTCGATGTTGGAATTAGAGACGTCTCAATCACAGCAGAAAGATGGGCCGATGTCAACTTTAAGTTGGACGTGCCTGACGCGTTACCAAGTGGATGAAGAACCGGCCTCCCTGGTGAACTCAATGGATCGAAACACATCGTGTTCCTGGCTGCAACAGCGCACTACCTCAGCTGCATCGTCATCACAACAGCATCCAGTGCTAGGGCATCGTTCTCACCGTATCCATCCAGAACATTCACTGACGATCAACTCGCAGCAAATGAACGCACCTTTCTTGGCTACCTTCGAACATCGGTAGCTCTGTCCATGCTCGGTGCTGTCATCGCCCAGCTCTACCGCTTGACGCACTCACCACATCCGGATCCTGTCTTTGGCTTCTTCGTCTTGAGCAAACCGATCTGCGGCATACTACAATGCTCTGCCCTGGGAATGGTCCTGCTAGGTGCCATTCGCTATTTTCGACAGCAGGCCGCGATGGCAACGGGGAAGGTGTTTGCGGGAGGGTGGGAGGTATTGACCATCGTCATATTCACGAGTGCGGTATGTTTGAGTGTCGATGGTAACTGCACAGTATGAAGAATAGACTGACGCGAGCATAGCTCATGGTTGCACTATTCGCCTTGCATGTTGCTCTTGACATTGCTAAATATTGATCATGCAGGAACGGGAGCGGCGGAACTGGTTCTAGGATCTCGCACCGGTGACATCTGCGTGGCTCCACGTGCCATGACTTGATATCGAGTCTCCAAGACCAGCCCTTCTACGCAATTCCCTGCAGTGGTGTAACTCGAACGAGGAGACATCACAGAGCCAATATTCCTCGAGAATGGATTGCTTCAAGTGATAGGACTCCGTCAGTGAAGAGCGTTTATTGCCTGAAGAATCAACCACCGGCGAACCGATCTGCCATCGTCCGGAGTACCACCAGGTAACGCTGAGGGCATCATACCGCCCATTCCAACAACCTGGCTGCCGATTGTGACCACCCCAAGTTGAAACACGAGTCTGACGCCAATAATGCGTAAGCCTCAAGCGCTTGGTTGTTATACAACCTCCGAGCCTAATCGAGCATTTCGGTGGCCGTCGAACGTCTGGACCGAGGATTTCAAGAAATTCGGTCCAGGAAACCATCACAAAATAGCACTCCAAGAGTCAGTTTGGCAACATCGACATGGATCTCAGCCTCCCTCCTGACGGAGCCACGAGACTTCCAATTCCGTCTGCCAGGATTGCTCGCAATAGAGTTCAAGAGATCAGCCCATGGAGACAGAGTATAAAAGAGCCTCCCTTTGATCATTCTCGGTTTCGTTCAGAGCAACAGAGACCATCGTCCGCATAGCAGCAACGCCTCACACTTCACATTCGCTTCTACAAGTCCACCTCAAACGCCCAACAAATCACCAAAATGTACTTCAGCGCAGCAGCCATCATCGCCCTCCTGCCTGCCCTGGGCTCTGCCACCTGTTACATCTGCGGTGGCGCTACGCAGAGCCCTCTAGGAGCCTCCTTGATGCAAGATGATGGCAACCCCAACGCTGGCAACGCCCCAGGAGACAATGCGTGCGGCCTCTCAATATTCGTGGAGCTCACGCAAAACCAGCAGCAGCCCTCGGTAGAAGACTGCCAGCAGATGGTCGCCAACATCCAAGGCGACTTCTCCTGGCCAGTAGACCAGAACGGCGAGACACTGGCATCGTTCGGAACTTGTGAGTCTCAACACCCTCTTCGGACCCTTTTCGATTGATTCTTCGCTAACACAATTCTCAGGCTGCTTCAACGCTCGAACTCAAGGCGGAACAGGCTACGTGGGCAACGCAGATATCGCCGACCTGACCAACGACTCGATCAAACAGTACAGCGACAACGGCTACATCGACTGCCACGGCCAATACCACATGTTCGTTTCGTCTGCTGGCGGTATGCGCTGCGATCAGAACGACTGGTATACCGGCCAGCAAGTCCAGGTTGACTGGACTCTTACGCTCTGTTAATGAATTCGAATGAGAACGAGCGTCTGTTGTGTAAGTCCAACCAGAATCGCACTCTCTTCTGGACTGCCCAGAGAGAGAAGAGTTGGCTAGAGACATCATGCTTGATCACGGAGGAAGTCGTGCAACCTGTCGGGAGTATGTCGGAATGATAGGGATCATGAGAATCGGGAGTCTTCTTGTTTCAGGGGACCTTGTCTTTTCCCCGGGCATGGATACAGTAGTAATTCTATATATATCTCTGAACCAAGACATTTTTCACGAGGCGGAATTCGTCACTGTGCATACTAATATACATTGTACTTCCTATTCTATCTTCCATGTCGTTCGACGACGCTGCTGACGACTTGACGTGGTACTGACATCCTAGGGAGATTTCAAAAGAATACCGCCACTCTCCCTCCCCATGTCCTGCCAGTGATGGGTGCAATGACACCACGAACCTTGCAAGGGGTTCATCACCTTCCATGCTGCTCATCTCACATCCATCCATCCTACCTCCATCATCATCTCGCAACCGACAACATCTCCATTTCCTCGTGATGTAGCATCGTAACTCCTTCTACACAATTCAAGAGACCCCTCTCAAGACTCGGTATACGAAGAGAATAGCCCATTTGATCAGATAGACATGTTACACAGCCTCCCATCAGCATCAGCATCTCGTATTCTTCTAGCGCCGTACTTGGCATTCCATTAGACAAGGCTCGTGTCCTATGTGCAGAGGTTGAACCGGTTGGATGGTGAGACAAGGAAGGAGGAGGACGTATATATCCACCTCTGATCCCTCTCGTAGAATCCTTCTATCACTAGAACAACGACTACACCTTCTCGATAACATCAACCACCGAACCACCAACCACCAAACCCATCATCCCTCCACGACCAACGACCACCATGCTCCTCCAAACCCTCCTAGCCCTCACGCCCCTCGCCCTCGCCTCCGCCATCCCCCAAGCCCCCAACACCGCCATCCCCACCTTCGGCGACCGCTTCGGCATAACCGCCACCGGCCCCGGAATCACCAACATCGACCTGCGCGCCCAGGCGGGACGCCTCTACATCGGCGGGCCCCAAACGCCCCACTGCGAAAACGCCGCCCGCCAAGACTTTGCGACCTTCGTCCGCTACTCCGACAAAACCCTCTACCTCTTCAAATACGGTCCCCCGCCCCAACAAGTCTGGGTCGACGCGAGCGGCATGGGGCAAGGGATCACTGGATATGCGAATGTGGATGGGAATTCTACCGCGCCGCGGAATGCGAGTTGGGGGGCGTGGGAGGTTGATGAGGGGACGGGGGAGGTGTCGTTTGAGGGGGTGGGGGCTAAGGCTTGTCCGACGGGGGAGGAGGGACGGTGGAGTTTGTGGTTTTCCGAGAGTGAGATGCCCGGGTGGCAGAGTGGGTGTGTGGATGTTGGGTTGAGGGCGTATGCGGCGCCGGCGAGGGTGGCTTGTGAGTATACTACTGAGTAGGAGGGGGATGTGAGGGGGTGAGGGTGTTGAGAGTGGTGGTTTATGATATGGAGGGATGGTTTGGAAGCATAGCGAGGTCTGGGAATGGAGGGGAAAAAAATGGCATTGTAAGATAAGACTGCAGTAGGAAGAGTGGATGTATACATACCTCGACATTCATCTTGAAGGACATGTCGTGAGATGGGGACCTGGATGAGAGAACGACAGACGAATGGTGACTTGTTCCAAATCAGGAACCCAATGCCATAATCACTTGCCCCAGCGAGGCGGAGAGGGAAAGGAGCACGTCACGCCAGATAAGGTCCTCGTCCGCGTAATGGAGTTGAGCCATGAAAGTTCCTGTCATCCCGACTTCCTGCCTGCGGACACTGTACGCGGAGAGTAAGGAATCGTGTGGACTAGGCCATTCACCTCTCTACCTCGAGGCCAGCGCAGTAGTATAAGTTCCACTGCCTCCAGACCGAGGAACAACTCGGTTGAAGCACTTGGTGTTAAAGCCCAATTGGCGACTCTTGAACTGCCGCAAGCCTCGCATGCATCTTCGGCCGTGTTCTCCTCAACTCGGCAGCGGTGTGCAAGGACGGCAGCGATGGCGTTCTTCTTCGGTCCTTCCATGCAAGTCAAGAACTTCGCCCGCGTGGCTGGGTAACTACATGCATGTCAGTTGATATCTTGGGGAAACAATCAATGTCGATCCAATATCGCTTCTGTACCACCTCCAAAGACTAGATCCTGCCGGGAAAAGCCACGAGGTTCGTCAGCAGAAAAGTGTTGTGCCGTGCATGACATCTTTCAACGGCGTGTCTTGGGAGGAAGGAGGAAGACGAGCGAAGTCCAGAATTGCATCCTCTCCCGAGTGAAGGCGCAGTCCGTTGGTTTCATGCCTCAGGATCTGCGTCCGTCCGGATGTGGAGGGAACGGGGAGGAGCAGGGATTGTTGTTGCAGGCCGTTTACGTAAGGTTGACCGTGGAGGGTGAATGTTCTGTTCTCCCCGTGATTGGAAGTCTGCGTGTGACGGGATGGCCAATTCTTGCCATCGTCAGCCGCCGTAGCCGTGGAGATGGTGATGTGTCGTTGTTGTCGATGGATTGCGCCGACAGTGTCGATCGATGCACTTGCCGAGACAAGTCTTCACATCGAAGCAGCTCGCCACTATTGACGCCGAGAGATGGAATTGTAGCTTTTAATGGCCAGACTGGAGGAGTTGAAGAGTTCGTTCGCGCATAGCAGCTCCCCTGAACTCTATCTCGTCGTGGGAGATTTCACCAAGGACCAGGGCGGTGGGGAGGGAGGGGAGACTGCCAAAGCGAGGCGGTTGGAGCAGAAGAGGAGAGGAATCGGGAGAGAGAGGAGGTGGGGTGCGGCCAATAGGAGAGTTGATGTCGCATGCAGGAACGACATTCGCTCACGTGGGCCACGCTAAGCGCACGCGAGAAAGGCTGGGCGAGACAAAACCGTTGGCGACTGGAGTGCATCCTTCAACGCCACCGTTGTTGGCACGCCCGTTGGCACGCCGTTTTCTCTTGCGCGAACGACGACAACAAAGAGACGACATGCCGCCAATCCTCGCGGCTGCGGCTACGACAGAGCTGAAGGTCTGGAGAGTCGATGCGCAGTTCCGCCCCCATGCTATCCGCCGATGCGATTCGATAACACAGGGGTCACGACAGGCCTGCTGTGCCCTTTGTGCTCAGTGCACACGACCGGGATATGCAGTGTCGGCGTGCCACTCGATACGACGAGTTTTGCCTCCCGTTCTCGACAAGAACCTCGTCTACTTTTCGCCGAGCCGAGAACGGCGGTCCACAACCAGCATCATCGCTGATGAAGACGCCTTAGCGGAAGATCAGCCGCCTCCCACGCTCGAGCAAAACACGTCAGTACCGGCGGCGGGTGCGAGCAATAGGCAGGTAATAGGTGAATAGGCACTGTGGAAGCGCCTCCTCCGCAAACTCTCGTCAACCAAGATGCATCTCTTCAGCGTCTTGCCATCGGGAGCAACGTCCAATCCGGAGCGCAAGACGCCAGCTGTACGTGATGCAGGGTAGCGGTCGGCGCCTCCCGACAGCCTAGCACCAGCAAGTGAATGGCTGTCGATGCGGCGAGTCGACGCCCAACGTCAGACGGCCGCTGTTTGTGGCCCAGCAGGGCTGCACTTCTTCCTCCACGTCCACCGAGCCCGCCCACCACCCATGTCCAGGCCCGCGAGCGCAGACGCGGCGACTGGTCGCACGCTGCTGCATACCCGTCCCGCCAGACAGGGCCGAGGACGCGGTCTCGTTGCTCTAACCCATTTCTCCTCCATGGTAGGTCGAATGGTCCTAGTCGGTCGTGTGCCTGGCTCCATCGAGAGGCTCCATTCGTGCCATTCCTTCTCGACCTGCCTGACTCCTGCCCTCTCAATCCCCATCATCCAACACTCCAACTTCCTACGGTCTCTCTTCAGCTGCGCCCAACAGCTGCCCCGACGCTCCCTTTCATCGACATCGCTCGATTGTACTTGCTGCGCATTTCTGTATTTGCCGTGCTCTGCTATACCTGGTCCTTGCACTTCCACGCGCGCCGCGAAACACATCTGCGACTGTCTACCCTGCGACCTCCACCAGATCTCGTAATATACGATCTATAATATCTGTCTCCACCGACATCAACATGGCCGATTGATGCAGACTGGAACAGGAAACTGCATCGCTGGGCTCTACCGAAATAGAAAAAGAAACAGCTCACGCTGTACCCACTACCACAACCATATACTTAAGGCTCGAGCCAAGCTCTGGACGCAATACTCGAAGCTCGCGAGGGGGAACGGTCCGGCTGAGGTGAGGGGCTGAACCACTGAACACAATCTGGATGAGGCAAAATGTCCAACTCGACGGTATCAGATCTGGTTGGAAACTGCATAGCACCCTTCCTTGACGCCTCAAAGTTCGGCCAAGAGGGAGGATGTAAGTTTGGACAGTTCTAATCTGAAAGACTTCGCTTGCTGACTGAAGGCAAAGTCATACACGGCCGATTTTGCGCACCGATAGAAGGACTACCCGGCAATCCAACATGTTGCTTGCCTTGTCCCGCAACTGAATGGGCCTACTCAGACCAATTCAGAACATACGGCATCGTATCAGAATGGCTGAACGTTGTCGGCCTCATATTGATGGTCTTCATGCTCATATCATACGTGGTACTACCGACGCAGCAGACACGAAGTCATTACCTCAGCGTGTGTTTGGTTGTGTCAATAGCCCTGATTGCGATTGGATTTACGATACCCCTTGGAGCGAGGCCACAGCAGTGTCACGATGAAATCACCCCGAACGACATGTACTCATCAACGGAATGTGCCTGGTCTGGCGCATTCATCATCGCAGGAGGACTTACGGCCGATATGTGGATCTTTATTCGAGCTTTGTCGATGAACTTGCAGATTTGCTGGGACATTGTTCCTGGAAAACGGTTCTTCTATGCCTCACAATTGATGGGATGGGGCATCCCGGCGATTTTGTTCACCATCACCATTACCTTGACTGGAGTCAGCTTTCGTTTTGGATCGGCGTGCCATGTCAACCACAAATCGTCAATGGGTGACTTCTGGGGGCCATTGCTGGCTTTCGCAGGCGCAGCTGGTGTCTTACAGCTTATGACTTTCGCATACTGCATCCACGTCTATCTCAAAAATTTGTGGTCAGACCAAGCCGATACCTCGACCAACGCATCTGGAAGCGGGCTGCCATCCTACACTTCCAGCGTGCGAACACAGACGGCGCGTGCTGTGTACCAACGACTGAAGAAAGTACTCTGGCTACAGTGGCGAGGAATTTGCATCGTCAGCATCATTCTCGTCGACGTCGTCTTCTTCTCCATCGTCTTCGTCTACCTCGATGGCATGCAACAATCAATCGTCCGCGATTGGACTAAAGTTATGCCCTGGTTGGGTTGCCTTGCTAACAACCCCAACGACAAAGACAAGTGCCTGCACCTTGTCCACGGCTGGCTGGTCAACGAACCTACTGTCGTTGCAGTGCTTCTACTCTTGTCTCTGGCCGGCGTGCAAGTCTTTCTCCTCCTCACCCGACCCTCAGTCTTCCCCGCCTGGTGGGACTTCTTCCGATCCAAGACCTCCCGCCGCCAAGAATTCGTCTCCCTCGACGCCAGGCCAGATATCATGCAACGCTCCAACTCCAAGCAAGAGCTCCTCCGCTACCAACGAGGAAACCAAGCCACGACCTTCGAAATGCAAGCGAAACAACCTCCCTCCGTCGAAACCACTGATCTCGAACTCAAAGGCCTGGGAGGCTCGACCCTCTCATCACCCGAAGATTCCTACCGAAGTCCGCTCCACCAAGGCTCCCCAGCGATCGACGAGACGGCAAACCACAACCTCCCACGAGGCCGCCTCCCACCCGAATACGTCAGCCGCATAACGCCCTCGCCCCTCAACGATCCAATGAACCCGTCCAGCCCACCCGAGGCATTCCGCCAACGCCAACATCAACCCTCGACATCAGACTACTTCAACCAATCCCGCCTCCGCAAAGACTCCTCTGAATCGCGGCGCTACCAACCCCCAACATCCAGCTTCTCCGTCCCCAAAGCGCCTTCCAGGGACAGCAGCATCAAAAGCGTCAGTTTCGACCCGAGGGATATGTACACGAGGGGCGGACTCGCACTAAACCCACCGAGCGAGGCTGGCGAAAGCCAGGAAGATTTGCATCAGAGTCGACTGGTGGCGAATTCGAGGGTGTGGGATCCTAACAATCGAATTTGAAAATGAACAGGAATAGGCAAACGTCGGAGGTTGCATGTAACGATTCATTTAAGGCGTAATGAGCGAGCGAGCGTTTGATTTTACTTTGCTACCTTCTCGAGGTTTTAACTTGTATATAGCACATACCCCCCATTTGGTTTTTCCTTTCTGTCCTTTGAATCACGGTCACAAAAGAGTGGATGCACACGGGAAAAGTCGGCTTTGGAGGAGAGTAGAGTAAGCAACTGGCAATGCTGTAAAGAAGGCCTTGTCGAAGGGGGGCCGATCCAGGGAGACCATCAACGGGCATGGACTGCGGTTCAAACAGTCGTTTGTTACAATGGCTTGAGACGATAGATATGGGAAATGAGAAGTTTTTGACAGAAAGTCAGGGAGAACGTTCCGTTTCTGTGCTTGTTGGTTGTTCTTCTTGTTAACCCGTTTGTATCGCAGAAGGGAAACGAGAGGAAAAGAGATGCTGCGTATTTCTGAGACCTTGTTGCGCAGTTTTGGGGCTGCGTGAATGGTGAGTGAGTTCGGAAATGGCAGGATCGATCGATCCTCTTCCATCTTTCCATCTTCAACATTACAATCATCTATCAGATCACAGACTCTCGCAAAGGACAACAATAGCAGCCCAGCACACGACCTCCGCCGTCAAACAAGAAATACCACAAGAAACAAGCGCATGTTTCCCCAAAACCAGAAAAGCCCTCGAAGGATTCACCTCCACGCCCCCACCACCAACAACAACGTGCATACAGCTTCCTCTGGGACTGGACGACTTCGTCACTCGGCTGCGTAGTCGCCATCCTGCCTACCTAGCAAAATCTTCCGAAAAAACGTCGTCATGCCTTTTCTTGCCGCAGAACCTCACATCATCACGAGCTGACGACGATCACCATGACAAGACTTCATCTCTCACAGCTGCAGGGTGAGGTTGGGCTGTCATGTCTGACTCTCGCTACCACCGCGTGGGACTGGATGTCGACGACGAGGGTTCGGTGAACGATAAAAAGGCCCTCGCGAGGAAAGCGCTGCTCCGCGATGCCCTGATCGCCGTGGGAGGTGTGATTGTTGGCGCGGTGTTGTTTCTGGTGTTGTTTCGACTCAGGCCGCCGATTGATCGTGATGTGGTTTGTGGGGAGTATGTTTCGGCTTATGGTATGTACCTACATGCATGGAGGTTGAAAGGGTTGGGTGGGTGCTGATTTTGTTTTCTGTAGATTCGCCGCTGTTGAAGGATGTCGGGATTAAATTTCAGAAGAAGCGGTTTGATGTCGCGAGCCATAATCAGAGTGTTTATCAGCATCTCGGTGGGCCGGAGAGTGGTGTTGACGAGGCGTGGGAGGAGTTGGGTTTTGATTGTGAGTTTTTGTCCTATTCTACCATCACCCACAGTGGCGATATCCTAATCGATACCAGACGCACGAGTGACCCTCCCCTCCTCCATCGGCAAATCCGCCGGTCTAGAAGGCCACGCCCGCATCCCCGGCTCAGAAGACTACATCGCCTTTATCGAAGTCCTGCACCAACTGCACTGCCTCAATATGGTGCGCCAAGGCCTCTACTTCAACATCGACTACTACAAATCGCAGGGCAAACCACCCTTCCACGCCTCCGACGAATTCCTGCAATACCACCTCTCGCACTGCATCGAGACGATCCGCCAGCAGCTCATGTGCGCCGCGGATTTCAACATGTTTGGGTACGTGCAGGTGAAGCATCAGACGGGGCAGAAGAAGCTTTTCCCGGATTATGCGACGCAGCATGTTTGTCGGAATTTTGAGGCTATCAAGCAGTGGGCCGTGGAGCATCAGGATGGGAGGTTGGAGGATATGGAGACGTTGGCGAGAGAGTTGGAGCCAAGGAAAGGGGATATTGTGCTGGACGAGATTCCATAACCTCGAAAAATCCCACCCAAAAATTGCTCATCGACTGGATCAGTTACTCACTCATCCTCCTTAACCCACTCATCAAACCACCTAACCGCCTGCCAAAACGCCCCCTCCTGCGCAAACGCCTTCCTCTTCACCCCCAAATCCGTCCTCACCGCAAACCCATGCTCCGCCCCGGCATACAACACCGTCTGATACGTCTTATTCCCCTGCTCAAAAATCCCCTCAATCGTCGTGCGATTCTCCGCCGTATTCGACTCGTCCAAACTCCCAAACGCCAGGCTGATCGGGCTCGCGATGGCCTCCCACTCCGCCGCCAGCGTGTTCGAGGGGTGCGCGGCGAAACCTGCGGAGAGGGGTGAGGCGGGCGTGAGGTGCCGCGCCACGTAGCGCCCGCCGAAGCAGTAGCCTACGGAGGCGATTTTGTTCACGATGTAAGTCGATTGGATGGTGGTGAGGGTTGTGTTGATTATGGCGTCGATTTGGGACGGGGGGTGCCGGGGGAACCAGGCGGTTAGGTTGTAGGTTGAGTTGGGGTCTTCGAGCGCTGTGGCGGGGACGGCGTCGCCGCGGAAGAGGTCGGGGAGAATGACGAGGTAGCCGGCGCGGGCGAGGCTGTCGGCGAGGCTGCGGTTTTGTGAGCTGAGGTTGGACTTGATGTCGTGATTTAGAGAAGGCGGAGGACTTACAGGCGGTTGTTGACGAGCTGAATGCCGAAGATGTCCGTCAAGAAGAGAATCGCAGCCTTGGGTCTGGATCTTCGGCCTGGTGGGGTGGCGATGTAGAGAGTTTCTGTATTTGATCGATCAATTAGCACTGTTCTTCATTTATGTTGATAATGGGGAAGAACATACCGCCATTGATGGTCCTAATCTGCCCCGTCGAATTGCCATTGTGCAGCACACCACTCACGCCCGAAGCATGCGCATAATTGAACACATCGCCAGCGTGTTCATGTGATAAATCCCAGCCTCCGTGCGCGAACGTAAGGGATGCACTAGTCAGCAACGCTGCTGCGTAAGTGAATAAACCCTTCATCCTCTAATCAACACTCGAGTCGAAAGACAAGCTCCTCCTCAACGCCGGGCACCCCACCATCTTTAAGAATGCATCACGAATCTGCACTCCACTTTGTAGATTGCAGATCGACCTCGACAGATGCAAGCAAGGGATGTAGTGACGTTGTCGCCAAGGGCAATCTAGCCTAAAGTGTTCATGCACGTGTCGATGTTGCACGGCAGACTGAGACATGGACGGCTTGGGAGGCTTGGTTTGCAGAGATTCTTCGTACGAGGAGGGCTCGGGATCTTGGCTTGTGGTTAAGTCCGCTGGCACGACATTTGGTTGTCGAAATGCGGCATATTGAGGTGCAAGAGTAAGAAGGTCCGTGAAGTAGGATGGATGTTGTTGTATCTCTAATACATTCGTCAGCCTACAATAACTTCTCAAAAGCCTCCATCGCAGCCTCATTCTGCTTGTTCAAATCCACATTATTCGTAAACCCTCCCGCCTCCCTCATGAACGCCTTCATCTTCGCCGGATCAGTATGCAAGTCCCCGTACGAATACGCATATAGCCATCCAAACTCCCTCGAAATCTCCACGACTCTCTGCGACCGTGGTCGTCGAGCTGTATCAAACGCTTCAAAAGCTTTCTCGATCCGGTCTTTCGACGTCACTTTGTCGAACAGGGCATTCACCACCGCGCAGTCTTCCAACGCTTGAGCGGCTCCATTTCCAGCGAAAGGGTACATGGTATGTGCCGCGTCGCCGATCATGCAAACTCTTCCTCGCCAGTAGAAGGGCGCGTTGTCGTGGTCTGCGTAAGACCATGAGTCCGCTGGGTCGTCTTTGACCATTTTGATCATTTTCTTGGCTTCGTCGCTGTAGTCGTCGTATTTTGTTGGGTCGAGGGGTGGTGCGCCGCCGATTTTGTCGGCTTCGAAGCGAAGGCCTGGGACTACGATGCCGACGCTGAGTAGGCGACCTTTGTCGAGGGGCATGCTGTTGATGTAGCCTCGTGGACCTGTGATGGCAAGTCAGCGCTTTTGAGAGACAGGTGGTGACTGATGCGACCAACCACACAGAATAGGGACGTAAGTCGTCCACTTGGGATCCATGCCGTATGCCCTCGCCTCATCCATTGGCAGCGTCCGCCTGTAATTCTGGTACCCGTCATGGTTCTTCGCCCCAACAGCCGGATGATCTGGGCCCAGTATATACGCTCTTGTCACACTATGCACACCATCCGCACCAATAACACAATCCGCCTCGATCTCTTCACCATCCTTAAACCTCACCTTCGCAACATCGCCAACTTGTCCCACGCTCGCAGCTCTTTTGCCAAACGTCACACATCCGGGAGGAAGCAGTTCCATCAGCCCCTTCATGTCTCGCAACAGTCTTCCTGCCCTTGGCTCTTCCCAGTTCTGCCACGACCTCACCCTCGTTAGGTCCATGTGCTAATATCACCTGCGTTGCCATCTCGAGAGCTTCATCGCCCATGTTCAATGCCTTTTTCGAGTATGCCTCCCGAACTTCGTCCCCGATGAGCAACATCGCCTTGATCGCGTTTAGATGTAATGCCAGTCCAGCGCCAACATCCTTATACTCCGGTACGCTCTCATAGATGTGAAAGTCGATATGAGGCTTCTTCGTCAGACCAGCCCCCAGAGCTAAACCCGAGATCCCTCCTCCTACGATAGCAACCTTGATCTTGCCTTGCTCTGCGGAACCCATGATGCCTCAACTCTTCCCAATGCGTACGAGAGGTTGCAGCAGTTAGTATTCGATAAGGAGACGAAGAGGAATGATACGGGTAAGAAACAGTCCAGCTCCTTCTTACATGGCGTGTCACAGCCTTAGTCAGGCGCGTACATTATACCTATTGCGTGGTTCGCATCATACCGCAGCTCCGTCCGTTCAGATGGATGCTGGAGGGACAAGTGCGCGAGCTGAAAGGAGTTGGGAGGAGCCGGTGAGAGCGTCATCAAATCCCGAATTTGGATGACTAAGCCCCCATTCCCTTGCAACGTTCTTATGCTCAAAAACCTGGAATGTCCTTCTCCCATCTCGATATCAACACGTCGTCAGATTGTCTTCAGTTCTTCTCTGGCGCCTGAGGACGTAGAAATTTCTAATCCAATTGGCAGCTGGTGCCCTTGCCAACGGACATTCGGGAGATATGCTTCCAAGAAGAGGAAAAGGCCATATTCGCATCCTCCATCAAATCTTGAATCCCTCAGCAGAGCCCAGGATTGCGTACACTGCCACCAACTCAAACGCAACCCCGAACCTCTTCGCAGATTCGCTCCATCAACCAACCCTAGAAAGACCACCTAGCTCAGGGCCCTCCACACCATCCTCTCATTCTTATGTGATCATGGGCCCAGCCGTCATCCCAGCATCCAGCGTAAGCGCATGGCCATTCACATAGCTCGCGGCCGGACTGCAGAGGTACACGATGCTGTTGCCCACCTCGTCGACTTCGGCCGGTCTGCCCGCGGGATTGATCTTCTTGATGAGGTCCGTTATTGGTGGGATCTTTTCTTGTTCGCCTTTAAACATGGGCGTGTCGACCCAGGTTGGACACATGCAGTTGACGCGGATGCCTTTGGGGGCGAGGTCGACGGCTGATGATGGGTGGTGACATTAGTACATGAGGGCTGATCACAAGAGGACTTCACTTACCCAACGTTTTGGTTATTCCGAGTGAAGCCCACTTGGAAGCGACATATCCAACCTTGGCTGGAATACCCACGAAAGCTGCTGCGGAGGCCACATTGACAATGACTCCTCGTCCCAAGTCTCGCTGAGTCCCGCTGACGGTGGTGAACTGCCGTGGCTCTTGAGCCTCCATGACCTTCGCGACAGCTCGCGATACGTTCAGCAGGCCCGTGGCGTTGATTCTTTGCACTCGGTCGAAGTCGTCGGGATCGTCGTCTGGCACAGGCGCGTATTCGACTTGATCTACCTAGGGAATTCGTCATGGACAGTCTTGCAGTCGATGTTTCGTGTGGACTTGACTTACTCCGGCACTGTGAACAAGATAATCGATCCTGCCGAATTCTTCTGCCACCGCCTGGACGACTTCTTCGACTGCTTTCCTGTCTGATGTATCGAGCCTGAAGGCTTTCACTCGGTAATTGCTGTCGATGGCATGCTTCTTGCTTTCCTCTGCTGCGGCCTTGACTCTCGCTTCGTCGATGTCTGCAAATGCGATTGCGGTAGCTCCAGCGGCAGCGAGAGCATTTGCAGCGCCTTGGCCAATTCCTCCTGCTGACTACTAACAAGTCAGTTATGTTTGTATCTTGAAAAGCAGGTCTACTGACACCTGTCACGAACGCCACTCCCTTCGTCTGAAAATATGCCATTGTTGTACGTACTCGTTGTCGAAATGGTCACTGCGCGAGCTTTTCAAGTACATGTAGCTTCGCAGATCCCACCTTCTACCGGGCTATCTATTTAAGCCTTTCTTGCAAAGAACGGAAGGAAGTAAGAGCGGCTGCTGTCGGTTCATGTGCGAGACGCGTATAACATTTGAGTCGTAATAAAGCGCGAGAAAGTGTTGCTAAGCATGACGAGAGGCAACCGAGCTGACTGAAAGCCAGTTCGCCGTGCACGACACCCGAATTGGCTGTTCAGCTGCGAGATAGCTCGGGTCTTCGACCTACTCATAATCCTCAAACCCTTGACTTGGAAGTGGAGACAAGGAATATCTGTACTGTATGGCGATCGCGAGGAAACATAGATACGAATACGATCGATGAGCTTTGCTCAGGGACCTCTTCCGGCCTCTTTCCTCCTCCTGGCGACTTCTTCGTCCAACCCAATCGTTCCTCTCATGATATCGTCGTGCGCATCCATCACCACCTTAGGACCAACGTATCCACGACTCCTCTTCCAGAGATATCCCAAAGCCAGCAAGGCCGTGATACCTGCGAACATCACACTTGTCCAGTTCATTGCTTGGGCGTTCGCGACCGGGTAGCTGTAAGGGAACATGTACAGGACGTTGAACACCAGGATGTATGCGCATGCGGTCCCCATGACGAGGTATCCGACTATGCCTTTCATCCAGAACGGTCCTGGCGTGACGTACTTCCTGCCGGTGATAATATGTGGCAGGATCGCCGCACAGTAAGACATGGTTGTAAAGACCGTGAAACTCGCCACGAATGCATTGAAAGCCGACGCGGAGCCGATGTAGATGCATCCGAGGATCGTACCGCCGACACAGCAGATGATCTGGGCGTTAAATGGGTTTCTCCAGGTGGGTGATATGTGGCGTACGAATTTTGGAAAGGGAGTCGCTTCGTCGCGGCCAAGTGTCCAGAGCATGCGGCCGGCGGCGATCCAGGCGCCGGGGACGGTGACGATGATGTTGAATGTGAAGAGGAAGAGGAGGGCGAACGTGCCGGCGTTGGAGCGGACGCATTGTTGGAACATGGCGCCGAGGGGGAGGGAGGTTATGTTGGTGGCGTAGACGTCGTCCAGAGATGTCACGCCGTAAAGCTGTTGTTTGTGTCAGTTAGAAATGTAAGTTTTAGGGTATTCAAAGACTTACGATAGTCACGTAGAAAACGAACGTTGCGAGAAATCCTCCCGTGAGCTGTGCGGCGATACCTTTGGGAATATTGACTCTCGGCTTGGGCAACTCTTCGCAGAGATGACAGACTGCGTCGGGAGTGCCAATAGCGTATGCACCATTCAGCATGCCCATCAAGAAGACCAGACCATCGCTCGACCAGCCCGTGAGGTTCTGCCACTCAGTCCAGACGAATGCATTGCTGGCGTATCCAGCGCCGGTTTGAGAAGGCATGATGGCGCACACTATGATCACGACAAACAGTATCGTGAGACATGCAACGCCACTGACGTTCGAGAAAATGGCCAGATACTTCTGTCCGAAGCAGACGATCGCTGTGTCAATCCAGATGATGCCCAGATATGCGATGAAGATTTGCCATCGTTCTGGAACGAAAGCTGGGTGGTAGACCGTGTACATGGCGATGATTCCGTTGGCTGCGAAGAGAGACGTAGATGCCGCTCCAAAGATCCATGCTACACAGTTCCACCAGCCTGCGAACCAGGAGAATACACGGCCATAGCGTGGTCCCGGAGTTATCGATGCCCAGTGATAGACGTTTGCTGATGTAGGCATTGCGGACGCCAGCTCGGCGAGACCAGCACATATGAAGGCGTAGAAGAACGTCGCCGCAATGAGCCCGTACATCACACCGGGACCTCCACCATTGTAAAGTCTTTGATTCCGTTAGTCGGGTGTTCCCCCGGGTTGGTATGGGACAGTCTTACGCCAAAACGAGTGCTCCTCCACCAGCAGCCCAAGCATCGTCGCTGATGAGTGCTATGCTGCATATAGACCAGAATCCAAAGTTCCGATCGAGTTCCTGAACATGGCCTGAGGTGTTGATAAGATCATTAGGCGACAGGCTTCGCTCCTCGTCTATCGCCGGAGGCGCCGATTTCTCGTCACCGGCCATGGCGGGAGTCAATATTAATAGCGAATTAGGAGGAGTAGATGAAAGGATGAGGTAGGAGAGAGTAAAGAGGTCTTGTTTGACCAGCCACGCGGGCCAGACACGCGATGTGCAGGTGGTATGCCGATCATGACTTGTTTTTCACGATGCATTATGTATCCATTGCGCTTGGCGAACAGCGCGGGCAAGGGCCAAGATATGGCTTGGAGATAGTGGCATTTTAAGCGCCATCTGAGGCAAGAGGACGCATGTGGAAGCGGAGGAAAGAGCTGATAAGAGAATAGTGTAACGCAGGCCGAGATGCAGGGCGGGACGATAGTGAGAGTGGATGAGCGGGGAAGGGAGACTAACCGGTGATCGATATTGTGATTAATTGTATGGCGGGCGACACTACTGTCCATCGCAGGTCTATGGAATGCGTATCTGTAAGGAAATAATGATGAAGCGTTTGTCGCAGGATGGCTGATCGAATGACGAGGATGGCAGGGTCGTGGTTTCGAAGATGGCTGTCGACCATGTAGGACATGGCTTATTTAGCTCGTGAGCGTGATGTGCGATCATTCTCGCTGTCTGACAGCCTGGCGATGCATTTTGGCTGCTGTACTGCAGAGTTGTTGTCAATAGCAGAAAGGAGAAATCTCATCGTTGTGTTTCTGACGATGTAGGGGTTCCCAGAGGTCTGAGATCAAGAGACAAGCTATTCTTATTTGGCCTAGGCGGTCTGGGGTCTCAAATTTCCATCTTCGCTTGCCTTAGGTACACGCAGCTCTCCCGTGTCAGCACAAATGTCGAGATCAGACTAGGCTTCGACTTTGGCCTCATCGCTTGAATCGCACGTCTGATCATGAATTCGAAAGTGTCGAGAATGTTGGTTGTTGAAATTACCGATCGGACTCGTGTCTCCTTGTTGGCATTTGGCGGTGTTTCATGCAATCATCTCGCTGAATGCATACAGAAGCACGATCTATTCGTCTCTTAACGCCCACATCGGCATTGCTCTCTTCTGCCGGAATGCTCCTGTCCTCGTGGTCGCTATACAGAGCCCATCAAGCAATCTGGGGCCTCCAATATGCTCCACAGCTCCACAGCATATCCGCCGGATAAAGCCATCGGCAGCGGAAATGCGGAGCGATGCTGGGTGAGGCCACTATCCTCCTCTTTGGTTAAAAACAACATGAAATCTGCTTCATGTAACGATGGACTCTCAATCAGTGGACGACAAAAGCATGGCGACCACTACAGAGACTGTCACGATTCCCGAGGCAGAGCCGCCCTTCACCTTGAAGCTCGCCCACCACGATGCCTCGTATCTACCCATATCCAGGTACCAAACCATCGACGGCCTATTGAAATCACATGCTGCCGAATCCAATCAAACGCCTCTGATCTGCTACCCAAAGAGCACGGCGTCTGACTTTGAGCTTCATACGGGACAAGATCTTGATCGATATACAGATGCAGCGGTCCAGTTTTACCTCGAGAATGGTCTCCAGCCAGCTGTGAGTGCTTATTGAAAGCAAGGTCAATTTTACAAAGCTAATCTCTCTCACAGAATCCGGCTGCTGAGGAAGCGCCGGTAGTAGCCTTACTGGCGTCCACGAGCTTTGACTATGTCATCTCTTTCTTCGCCCTCAATCGACTGGGATGGACAGTCTTGTTTCTATCAACACGGCTTACAGCATCTGCATACGCGAGGCTGCTTGACTTGGCCCATTGCAATACAGTTATCGTGCCAGAGGCTAAAGTATCGATCGTTGACGACATACGCAAAGAACGACCGGCTTGCAGATCCGTCCCGATCCTTCAGGGCCAGAACTATCGCGATGTCCCAAGGGCTCCAGCGTTTCAACGGGAGGGTGTCAATCCGTCAAAAGAGGCCAAGAAGATGGCTTGGATCTTGCATTCTTCTGGCAGCACTGGATTTCCAAAGCCTATATTCTTGACCAACACTGCGTGCCTAGCCAACTTCAGAAAGAGCTTTGGGCTGAGAGCATTTTGTGTCTCGCCATTGTTCCACTCGCATGGCCTCATGGAGCTTGGACGAGCATTCTACACACGCGCTCCGATGTTCCTGGGCAATCACTCTTTGCCTGTCACTTCCCAGAATCTGACCGAAGCTCTAGAGGTCGCGAAACCACAACAAATCTCTGCTGTGCCATACGTTATTCAATTGCTCGCCGAAAAGGAAGAGGGCGTTCAAGCACTTGCTCGGGCCAAACTGGTTCTTTTCGCAGGAAGTAGCTGCCCGGACGATCTTGGTGATCGGTTGGTGGCGAAGGGTGTGAATCTGGTAGCAAACTATGGCAGTACAGAAATCGGCCAAATCATGACCTCATTTCGCCCTCCCGGAGATAACGAATGGCAGTACCTTCGCCTACTTCGACCGGCATCTGACTTCACGCTCATGGATGAGATTGCTCCAGGGGTTTTCGAATGTGTTGGCCTCGATGGGCTACCATCTAAGGGGCCCAGCAACGCCAAACCACCATACAGCGCCTCCAATCCCGAAAACAGCTTCCGCACGTCGGACCTCTTCACACGACATCCTGATCCGAACAAGTCAAACTACTACAAATATCTCTCACGTTTAGACGACAGAATCACCCTGGTCAATGGGGAGAAGCTTCTACCGATTCCCATCGAAGGCCGGATACGACAAGATGATCTGGTGAGGGAAGCAGCTATGTTTGGATTCCAGCGAACTGTGCCAGGCCTGTTGATCTTCCGATCGACCGAGAAGGGCTTGGATTTGAGTGATAGCCAGTACCTCGAATCAGTCTGGCCTACCATCGAAGCTGCAAATTTGCAGGCGGAGAGTTTCTCTCGAGTTCCAAAGGATATGGTCATCATCAAAGGCGCCAACGTTACATATCCTCGAACAGACAAAGGCACCTTCATTCGTGCTCAGGTGTATCAGCAATTTGCGGATGATATCAACACAGCCTATGAGGCTTTCGAGAGAGGTTCAGACACCGAAAAGGGGACCCTTCGGCTGGATGAAGCTGGCTTAGAACAATGGCTTTTGGCTAAGTTCTCCAAAGACTTCGACATTGAGCTTCCGAGCGCTGATACCGACATCTTCTCTGCTGGTGTAGACAGCTTGCAAACAACACGTTTGTGGCGAGCCATCAAAAAGGAGCTAAACTTGGGCGAGAATGGGCAGTCTCTAAGTCAGAATATTGTTTTTGAGAAGGGGACTGTCAAGCAACTCGCGAGACATCTCTACCAACTGCGGACAGGCGATCAGATCTCGGACGTCGAAGACGAGATTGAGGTGATGGCAGATATGATTGAGCGGTACTCAACCTTCACGAAACACTTCCCAGCGAGAGGTCCTCAACCAGAGTCGCAAGTTGTTGTGGTCACTGGAGCTACAGGAAATTTGGGCGCCTTCCTGCTTGCTGAGGCAGTGAAGCGTGAAAATGTATCTGAAGTTTGGGCACTTGTGCGAGCTCCAGGACAAGCTTCCGCTGGGGCCAGAGTCATGAAGTCTTTGGAGGCTCGCAACATCCGCCTGACCGATCACGAACTGTCCAAACTACGAGCGGTGCCATCGGACTTCAGTCAGGCAGATCTCGGACTGGAGGCCCACGATCTGGAGCATTTGATGAGCACACTTACCTGTGTCATTCACTCAGCCTGGGCAGTCAACTTCAATCTGGGCGTGCGGAGTTTCGAAGCGCAGCACGTACGCGGAACCTACAATCTGATCAACTTGTGTCTTCGCAGTCGACTCGCGAGTCCGGCGAGGTTCTATTTCTGTAGCAGTGTTAGTGCTGCAAGCGGTACCCCCAAGCCAGCCACTATTACTGAGAAGGCTATAGAAGATCTGAAGCACGCCCAGAATATGGGATATGGCAGGAGCAAGCTCGTAACCGAGCACATTACTCGCAACGCCATGCGAAGTACTGGAATGACGGCACGAGTCCTCAGAATTGGTCAACTGAGTGGCGACACTTCGAGCGCCGACTGGAACGAAACCGAAGCGATTGCGCTCATGGTGAGGAGTGCTTTGACGACTGGCGTGCTCCCAGATCTGGACGAGCGACCAAGCTGGCTTCCGGTTGATCTTTGTGCCAAGGCAATCGTTGAGCTCTCTATACCGGTAGCGAATGCTACAGACGAGCAGAAGAGTGCTGATCTGGTTTACCACCTAGTCAACCCGAACACCTTCAGCTTTAAGCACGACCTTTTGCCAGCTTTGCAGAAGAGTAGTCTCCCGCCTTTCAAGATCGTCGGCGCCAGCGAATGGCTCGACAAGCTTGCGAACAGCGACCAAGATGTTGAGACGAATCCCAGCATCAAACTGATCGACTTCTGGAAAGTCAAGTACGGCAACGTGGCACAGACTTCCACTGTTCATCACGACGACGGTGAGCCTGCAGGGTTGAGTTTCGAGACGACCAGGACGGTCCATGACGCCCCTTCACTGGGGTGTGTTCGCGATCCAGTGACCGAGGGCTTGATTGAGCGATATGTTGATGTCTGGATGAAGAAGTGGCGTTCACAATAAACGACGACAGACGAAGCACAACTCCAGCTAATGATAAACGGATGGTATTCATTTGGGACTCAGACAAGGCTTTCGGAACGGCAACAGCGCAAACTCGAGCGACTTCCGTCAGTCGCCACTTTAATGGTTCAGCGACGAGAACAGAGCACCAAGCTGAATCAAACCACCTCAGAGACGAACAGGTTGGCATTGCAGTAACAATTCCCGCGATCAAGCATGCCGTAGCAGACTTTCAAACTCTTCCCAGGGACATTACGTCCGTTTCTGCCCTTTGCTTACTCGCAAGGTTCGTACACTTGTTACAGGGTCGAACCTTATCCCAACTTCACACTGGGTACAGACCTGGGGAAGCAACGCTTTCCGTGCATGCATCCTGCACAATACTCCACTACAGCATATGATATGTGGAGCACGCTGCTGCTGAAGTCTAGGACAGAGATTATCACACTGGGATACGTCGCTCTTCGTTACCCATTTCACAGTATGCCAACCCTGGTCTCCGGATCATATTGACCATTCCAATCCGACCACTTGGAGATTGCTCTGGTCAAGGAAAACTATAACATTCGTCATGAATGCTTGATTCTAACAGCCTGCAGGCATGCCATCGAGCTTCATTCGACGGGCTTGATCACAGCATGACGTCCAACCCGGGCAATCGCATGATTGTGCTGCGTAGGCCCTCATCTGGGGACCCATACCATCCTCGAGCAAAACTTCAAACATGATGAGGGATCACATCACGCAACTCTGAAGCAGCAGCACCTTCCAAGACATAAGAAACCGTCAGCCTCGTGTCACCTTCCAACAAGCAGGCTCTTTTTTGTATAGCCGCTTGTTCCTCCTTTCTTTTATTGCATCGAAGCTCACTTTCGTTGAATTTCAGTCAACGCTCTCTCTCTTTCAATCGTTCATCATGAAAGCTACACTCTTTGCATCCGCCCTGGCGCTGGCGTCGACGGCCTTCGCTCTCCCTCAAGGCCCGCCGCCGCCACAGACTTACAAGGGCGGGAACTCTGGCGGAAACACGGAAGACTCTCCTGTCGGTCAGGGCGGGAATGGCCCTCCCCCTTCGTACGGAGACCACTCTGGCAGTATCGGTGGCTCTCCTCAGGGCATCCAGCCCAACCAAGCTGGCTCAGGTGGTCAGCCTGGCGGTGGCATTGGCTCGCCTTTCGGTCAGAACGGTGTTCAGCCTCAGGGCACTCAACCGCAAGGCAATCAGGGCAACCTCCCCGGCAGTCTCCAACCTTTCCAGAACGGCAACAACAACCAGCAGCCTGGCAATGCTATCGGCTCGCCAGTCGGCGGCACGCAGCCCCAGGGCAATCAGCCACAAGGTCTAGGCGGAGCCAACAACCAACCTCAAGTCGGCGGCGGTGGTCAACTGCCGCCAGGCGTCACACCAGACCAGCTTGGAAACCAGCCTGGTCGGGGCGGCGTTGGTGGCTCTCCCCAACCCCAGCAATTCGGTCAATACCAGCCAAACGGTCAGAGCGGCAATGGTCAGCCTGGTCAGAACGCCCTCAGTCCTCAAGGTCAGCAGCCAGGTCAAGACATCGGTGGTCTTGGACCTCAGATCCAGCAACCAGGACAATCGGGTGGCGTTGGCTCGCCTCAGGGGCTCAGCCCTCAAAGCAACCAGCAGCCTGGTGCGGTTATTGGCTCGCCGCAGGGTCTGAGTCCACAAAATAACCAACAGCCTGGCGCCGGCATTGGCTCTCCTACTGGTCTCGGCCCGCAGAACGGCCAACAAGGCAATTTGCCAGGTCAGCAGCCGGGCCAGACTGGTGGTCTTCCGTCTCAGCAGAATGGTGTTGGATCTCCTCAAGGACTCTCCCCTCAAAACGACCAGCTTGGCAACCAGCCTGGCATTGGAGGTCCACAGCCAGGTCAGATGGGCTCTCCCCAAGGCATCTCCCCTCAAAACGGTCAACTTGGCTCTCAACCCGGCATCAGCGGCCCTCAACCAGGCCAGCCTGGTAGCGGTATTGGCTCTCCCATCGGCGGCTCTGGCGGTCAACTCGGCCAGCCTCCTCTCGGTGCCCCAACAGGCGACAACATCTGCGGTCCCTCCGCCGGCGGCAACTGCGTCTCCCAACAAGAAGCCGAGCTCTTCATCCAACGCTTCATCTCCATCGTCACGCACCAGAGTTCGGATCTGGGTGATGCCCAGACGACCGCCGAGCAGATCATCGGCGAGGACTGGGTGGAGTATTCGAACTCGATCTTGAGTCTTCAGGGGCTGCCTGTACGTTCCCACCGCCCCTTCCCAAGGTATAAACGTAACACTGACATCTCAAACAGCTCACATCCGACGGCATCGCCGCACACTCCAAGCAAGAATGGACCCAAGGCATCCTCAACGCGCCTCCCTTCGGCGGCGTCCAGACGCTCAAACTGCTCGTCTTCTGCGACCAGGTCCTGTGGTACTGGAACTTCAACGTCATCGGCTCCGGCGAGTACCCCGTCAAGGGGTTCAATCTGTTCACGCTCCGGAGGCAGGGCAATGAGGTTGTCGCTTCGGAGGTGGATATTGAGTTTGATAGTATTGCTTGGGGACTTGATACGGGGTTTAGTGTTACGTTGAGGGATGGGAGGACGTTGCCTGAGGGGGGTGCTTCGCAGCAGGGTGCTAGCGCTGGTGGTGGTGGCCCGGAGCTTCCTTAAGGACAAGGTCAGCTCCAAGGCCAAGGTCAGGGTGGTGTCGGAGGAGGCGTTGGTGGTTCTGCTGGTGGTGGTGGCTTTGGCGGTGCTCAGCTCGGCGTGGGAGGCCAGAATGGTGTTAACGCTGGGATGGGCGCCAATGGTGTCTCGCTCGGCGTTGGCGGACAGAACGGCCTCAATGCTGGCTTTGCCGGCGCTGGGGCCTCAGGACCGGGAGGGGGTGTTGGTGCTTCTCTTAGCCAGACTGGCGGAGGTGGTGCTGGCGCTGGCGGCAATGTCGGTGGTGGCGCTAATGCAAACTTGCAGAGCGACTCGAGCGCTGGCGGAGCTGGTGGTGCTAGAGCCTCGTTGTCTCAAGCTGGTAGCGGTCAGGGAGCTGGTGGTCAGCAGGGGCCTCCGCCTTCAGAAGAGTAGAGAGTTTGGTGGGTTTGGAAATGATGCCGAGACAAAGATGGCGTTTTGGCAGACACTCTTTTGGGAGCTGAAAGATATCGTTCTTATATACATCGTGTATTCTTACTTCTTTGAAAGCAAACAGATTGTAACTTTGGCACCCGCTTCATATGCAAAGACATACCTACGATCACTACACCTATACACACTGTTCATGTCTACAACACAAGTTCGCACCTCACACTCTACCCGAAAAGCTCACTTCCCAGCAACGCCCCTCTGATAAGAATTATACAAAACCTCATCAATCACAAGATCCACCCCATCTCCATCAACCCCCTCCGCTTCAAAAGCATAGCTCGTGCAAACCCCATTATCACTCGGAGGAAACCCCTTGACGAAACTCTCATTCGGGACATGCGGACCCTCGGGCTGATAACTGAATGTGAAAGTCTCCGTCGTCTCGGTGGCAGGATCAGGCTGGGAAATCGTTGGCTGGCATTTCGCCGTGACGGTAATGTTGCACGCGGCTAGTGTGGAGGCGCTGTCGGTGCAGGCGTAGTGCAGGGAGTAGAGACGGCCGAAGGGGAATTGGCCGGTGAAGGTGATGTTGCCGGTCTGGTCTGCTGGGACGAGGGCGTAGTTGGGTGGCGAGTACGTGTTGATGCCGTCGGGGGTGGTGCTGTCTTCTTTGGCGACGTTGAAGTTGGTCCAGTTCGCGGAGTCGTAATTTCCTACTGGCTCGCCGGGGGTGAGGTCGTCGAACTGTGGTCAGGGTGTTAGATTGTGGGACGTAGGACATGGTTTGGATAGGCTCACAGTGGCGTTGTAAGGAGCGCAGACAATCGGCGCGGAAGCACCGTAGCCGCCGCAGACATCACATTCCCATTCTGGGAGGAAGAAAAGACAGGTCTCGTCGGCGGCCGCAACGAACGACGGGAGAGCGGTGGCCGCGAGAGCCAGCACAGACGAGAGTCTTGTCATTTTGAAAGTGAACTTTCTGGGGTTGGATTCTCGATTGTTGTTGTTGCTTGCGGCTTGTTGAAATGCTTCGTCGAAATGGGCGCTGGCATATATACCTCCCAGAACCGAGAAAGGTTCCAAAAAATAGCAACACCGTATAGAAAAGGCAAACTTGCAGCCTCATCAAGTAGGGCAGACAATCCCGCGAGAAATTACATCACAGTTGCAGTGATCCAACTGCGCTACAACTCGCAGTACCTTCACTCACTTGCCTCACTAGGCGAATGATTTGCAGATCGATGCCCAAAAAGTCTACGTCTTCTCGTATTTGGCGTGCAGTAGACCGTCAGTCTCCACTTGCCGAGGCTGCGACGCTGCTTCTGTTGTTGCTTGACGAAAGCTTCTCGTAAAGTTCATGCGAAGTGTAGTGCTGATTCACCTACTAATCATGTTGTTCTTGCTGGTAGAGTCGGGGTAGTGACCGCTGGTGGTGAGCAGTACGTACCTCGACTTCCAAGAATACATCAGGGAAACGGGACTTGGAGTGTTCCATTCGCAAATGCGAGCAAGTCCAGCAGAAGGTTGCTATCCTGCTCTTGAGCGTGCTCCGGGTTCGCTTTGGCGCTCCGAGCTGTTCCAAGTCCGATTCCCATTCGTAAGTCGTCGTTCTTGGACTCTCGGGGCAAGAGAAAAGAGCGAGGTATCTTACTGTAGATGTCAATCCTCATGTTGACAAAGAGTCAGCGTGAGTATGACCGCGAACGTTCTGGATGTGACATTACGTCTCTGAAAGTGCCAGCTTGTCGTCCGTACTCAGAAAGTCCGACAAAGGAGTCTTTGCAATAAATCAAACGGACAGCCACTCGCTGACAGCCTCAGCACATTTACTGTCCTCTTGCATGACTATATTGATCGTGTTTCGGTCTCGGATCTCCTCATGCAGAAGGTTGATGGACTGATACATCGTCATTGAAGGACCAGTGAGCTGCTCACGCAATTCCAGAAGATCAAAGCTGAGCTCTTCTCCACCAGACAGTCTATTCGCATACATGAGCAGGAGCAGAGAATTTGAGAGCCTTCACGTCGCCAAGAGAAGATTGCGTGTGGCCTTGTCGTCTTCTTGAGACAGCACGGGGATGAGCGAACAGGGATGAGACAATCAGGCTGATGAGCACTGACACCAAGTCGTTTCAGCGGCGTTCGCACCTCCAACATCCGCCTCTTTCCACAGCCTGTTTGTGTGAGGCGGCTTTTATCACTAGTTGCATGTCGCCTTTACTGGAGAATCCGCACCGCATCGTCAGTCAGGGGCGAAATCATGTATCCATGGAAATCGAGCAGCGGACCTGCTTCCGCAGACGTTCAATTCCGGCGCCGATGTTCAGCAGATGAGGCAGTGACGACTACCAAGACGTCGCTTCCTTGTCTGGCATCCGGCAGGTGCGAGTGTGCTGGGTTGGGTAATGACTTCTGGCTTGTGACTTCACTTCCTGTCCGGCTGGCAACTTGCAATACCAGTCTTCACCACCACCAATACACCTTCGCTTTCTCCAACACTCGCCGGGTGATACAGCCATGATATCCACGCCTCGCTGAGCCGCCATTGAATTGGCGAACTACTGTCTATATGCAGCGACAACGGGCAAATTCACATCTTCTCTCCCCAACATTCACCCCACGGCCGATTCCCACAGAATCCTCCGTCGATCCCAAGTTTGGAGCAAAAGTCCGGAGTAAAGAGCACGGATTACCAAGGGAAGATACAGTGAAAAATGGCCGACGAACTGAAGGTCAACGCCACGATATTGGCAGCATATCCAGAATGGACGGCGAAGCCGGAGATCAAGTTGCCGGGCTGGGGTGAGGCAGTCGTAAGTCCACATCACTTCGGACACAAGAAGATCTTGTTGAGTGTGCGCCGTATAGATATTCGTCACCATCCTCTTCGGCGGCATGTTGCTCACTCGACGCCGCAACTTCTCCCTCTTCACCTCCCACAAAGGCCAATACCGCTCCATCCTCGACCAGACACCACGCAACTCGCAGTCTTCCGGCGAACAAATATACGACCTCGATAGCGACGATGACCTCCCCGCTCACGAGAAACACTCCTCCAAAACCCGCTCCTGCTGCGGTGTCTGGCCGATCCACACCCCCAACACCACACGCTTCCGCCAAAACCCTCACAGCCGGCTCTTCCAGAAGTTCCCCTTCCTCGTCGAAATGCTCTACTGGCTCCTGAACTACCTCTTCTACCGCATGACCGCGGTCCTCTCCAATAAAGTCTTCACCGTCGTCGGAATCTGGCAAGCAGCGCAGAATCACGCCCTTAGCATCCTTTCAGTCGAACACCTCAGCTGGCTGAACTTTCTCTTCCCGCTCCGCGAAGTCAATCTCCAGCAGTGGTTCATGCACGGCCATCAAGACCTCCTGACGTTCCTAGACAGATTGTACTCCTTGATCCACATCCCCGGCTCAATGGCTTTCGTTGTGTGGTACTACTATGTGGCGCCTTCGCACGCGACGTTCGCGACGGTGAGGAGAACGATGACGCTGACGAACTTCATGGCGTTCGTGACGTTCGTGTTCTTTCCGGTCATGCCACCGAGACTGCTGCCGGAGGAGTATGGGTTTCTGGATACCGTGCACATGGAGGATGCTGCGTCTCTGTGGCAGTCAGGAAAGCATGTGAACAGTCTCGCGGCGATGCCGAGCATGCATTTCGGGTACTCGTTCGTCATTGGTTGTACGATGATCTACCACTCGGGCGTCTTTCGATCGCGGTTCGAGAAGTTTGAGACTAGGAAGAGTACGTTCTGGAGGGTGGTATACGTATCGCTGGGGGTCATGTATCCGAGCATGATCTTGTTGACCATCGTTGCGACGGCGAATCATTTCTGGCTCGATGCGATGGTGGCGTTAATTTATTGCTGCGTTGCGTTCGTGGCGAACAAAGTCTTCTACGTGCTTTTGCCGCTGGAGGATCTGTTTCTGTGGGTCATCAGAGCGGAGAAGTCGGTTCCTAGCACCGGTGAGAGGTTTCATGCGAAAGGTGGGAGGATATAATCAAACCATGGTACGAGACCTAGAGAATGCATATCAGCGAGACAGCATCAAAATAATTCAATACTTGCATTTCGCATAATCCATTCTAGAATCACCCATCATTCAACCGATTCTCCCCCTTTCCTTCCTCCCCATCCTCCTCTTCATCATCAACAACCCCCCCAAAAAACTCCTCCCCCAACTCTTCCTCCCCCTCACTAAACGCTTCCAACCCCACACTCCGATTAATCCAATTCAGCACCACGCGATGCCACAACAACGAATTCTCCACCTTCAACACCCAATGATTCTCATCGGGGAAGGTGAGGAACTGACTGTGCACGCCCCGCGCTTGGAGGACGTTGAAAGCCGCGAGACCCTCGGAGATGGGCAGGCGGTAGTCTTTGGAGGAGTGGATTACTAACTGGGGCGTGGACCAGTGGGTGAAGTGGTGGGAGGGGTCGTATTTTTGCCAGGCGGAGATGCTTGTCGAGGGATGAGGGTTGGAGACGGTTTTGTTGTTTGTTGATGGGGTGGTGGTGGTGGTTTCTGGGTGGTACCAGGGAGTTCCGCCGAGGTCGTGGAAGGGGAAGTAGAATTCTTCCGTCGAGAGCATGCCGCCGGGGAAGGAGGTGATGCCGTCGTGGCAGACGAGGGAGCGGAATGCGCGGCCGAGGGGGTGGCCTTGGATCCTATGAAATTCCTCACATTAGCAACACGTCGAGGTCGTGGTAAGGGCGAAGATAAGTGGGAACGCACCAATTAATCATATACCCGCCATAACTCGCGCCCAACGCCACGGCGCGCTCATTATCCGCGCCCTTCAAATTCCCCTCTTTGCCCACCCACTCCACCACATTCACGATATCCTGATAGGGATCCCCACCCCAGTTGTTCCGGATCGCGTCTGTGAAGGCCTGGCCGTAGCCCGTGCTGCCTGTGGGATTCGGCGCGACGACGATGTAGCCTTGCTCGGCGAAGATGGCCGGGTTCCAGCGCGTCGACCAGGAGTCATTCCAGGCGGATTGTGGCCCACCGTGGATTAGGTAGGCGACCGGGTAGGTTTTGGAGGGGTGGAAGGTGGAGGGGTAGATGACGAGGGAGTGGATTAGTTTGGTGATTTTGGGGTTGGAGGCGGGGGTCCAGATGGAGGCGATTTGAGAGGGGGAGAGGTTGAATTTTTTGCCGTGGTTGGAGAGGGAGGATGTCCAGGTTGTGAGGGCGTCGGTGTTGGTGGTGGGTGTAGTTTGCGGAACGATGAGGGAGTAGAAAGATGGGTCGATGAGGGAGCTGCCGGAGACGAAGATCTGACCTGTCGAGAGGGGGACAACGTCGCTGATGGAGCCGTTTTTGGTCAGAGGCCAGACGATCCAGGCGAGTCCGTTTCTTTTGAGGCTGAAGAGTTTCGATGTGGCCAAGTCCTCGGCGGTGAAGAGGAGTGTTTCGTTGTCGCTGGCGAAGACGACGGAAGAGGGACTGCGTGCGAGGTTCTCGTCATTGCCAGCCGTCTTAGCAGATATCGGTGTCGCTTCCCGAGTTGTCGATTCATCGCCCAGATTCAAAACGAATATATCGTTCCGATCAGCCTCATATCCATTTGTCTTCATCTTCAAGAACACCAGCGACTTCCCATCGGGACTGAACGCAGGACTCGTCGCCGCGCCCTCATACCCAGGCACACTGATCTCAAACAACCCCTTGACCTCCTCATCCCAAGCCTCCAACTCCACAACATAAGTATTGCACTTCGTGTTCAACGCCGGATTCGCCACAGGATCCTTGGATACGAAGACAATCCTCCCTCCGTTCCCATCGACATCCGTGCTGAGATCGAAGGAGTCCGTGCCCCCGAAAGGCCGAACCGGAGTCTCCAGCCCCTTCCACCCTTTCAGCGCATTCCTCAACGCACTCAACTTGAACTTCCCACTCCTCTCCTTCGTCAAAACCCCATACCAAAGCGTCTTCCTCTCAGCACTCTCCCAACGATCCCAATGCCTCACAAACAACCCCTTATACAACTTCCCCGAACTCCTCGTCTTCTTCTTCCTCTCCGGATCAAACACGCCCTCAGTCTTCGAATCAACCTCCCCACTAACCACAACCGCCCACTTTCCCGCAGCAATCTTCCTCACCTTCAAATCCCCCACCGGCCCTTCAAACTTCCCCGCAACGACCTTCCCACCCCGCACATCCCCCACAACCAACTCCTTCCCGCCCTCTCCCAAGAACGCAAACTCACTCCCAATTTCATCCAACCAGTTCAATCCGCTCACTTCCTCGTCCTCCGCCAAAAGCTCCGCTTGGCCAGTCAAGACATCCAAAAGGCGCAGCTCCGTCGACTGGCTGTGCGACTCGAAACTGTACGTCGAGGTCGTGTAGAGCACTTTGGTGCCGAGGGCGTTGGGGACGCCGGCGCTGCGGCGGGGCGCCGAGAGGAGGGTTTGCGGGGTGAAGGACATGGCGCGGTGGACCATTGTTTTTGATTGTGAAGTGGTTCTTTCCTGGGTTGGGTTGATTGGTATTGGTATTTGCTTCGTTTCTTGTGACTGTGTGCCAGATGGGCTTCGTAAGCTGGTTGGTGGCGGTCGTTGGCCTTGGTAGGAGTCTGTGTCAACACTGGGTTGGATCAACGCCTTCGTTTGCACGGCAATCCTCTTGCAAGCTCCAGTCTCCAGCTGCAGAACCGTAATGTTGTCGTACCAGAGGGGAAGGAAGAAGGAACGTGAAAGGACGATTGAGGTGAAGTCAACCACCTTCCCTCGCTCCTTCCTGCCCAGCCATTGGGAATCCCTGCTCTTGGAAAGTGGGGTAGATCCATGCGGCATTCGGAGTTCGCAAGAAGAACCCAGGAACACGCCATCCATCGTCAACCAGTTCGACCACGACACTGCCGCCCTTAACTTATGTTAGATATATAATATCAAGATGTGAAGCAACGCCTCTGCATTTCAGCAAAAGTGTAAGAATGAATTATCATTAGCCACTACAACTGCGAAAGAACATGCGGCAATGACTTTGAACTCTTCATCCTGTCGATTGAAAAACCCCTTTCCTTTCCTTCTCTCACTCTTCTTCATGCAGCAAAACCAACCAAACCAAATAAACACTACCACCGCCCTAGATTTTTAGCCAATTCCCCAATTCCATGCCCATATCTACAAATCCTTTTTCCATCCTTTTCTGTGATTTATAACGTAGTAGTGACTGGACACATAGCAACATTCATCCTTTCTTTGCTTAAAGCATCAAACTGGACGGCTTTCGCTCATGCCCAGTATAGTGGACACTGCCGGGATGGCTCGGGCTCCCATAACTGCCTCCATAGGTGGTGGTACTGTTGCCCCACTGCGGGCCCCTGAGCCGTCGTTCCTGTTCGAAGTCATGCCAGCGTTTCATCGTGATCTTGCTGGAGTCGAATTCGCCGTCGCCGCCGTGGCCGGATTTGTCGCCACCTTTGGCTTCTCCCGCCGCTTGTCGAGTGTCACCCCATGAGAAGTCGTCGAAGTGCCAGTAGGCATATGTGGGGAGGACGAAGTTCCAGACGGGCAAGCTAAGGAGGTAGACGAACATCCACAGGACGTAGCTGATTTTGTGGGCGGTGATGACGATGAGGACACCGGGCAGACCGAGGATCAGGGCGAGAAGGACAAGCGGGATGGTGGGTGCTTCGGTGTGCGTGATGGCGGCTTTGATACCAAGGGCGACTGTGTGTACTGTTAGTAGGCTGCTTCGAGGTGGGTAATTTGGCAGTACATACCAACGTAGAAAGTGAAAGCAATGGCGGCTGGCAACACCAGCGTACCAACCAGTTCGATAAACACAACGAACTGCATACTGAAGCAGAATGTACCGCAAAGATCGCGGACGAGAACCAGCTCCATAAGATTGTGGACCGTCGAGTTGATCCATCGTCGTCGCTGGGACAGAAGAACCTTGAACTGGGCAGGCACGGTCGTCTTGCACACAGCTTGAGGGATGAACATCTGCTTTCTCTTGGGAAAGGTCTTCAACATTAGAGTCGACAAATATCGATCCTCGCCCAGGAGAAGTAAGTTCTTCTTGTGTAGTGTGTCGACGACATTCTCCGAGTAGTGCTCGACAATGTCAGGATTGGCCAGAATCGGTACCCAGTAGTTCTGACCTCCCTTGGGCGCCTTGATGCGGTACATGCAGAAACATCCCGGCAAACAAGTCACACCACCAAAGACACTTTCGAAAGACTTGGCTTGGTGGTGGGAGATGAAGTATTCGAAGACTTGGATCATGGACACCCACGACTCTCGCTTGTTGGCGATCTTCGTTTCACCGCAGAGACCCATGATCTCGGGATCTTTGACCATGGCAGAGACCATGTGCGTGAGCGAATCTGGGAAGACCTTGGTATCGGCGTCGACCATGAGTACTATCTCGTAAAAGTCGGGTGATATGCCAGTGAGTTTCCAGATACCGTTGAACATTTCGTACTCCAGTTCCGTCATGCGCTCGTCGAACATGACCTTCTGCAAGAAAGACATGAGGATGATCTGCGAATCACGTTTACCTCTGTTGCCAGGTTTCGATGCATTCTCTTCGGTGGGCGTTCCGCACTTGACGACACATACGATGGGGACACGCTGCTGCTTTTCGAGAGGAATTATGCTGTCTGGGCCGTAGTCGTAGAAAGCGCAGTACACCTTGGCCATATTGTGACGCTTGCTTCCGCTGGCAACTGCCACGTATGAAAATGGCTGTACCTCGTCTGGCAGCACGGCAAAGTCTTTCATCATGCTGATACATGCATCAGGTGTTGACATCTTCTCTCCTTTGCCCTGAATAAGACCGTCGCAAACCACGTAGATGAGCTTGTGGCTGTTGGGGTAGTCGGTCATGGCGATAGAGTCCAAAGTCGTGCGAATACCGTCAGGACCTTCAGAGTATGCAGTAACCAAGCAGATGGTGTGAGCTAGAGGGAAGCCAAAGGGCTGCCATTCAGGAGGTGGTTGTGGCACAACGGCTTCGTGAATGAAGCCTTGGGGACCACTCATATCTGTGTCGGTGTGCATGACACTGCTGTACCGAGTGTTGGCTCCAGAGAAGTTGTGAGATTCCATCAAGCTCGCACGGCTCTCGTTGTTGGCATCAGTATAAGCCAAGGCACTTTCGGATCTGTTAATCTGACCGTACATGGCTGGGCCCAATCGCGAGGACGAATGTTGCGAAATCATAGTCGTGGGTGCGATTGACTTGCGATTGAGACTACGCTCCATCGCGTACGGGCTGGTGAATCTCGATGTCGTCGGCAGGAAGCTACCACGCTTGCTGTTGCGATCGCTACCACTGACTGAACCTGGGTCGGTGATCTTTGGCGGTGGTCGGTAGATGTCCTCAGTCCAGTCTTCGATCTGCTGCTGACGTTTCTTCTTGTCGCTTGTCATACTGGTCTTGTCTGCCGAGTACTTGCGGCAGAGGATCCACTGGAAAACGATGGCCAGAACGAACTTGATCACAACAATACTGAGGATGAAGATGAGCGAAACGTAGAGCACGACCTTCGACGCGATGCAGCCAATGGTCTCGGTGTCGATGGATCCGACTTTGATAATGTCCTGGAAGCACTGTGCAACCTGTTTGTTGTCGCCCGAAGAGAATGCCAGCGTGACGTCTTTGCCGCGAACTGCTGAGTTGAGGCGGATCTCATCAAACTTGTCCGGATATGCGACCTGCGTCTTGTTGAACCATTCAAGGAGATCCAGATCCAGTACGTCACCCGAATAGACCATGAGGTTTCGTGACTGATTTCGCACATCATCCCACGTGAAGAAGACATCGCCAGAAGACCTGAGCCCGTAAAAGTTGTCACGAGCCATACGGCTGGTGTGGCAAGAGTATCCGAGGTAATAAGGAATGGTCTGGTTCGGCTGGCTAGATCCGTCCTGTTTGTACATGTTGCAGGGGAAGTACCAAGCCAAGTTGCCGCTGTCATCGGTTGGCACGTCAGAGCCTTGGGCCGCAGTGATCATGCCCTTGCAGGCACCGTTGACATTTTGAAACAAGAAGCTGCCGTCCATTCCTTTGCCTGGTGGATCCGCATCCCAAAGAACATTGCTCCCATCGGGAACACCTCTTGCAAGAGGATGCTGCGAGCGAGTCAAGTCGTAAGCTTTGCCGTGGAAAATCATGTAGCCATCTCCGACTTTGTTGATGCGAAGTCGTAATGGACCACCTTCTGGACAGACGGTCTGCGTAAAGCCGAATGTCAAGAAACCGACAAACAGCATTATGAGCAGGATGATAGATATGAGGCCCATCTTTTCACGCCATGCTCGTTGCTGCTCCTTGGCCTTGAATCCAAAGCACCTTAGAATGACATTTGGACACCAGAATGTGATAACGTGGCAGTATGTGCCCCAGAGGGTCGGTGTGCCGCTCGCATCTTGAATCTTTTGGCGCCTGCGCTCTTTCTCTTCATGATCGCGCTCTTTCTTGGTGGGATTCCGGGTGAGCTTGTTGGGATTCCTCTTGCTGCCTTTCGCGCTGTTGGCTCGCTGCATGCCGGATTTCTCTTGCAGTGGCACATCCTCCATGCCTTGCGGTTTGTTCGTAGAATCAGAGCCCAGTGTCGCGATATCTTCTTCCATCTGTGGATCTCTGCCTGTTGTGGACGGCATCACATTCATGTTCTGCGCATGTTGGCGGTAGTAATAGTCCGGCTCATCCGGATTGTTGCGCCGTCTTTCAGGCCTGACCAAGCTCTTTTTCCTAGAAAGCGAGCCACTTCTGCCGACTGTCTCGAGCATTGGATCTCGGTCTTGGCCCTGACCAGATGGGGTCCACGGGGAAGGCATGTTGCCCGAGTGATATTCGCTCACGCGCACTTCAGGGCCTTCTGTGTACGGCGACCTGGGTTTCTCGTTGATTGTCTCAGCCCTTCCGTGGCCGGAACTAGGCCGCTGAGCAGAACTCCTGCGGCGGCGGTTATGGCTGTGCAAGTCTCTGTAGTCGTCTCGCTGGCGGCGCGAGCTGCTGTCTCGGCGCTGGCGGTGGTGGTGCGGATCCGAGACGGCATAGGCGTCGGCTGGGTCGGTGGAAGAATGTCTTCGACGGGAGCTGGAGGAGTGGCGCGCGGATGACTGGTGATGGCGGCGCTGCGAGTCTCGCCTGCCGGGGACGTGTGAGTCGCGGTAAGGGTTGGAGGACATGTCGGCGGCTGTCGTCAAGGCAGACAGTCTTTCACATTCCAGAGCGCCTGGGTTGTCTCGGAATGTCCTGCCGACCTTGTCCCCTTGTCTCCCTAGCGGGTGCTTCGCTTCTCTCCCTCGCCTAAACTGGACGTCGACTCTACGGACAACTCATCCAGCGGTGCGAAGTAGCGATTGTATGACGGGCGATAGCGATAGTAAGACGACGGGTAGCCTTGTGTGAGCCCGAGGGTCTGGGTAGTGAAGGACCACGAGGCCGGGCTCAGCGGCGGTGGTAGCTGTGGGTGCAGTAGTGGTACGGGTGGATAGCGAATGGTATAGAATCAAGCATCAACGAATGTCGCAATCAACACAACGAATGACATGAAACACGGCGTCCTGGTTAGAGGACTGGGGTAGGCAGTGGGTGGCGGCGGTGGTTGCCAGAGCAGCAAACAAGTCCAAGGCACAGCCAGCCCGCCCAGGATTCGCCCGCGAGGTTTGCTCCTCCGCCCGCCAAGCACCAATCCCCTGACACGGGCTGCCAGCTAAGAGTTAGCCGCATCGACGAGGCGATTTCTTGGTTATTTTTGGGCGCGACCTGCGATTCAAAAACAAACAGACCTCCCGCATCCAGCGACATTCTTGCCCGATTCTGCTCACACTATATTCTGCGCTTGTGTTGGCTTGCATTTGCCACGCTCTTGACCGGTCGGCCGAACAGGGTATCTGCTATCGAGGTGAAAGCGAGGATAATTACGATGTGTTGATGCGGCGTCGATGGATTCCCAGCCGGCGATCAGGCCTGTAACACGCCATGCTGGGGTCGCCTGCAATTGGCATCTGCACAGAACATTCTCCCCTCTCATTAATCAATCTATACCATCTGTTGTACGACGACGAGGGGGATAGCGAACTACGATGGTGGCATCCAAACCCGAGCGCTTCCGAGTAAGCCGTATATACAAGACTCTCACTCTCACTCTCACGCATCCTCCGCCGTATTCTATCGTCTCAATGAATCCGGATGGAGCAGTACGGTATTTGTTTGCTAGGCCCAGCGCTTGGTCTGAACGACGCCAGCCGCCCATCCGAGCCACCCGCTCGTGCACGCGACGACGGTTTTCATTCGCCTATGTAGTTGGACCCTGATGGCCCCCATCGCCGTTGCAAGTGTTGGTGTGAAGAGCTGTGTCATCATCAGCTCTGCGAATGATGAGATGCTGCTGCTGTGCACGGCGAAGCGCCGTCAATCGCGGCCCCGAAGCCTTTCCCAGCACAGCATCTGTCATGTGGCCGCCCGCCTGGCTTGGTGTTCCCAAACGGGAGGGTGCAGCGAAGGATCGCTGGTTTTGCAGCTACAGAACGGACGCCTTGTTGTTGGAAGGAGCCTTGTTGTCGAATAGCGGCGGCACGAGGGGGTACGAACAGGCAGATCTCTCTCAAACATCGATCCCGTCATGCACAGAGGCTTGCTAAAAGGCATCCCTTTGTCCGTGAGGCTCCTTCACCAATTCATGCATCAAATGCACAATTGCTGCCAGGGTGGAGCTATCCCTGCCATACCCACTCCACTGCACTGGCAACGAACGGCGCGTGGGCCTACGTATTCGAATGACTAGGTTGTGCTCTCCCCTCTACCTAACGACATCGCAGCCTCATCGTCGTGAAGAAACACCTCCTCCCTTCTCCCCGCGGAGAATTTTCTTCCCTTTGACGCAGAAAGGCTGCCGTGCGGTGGTCCTATTTTAGCTCTGAGAAACACGTTGGCCCAGCCAAACTCTGCGTAAGCTTTCGCCCTACTCCCCATCCAGACACTCCCATCTCTGCCAACCGCTGCTCTTCGCGCCGCCCAGCACGCCCTGATGACAGATGCGACATCATCTCCATGCTCGGCCTGATCCCGAGGCTATGGCTGCTGATACATTCTGCCAGAACAAAGACGTTGTCGTGTAGTTAGTCTGCGTCAGGAACGTCGACTTGTCTGCTTCTACAACACGACTAGCCCGCCGAACCCCTCTGCACGCCGTCCTACTGCAGGAACACAACCGTACCAACATCCCTCGCTGCACGCCCGCGGGCTCCACAAACGAATACAGGAGCCGGCCCGGCCGCGCCCACCCTCGCTCGCCATTTACACCGACGATCGCCTTTTGACTTGACCCTGCGACTTTGGATACGACTGAGCACGTTCAGCTGAAAGACGGCACTTCACCGCGATCTTTTGCAATATATCATTAGTGAGACATTGCTAGTTGGAAGGGGTCATCGGAGGATATACAAGGCCCAGAAACGTCGTCTTGACGAGGAAACGAAAGAAACACCCCCCTCGCCATGGCGCAAACCGAGAGCGCCGCTCAACACACCTACACACACCCTTTGCCCCAGACTCCAGTATCTCCTGGTAGAGAACAGTGGGACGATAGAGATCAGGAATGGGCCCAGAAGCAACCGCCCGCAGCAATGCCAGGCACGCCGCCTTTGAATGAAGAGTATGGAGCACGAGCCGGATCGCCCAGTAGCATCCAGCATACACCACCCAGGCAGGGTTCACCAGTCAAGCGGAAAGCAGTTCCCTCTCCCATAATACAGCATGGCCCAGAGGTGCGGATTCAAGACACTCCCGCAAGTCCAGTCAGCATCAACCCCCCGCAGATGGGCATACTCGAGGCAGAGACGGCATCCATAAGACAAGCTGCAGCTGATGATGAGTCGAGGAGGAGCTCCCGGAATGTTTACACACCAGACTCGTCCGCGCGCATGATGCCGTCAGATTCACAGACTTCACTCCCCATCCGGGCAGGCAAAGCACCGGTAACCAACGGACACGTCGAGCAGCGTGCATCATATTACGCGCATAGCCGAAGTTCTTCAAGCACGCACAATCATCCTCGAATCGAAGAAGATGGAGAGTTGCATTTCTCGCAAGAGCCAGAGGCGCCGGACAGTCCAGGCTTGCAATACCACCATTTTGAAGACTCCAAGAGACACAAACCACAGAACCGTGTCTCCCAGATGACGACACAATCGGCTGGTTCGAGCTCGTCTGGAGAACATCGTCGGTCGACTTCACATTCTCTGACAGGATCCCAGACGTTAGGTGTTCCCCGAGGACTTTCGAGACCGACATCAGCATATAATCTTGGCCAGGATCTACGTGGTCGTACTTTATCCCCTCTCAGTGCAAATGGATCAGAACCAGGATCGCCCGCCGTATATGGCCGAGATCTGTCGACATCTAGAAGGTCGCCTGCCAGCAGACCTACCAGTTATGTTGATCTTTTGAACAATCTCCCATATAGCCAGCAAATTGCCCCTGGACCGCCTCTAAACAATCAGTCATTGCAGAGCGTTGTAGGCAGCGCAGCAAGCTTACTCAATACGAAGAAAACCCTGGATATGTACCGCGCGAACGTGAAGAAGACTAATGACGCCGCCGTACAGTACGAATTCGCCATCTTCATGATCAACGCAGCGCAAGACGCACTCCCAGAAGATGGCCTCGACCCGAACGAACTCCAAACAGAAGCCAAACACATCTTGCAACGACTTTCCGACCGAGCGTACCCCTTCGCACAGTACTATCTAGGAGACGGCTACTTTTCTGGACTCTTTAACAAAGGCAAGCCAGACTACGATAAGGCGTTTCCACTTTTCGTCGCGGCATCAAAGCACGGACACGCCGAAGCAGGGTATCGTGCAGCTTTGTGTTACGAGTTTGGGTGGGGATGTGCGAAGTCGTATCCGAAAGCTGTTCAGTTCTATCGCAACGCTGCGTCCAAGAATCACCCCGGAGCGGCGACACGACTGGGACTGGCTTGTATCCGCGGCGACATGGGACTGAAAGACAAGTATCGCGAGGGCATCAAGTGGCTTAAGAGGGCGTCAGAAAGCGCGGACTATCAGTACAATACTGGACCTTACGAGCTGGGACTGATGCACTTGGAGGGATTTGGCGATGATGTCTTCAAAGACGAGGCATACGCAGCACAACTTCTCACCCAAGCGGCAGAGCTGGGACATGTGAACGCCAACTTCCTGATGGGACAGGCGTACGAGAATGGGCTGTATGGCTGTCCACGTGACGCAGCTCTGAGCGTCCACTTCTACAACGGCGCCGCGACAAAAGGCCACGTCGAAGGCATGATGGCACTATGTGCTTGGTACATGGTTGGCGCCGAGCCCGTGCTGGAAAAAGACGAAGCCGAGGCCTTTGCCTGGGCAAAGCAGGCCGCCGAGACGGGTACGTATTTGACTATCCTCCCCACTGTCCCCCAACCACAATTCCAAACTAACATCTTTCTCTCCCCACAGGCTACCCCAAAGCCGAATACGCCGTCGGCTACTTCACCGAAATGGGCATCGGCTGCCGCCGCGACCCCCTCGAAGCCAACATGTGGTACGTCCGGGCAGCCGATCAAAGCTACGAGCAGGCGAAGCAGCGACTGGCGATTATCCGCGCGGCGGCGTCGGGCGATCCGGGGATTCCTATGGGGAAAGAGCAGGCGCGGGCGAAGGAGTTGGTGGGTGGGAAGGAGAAGAAGAAGTTTATGGGGATTTTTTAGAAGAGAGCATTTGCGAGGGACGGATGTGGGAGTTTTGATGAGAGGCGTTGATGGGATCTGAGGCGTGAAAATGCATTTCCGGGATGGAAAAGGGGGATCCCTGCAATTGGGAAGTCTCTAATTGGGGCTTTTGTGGGTTTCGGCATCTTCGTGGAGCGTTCATCATCATCGTGAAAGGGAATTGCATTTCAAAGTGTATCGATTATCATAGAAATCTAATGAACCATGTCGTGTCAAAAGGAAGTCCTCCTAAGTAAGGACTTGCCACCAGCACCCTCTCTCCCCTCACCTCACCTCACCCATCCCTCCCAATTCCTTTCCTCTGAAGTTCATTTATCAAAACTCCTTCCAATCCCCCCTCCCCTCCCAACAGGCCCCGACCTTGAACAAATCCCCCTCGCAGAACTTCCTCCCCACAATTTGCAGTCCGGCGGGGAGTTTTATCGTTTCGTTTTCGTTGGTGCTGGCGGGCACGAAACCCATGGGGAGGGAGAGGGCGGGGTGGCCTGTACCTGTACATTTTACACAATCGTTAGCGGAGTGGGGGACATGGTGAGGAGTATAGGAAGGGGAGGGGCAAGACTCACTATTAAAAGGCGCGGTATTAGCGACGAGGTTGAGATTTCTCGACAGGCGCTCTAGCGGGCCGTGGGTTTCTGGGTTGGGGAAGAGTTTGCTGGGGGGACAGGGGAGGGTGGGCGTCAGGAGGACGTCGACTTGGGTGTGGAGGGCGGCGTCGTAGCCGTCCTGTTTGTCGAGTTAGTTTTGTGGCGAGAGAGGGTTAGGGGAGGGGAGGGGATAAAGAAGGGGGAACGTACGTTAATCTTCCTCAGCAGATTCGTGCATTTCCCATGGACCTTCGCGCCATAGGCATGCTTCAAATACAAATACCTCAGATAAAGATTCTGCGCCCCCGGCCCCAGCTTATCAAATTCTTCCTGCTTCAACTTTGTGACGGGCTCGCGATCATTTAGGTGTAACTGCTTCCGCCCCATACTCTCATTCAGCAACGCCGTCGGAGCCCCCGATAAGGGTAACGAACACATCCACACCACCGCCGCGTCGGCGTGCAGCGGGATGGAGATATCTTTGACTTCCGCGCCTAGGTCGCGGAGGGCTGCCACGGCGCGGTGGAAGAGAGTGACAATCGCTGGGTGGATTCCGGGGATCTGGAGGGATTCGGTGAGGATCCCTAGGCGCATGCCGGTGAGGGGTTTCGTGCTGGGGGCGGTAGCGAGGAAGGCGGAGAGGTCGGTGGTATAGGGCGTTCGGGGGAGGTTTGGGGGCTGGCGGTCGTCGATGCCGTCCGGGCCCGCAAGGGTTTCGAGGAGAGCGGCGCAGTCCGCCACAGTGCGTGCCATGGGACCCGCATGATCGATCGTCGCCTCAAGGCTCAGAATCCCCGTGTACGGCACGAGACCCCAGGTGGGCTTCAACCCAACAATCCCGCACATACTCGCCGGAATCCTAATACTCCCCCCCTGATCCCCTCCCACCGCGAGATCCACCGCCCCGCTCGCCACGAGCCTCCCGCTGCCACTGCTCGACCCGCCGCACGAGTACCCATGCGCATAGAAATTGTGCACGGGGCCCGTGCAGGAGGTGTCGCTGTCGCCTTCCATGCACGCATTCTCGCACGTCGCTTTGCCCGTGATCGTTGCGCCGGCATCCAGGATCCGCGTGGCGACGGGGGCGTCGATGGTCGGCGTCCATTCGAAGGCGGTGGTGCCGTTCGTGCAGCGGACGGAGGCGAAGGCGATGTTGTCTTTGAGGGCGACGGTTTTTCCAGCAAGCAAATCGTTCTTCGGGGTGGTGGCTTTGGAGATGAATTTCGTCGCCCAGCCGCCTTGATCGGATTCGAGCTCATTCTGAGGGATGGAGATGTTGGAACGTGGGTATTTGGCGAGGTCGGGGGTTAGGGTGTAGTCCTCCTCGGCGAGGATTTTGGCGATGGGTTCGTCGAGGGTGCCGAGGAGGATGGTCCAGTCGTTGATGTGGGAGGGGTTGAGGGTTAGGCCGGCGTTGGAGGTGATGGTTTGCAGGAGGGTGGTGTCCAGTTTGTTGGGATTCCTGTTGGTTGAAGGGTTAGTTTGGTATTGAGCAGGATGTGTGAGTTACTTACTCTCCCAATGTCACGACGCTCATGTTTTCGTCGTAATCCTCCGATTGTTGTCAAGCTCAGGAAGCGATGGAGAGCTTCTTTGGATTGTTCAGGATCCATTTAGTAGTAGCTCTTCTTCACTTGTATCCTTATCAGTTGCAGATCGCCTTTATCTGCGCCCCTACGGCCAGGACTTGGCTGCGGTGAAGTCGAGCTCTTTTATCAGCAGTAGCTGCACGACGCGAAAGGAGAGCTCACGTCACACACGCAATTGCTCAGCCGAACAACAGGCTGAGGATCATCATAAGGAAGTGTTCATTTCCATTTTGACTACCAAGACTCATTACCCAGCCCATTTCTAACCTGATGTAGCAGTCATCTAAGCAGGCACAGCAACGATCAAGCTATCGCCATACTCCTCGTCGTACGTATGCACCTCACGCAGCTTGAGGCCGCTCTCGGCTAGCAACTTCTCGAAGTGCTCCTTAGTCCTCTCCATTGCGGCCAACATGGTCATCATAGCCATATCCATGCTGGCCTGCTTCCATGTAGCGCCGATGGTGGGCATCAGGACGTCGTCGATGATGACGACGCTGTCGTCTGCCATGGCCTTGCGGACTGAGCTGAGGATGACTTTGCTGGGCTCATCATTCCAATTATGAATGACGTTGCGGAGGTCTTTGAGAGGTGTTAGTCGTTGTTCGTGGATTTTTCTGTGGCTTGACTTACAGTACACCTTCGCGTTCTTGATTGGCTGCTCTTTCATGAAGTCGTGAGGGATGGGCTCGATATCGAGCTTCTTCATCTCTTCACGGTTGGGGATCATGTCCTGGGCGAGAAGAAGATCCTCCGTCACCATCTTGCCCTTCAGCTCAGGGTGATACTTCCTCAAATCGAGGCACTGGTGTCCCATGCCACCACCAACGTCACAGAACATGACGCGACCGTCGGCTACGTCTTTCTCCGATAGTTGAAGATCGGAGACAGGTACGCGGCCATCCCAATTGCTCCTCTGGCCAATGCGTTGAGCGGCCATGAAAGCCTGCCCAGCTTTGGCATTCTCTGGGTTATGCTTTCGCCATTCGAAGACTGGCATGTCTGTGTTATAGGCCAGGTTGAATGGTGCAGAGTCGGTTGGATTTTTGTAGCCCGTCTTGGCAAGGTACTTGGGAATGGCGTTGTACGCAGGGGTCATGGTTAAAGAGCTGCCCACACAGGATATGTCAGTTGGATAGGCTTTGGAGCTTATTGCTCATCGGTAACACATGAGACCCCACGTGTGACGAATGTGCAGGAAGACTGACTAGTGTTTGATGCCCGCGTGCGTGCTTGGGAGAGCAAGATTCTTGGTGATGTTCGATGAGGTGAAGGTGTTGTCCTTGGTCTGGGTGACCATTCCGTATGCGTTGAGGCATCGGAGGATGCGATCTAAGAATTGACATTAGCTGTTGTCTACTTTCTTGGTGTAGGGGCGAACTCACACAGCAACGCGGGCTCCGCCTTGGTCTTCTCGGCGAGCTGCTCGAGCGTCCACTCTTTGTCCTGCTGCTCGGCCAGAATGTTGAACAAATTCAGGTCGATGCCTGTCTGGGCCATTGCAAGTGGGACATGCTAGTAAACCATCAGATTCATCTGCTGACAGAAGTGATGTCTCCCTACGCCATGGTACAACCGCTGAGCAGTGTCTTGAGCGGACTCTGTGCTGTACAGCAGCTCCCATGCAGCATTGTAGAGGTCTTTCTTGGCCGATGGATCCTGAGGCGGATACTTGGCCAAATCTCGCACAATGCCGACCTGTGTTGAGCCCATAATTGATCGATTACAACGAGAGACGAGGGAAGATGGTGAGAGATGGAAAACTGCAAGAAAGGCGTCCCATCGTTCGAGATTTATACCTACTTCTCGAGCAAGGCGACTGGCAAATCATCCCCAATCCAAAAATACTACGGCTGATGGAGAGCAGATGTTGTAGCAACGACAATGTGCTACAAGGGCGAGTCGAGAAGTCCGCGAATCACTCGCCTGAAACAGGAGGCCTGATGATAAAAGTCCGACGAACAAGACGACATGGCGCAGATGGTTACCAGGAACAATGCTGCCAATTGCCGTGCCCAGAGGGGCATAAGCATAGGCATCCCAAGCTGGGGAGCTGGGGGGTGGTCATGGATGGTGATGGATCGCCGACGCAACGTGCAAGGTTCGATATTTCAGCCTTCCCAGCGCGGAGGTCACCACTGGGCGGAGAGGTGGTGAAACCGGTCGACGAATGGAACCGAGACCAAGAACGTGGCATGATGCGACTGCAATGCGAATCCGGATATGGAGAGCTCAGACAGGTGGCGGTTCGGTATCGAGTCGGTGAATCCCTCTTGTCTTTTGCTTGGCTGTCGTATCGCCCTGGGCGTGGTGAGCGTGGCATGTGCTGATGGTTCGCGTGAGGTGCGAAGGAAGAGGACGAGGTTGCACGTCGCCTGAACGGGCGGGCTTCATGTTAGCGGCGTACGTAAGCAGGAGGCTTGTCTACCAGCCAACCGTGTGTGTAGCTCGACACCATCAACACCCATCCCAGCAATCAATCAATTCTCCTTCATTCATTTGATTGACCATGTCGTCGCCGTCGCTGCTTGAGCAGCTCTCACACTATGTTCTGGACGGCGTCTGGCAGCTCGGCAACTGCTTCAACTGCTTCCCTTCCAATCCCTCGCTCAAGATCAATGGCAGGAGCCTCAAGATCTTGCGCCTGCTGGGCGAGGGAGGCTTCAGCTACGTCTACCTGGTGCAATTGCCCTCCGACCCGACTCTATACGCGCTCAAGAAGATCCGATGTCCATTTGGCCAGGAGAGCGTAACGCAGGCCTTGAAGGAGGTCGAAGCCTACAGCTTATTCTCACCACATCCCAACATCATCCACGCCATAGATCACAGTGTGGAGAGCGAACGGGGAGGCGATCCGGGCATGAAGACAGTCTACATTTTACTTCCATACTATCGAAGAGGAAACCTACAAGACGCCATCAATGCGAACCTCGTCAACCGCGCGCGATTTCCCGAGCGGAGGCTGATGGTCCTTTTCTTGGGAGTGTGTCGAGCATTAAAGGCGATGCATCAGTATCGCGTAAGAGGCGCGCCAGGAGGCGAGAACAGTAGAAGGAAAGCGAAGAAAGTAAGGCAAGAGGCTGCACAAGCGGACGCAGACGCGGAAGACGAGGCAGTACAAGCAAATCAGGGTCGGCGAAGGAAAGACAGAGAAGATGGAGACACAGAACATGAGCCTCTCATGGAGGGCGAGGTCATGGCCGCGCAGGAGGGTGTTGCAGAAGGCGAGATGAGGAGTTATGCCCATCGCGACATCAAGCCTGGCAACATCATGATCGCAGACAATGGCACGCAGCCAATTCTGATGGACCTTGGATCTTTGGCGCCTTCACCGACATCGATAACGAGCAGAGCTCTGGCATTGCAGGTGCAGGATCAGGCGGCGGAACACAGCACGATGCCGTACCGAGCACCAGAGCTTTTCGACGTCAAGACCGGCACCGTCATTGATACAAAAGTCGACATCTGGAGTTTGGGCTGCACTTTATACGCATGTCTAGTCGGGAAGTCGCCCTTCGAAGCTCGCAGTGAGGAGACAGGCGGTTCGCTTTCACTCTGCGTGCTTGGCGGTGATTGGAGGTTCCCAGACGAGGGTGCTGCAGAAGCGAGGCGAGGCAAGCAACGCGTGTCTGATGCTGACGCGAGCTCCAAAAAGAGTGAAGATTCGATATCGGATCCGGTCAAGCAGATTGTCCGGAAATGTCTCACCGTCGAACCAGCGGAGCGGCCAGATATCGACCAGCTAATTGCTATGGTGGAAGAGGTCGTCGCTCATCTGCCTGATGATGGTGATGCCGCACTGGACATCGAGTGATGAGCTATTCCGTGTACAGTAGATGTATGATACTAGGGAGGTCTGACACCCCAAAGTCCACTGAGGACTTTCCAGCTTTCTGAGCTCTGAGCTGTCCCTGCTTATCACAAGTCTCATGGTAATCCCTCAGGAAGGGCATAACGTCCGATAGGGCAACAGAGCGTGTACACGCGCGTCTCACAAGAAGTCAGCTTCGAAGTGAGAACACAAGCCTTTCGACCACCACGCGGGAAAGCCATCGCTTAGCCAAGTCCTTGGACATGGCCAACGTCGACACTACATTCGGCGAGCTGCAAACAGTTCCATTGACACTGATTATTCTCGCCTTCTTGACTGCAGGCTTCATCCTCCACTACTACATCCTAGAGCCATTGCTGTACGGACCTCTTTCACACATCCCGGGCCCAAAACTCGCCAGTCTCTCGGGTCACTACCTCACATACCACGATATCAGTCTTCGTCGCAACGAGACCATCTCTCAATGGCACCGCAAATATGGCCCAGTCGTCCGCATTCGACCCAACGAGGTAACACTGGGCAACCCTACCGACTACCGCGAGATCTACGACACCAAATCTCGGTATGATAAGTCCAAGTACTTCTCGCGCTTCGCGGTGTATGGTGAGGACAATTTGTTCTCGACGCTGAAGTACACGGATCACCAAGCGATGAAGAGGCAGATTGCAGCAGCCTTTGCAAAAAGTACCGTTGTTGCCAAGAGTGAGGCGATGGTGAGAGAACGTGTGGAGGCGTATCTGGAGGCAATGATGCTGGAGCAGAAGACTCACTCCGTGGTCGACGTCTTTGTGCTGTTTGACTGCTTCTCGCACGATGTCATGACCCGCTTCTTGTACGGCGAGAAGCATGGTACTGATACTCTACTCTCTTCACAAGATCGTCCACTCGTCGTCAATCTCAAGCGCAGCCAGATCTGGACACCGCTCTGGGTAAACTTTCCAACTCTGCATACTTACTGGCTGGGAAGGAAACTGCTGCCAAAGGAGTATGTCAAGAATGGAGAGTACGGCGCAGATGTCAAACGAAGAATTGAGAGCTTGATGGATGCACACGACGCTGATAAGGGCAGCAACGAAGACGAGATGTTTTCGTTGTACGGCCACATGCGAAAGGGAGCGAAGCTGAATCGCGACAAAATGGCCAGTGAGATGTTTGACGAGTTGAAGGCTGGGCAGATGACGACCGCGAGTACGTTGACGTATACCGCTTGGCGACTCTCCAGACGCACTCAGTGGCAAGACAAACTGCGAACTGAGCTACTGGCTTTGAGACCTGACGATGACGGGAAGTTGCCCTTGGCAGAGCTTGAAACTTGTCCTGTCTTGGAAGCCGTGATCAAGGAGACGTTGAGGCTTCATCCCGCAGCCTCAGGACGCCAAGAGAGAGTTGTTCCACCGGGTGGGAGAACGTACTCGGGGCTCTATGTTCCTGAGGGGACGACGGTCATCGGACCCACGTTGGTGCTGCACCTCGATCCAGACGTGTATGATGGACCCTTGGAGTGGCGGCCTGAGAGGTGGCTGGATGCCAGCGAGGAGAAACTGAAGTCTATGGAGTATTCACATGTGCCGTTCGGCCATGGGGCGAGAGTTTGCATTGGTCAGCATTTGGGTAAGAGATATTCCTCATTGTGATTGAATTCTCTTACTGATGACTTCTACCAGCCGTGATGGAAATCAGGCTGCTGATCGCCACCATCTACCGTGACTACACGACACGCCTAAGCGTGACAGCCACTGACTACGAGATGCACCAGTTGGGAACACTCGCCGCCGTCCCAAGGGGTCTTCGGTGCGAGCTTCATGTCAATAGACACTCCTGAGCAAAGACATATACCCTAGCCTTCATACTTCTTCCTCAACACCTCATCATAGTTCAGCACAGCCTTCCCCAGCACCGCCGCACTCTCCGCACAATCCTCCTTACTCGTCCACTCCTGGGCACAGTGCGAAATCCCCTCCCTCCCCCTCGCAAACACCATCGCCGTAGGACACACCAACGTCGTCATGGTGCTATCATGCGCCGTCAACGTCTTCGCCCCCATCCCTCTATTCCCACAGGCCCTCTTCACACAATCCACCGCCTCAGGCCAAAACTCCCCGGGCTCGAGATGCATCACCCTGTCGACCTCCATCTCCAACCCACCCAATTTCGCCTGCGCCTGCGCCCGCGCTTTAATCTCCTCGCCCATAGCGAACAACTTCTGACTCTCATGATGCATCAAGCAAAACACGATCTTCGTCCACGACTGGATATTGCAGCTCCCCACGGGCCCCGACTGAATCCCCGTCACAGTCGTATACCCATTATTCGTCAGCGCCAACCGCTCAATCTCCACGATCACTTTACTCGCCCCGAGCAAACTATCCCTCCGATGCGGCGAGTCCATCGGATACGTATTCGCATGTCCGTCCTCGCCCTTGAATACCATCTCAAACACCGAAATCCCCTGCCACCCCGTCACCCATCCGACGCTCTTCCCCGCCTCCTCCAGAGTCGTCGCCTGCTCGACGTGGATCTCGAAATGCGCCGAGAGCGGAAACTCCTGAAACGTATTAGGTCCATCACCCACATACCCGATCCCCTTCAACGCCTCTCCAAGCGTGCCACCACTCCCATCGTTCGCTTTACTTTCATGCGCAACGGAAACACTGCTCTGACCCGCGTACACGACCGACGACCCAAGAGGAGGAAAAAACCTCGCCCCCTCCTCATTCGTCCAATTAATCACCGCAATCGGCGCAAAAGTCCTCACATCCTGTTCTTTCAAACTCCGCACCACTTCCAACGCCCCTAACACCCCCAACGGCCCATCGAACCGCCCCCCTGTCGCCACGCTATCGAGATGCGAGCCCATGGCTATGGGCGGCACGTCGGGCATGGCAGCGCTGAAGTCGAAAGTGGCGAATTGTGATCCTGTGCTGTTGATTGTGTAGGTTTTGGCGCCGAGGGAGTGCACTTGGGAGGCGAACCAGTCGCGGGCTTGTTTGTCGTAGAGCGTGCCGCTGAGGCGGGAGAGGCCTCCTGCGGTGGTTGTGGGGTTCGGGGCGGAGTATTGCGCTGCGTGGTAGATGTCGTTCCTGGAGGGGCTGTTAGTGATGGGAAGGGCGGTTGGAGGGAAGGGATGGGGGCTTACCATAGTCTGTCGCCGTTGACGGTGAAGTTCTGGGCGGCTGGGGAGTTGAGGGAGCTGTATGTTCTTGTCTTTATTGACGGTATGTTTTGACGAATGTTCAATCTGCGTATCGGCCTTGAAAGCATTTTGTCGATAGAGAAACTATCAATAGATAAACTTAAAGGTCGAGGTCGTGTCTCTTCAACGCCGATCAATGTCCAGAGTAAGAAACAGACAATAGCGTTTTACCACGCTCAGAAGCCGTTGATATTCAAGCAGAATGATCAAGATCTGTAGAGGAGTTGTTGTCCATAGCATTCGGCCACCGTCCAACACCACGCCCGGGATGTGGAACTAGGCAACCCTCTTCGGGCAAACATCGAAGCTTTGCATGCAGGCGAGGGTCTGATAACGACGACACCTCATCACCATCGCATCACCACAACAACACTCTCCACTACCAGTTGATATGTCGCTGCATCTGTTTCATCGGCCTCAAGGATGCCGCCGCCGGCACTGCACTCGAACCCGGCGTCCTGGCCGGCGGTATCGACGTCGATCGCTGCTGTCTTATCGTACAGCCTGAGTTGCCCTATCAGCAACACCTTCGATTAGAAGTTCGAACCCAACAACGTTGAACGAAGGATTCGCCATCTGCCGTGTTCCGACCCAGGATGAAAACACTCCTCCCCAAATAACTCTTCCACCACCACCACGTCCAAGGCCAGAAAAAAATCCCCACCATGGCCTCAATTCCAGACGTCGTCCCTGGGACCGTCCACCTCGTCGACCTGACATCCGAAGCCCACCACGACCGCCACCATGACCCCTCCAACACGCAAATTCTCCTCGTCCCGCAACCCAGCAAAGACCCCCAAGACCCCCTCAACTGGCCACGGCGTCGGAAATTCTGGTCGTTGGCCATGGTCATCCTGTACACCCTCGGCGTCGGCATCCCCACGACACTGCACTACAGCGTCATCGCGGATATCACGCGCGACACGGGGATCAGCACTACGGTTCTGGTGCAGGGGAATGGAGTCATGTTCCTCTTCCTCGGCTGGGCGTGTCTTTTGTGGCAACCGATCGCTTCGGCGTACGGGCGGCGAGGGGTTTACTTGCTCTCGACGCTGTTTACCATTCCCATCATGGTCTGGACGGCACATTGCTCCTCCGCCGGGGAGTGGTATGGCACTCGAGTGCTCATCGGCATCATTGGCGCACCTATCGAAGCTCTTCCGGAAATCAGCATCGCGGATCTGTTCTTTGCGCACGAGCGCGGGACGTGGATGAGCGTGTACGTGCTCGTGCTCTTCGAGTCGAATTTCATCGCTCCTCTGATTGCGGGCTGGTTTGACGACGCCTATGGCTGGCGCTGGACGATGTACTTCGGCGCCATCATCTCGGCCTGTGCTTTTGTGGGACTTTTCTTCGGAATGGAGGAGACGATGTTCTTCCGCGACACGATTGAAGGGGTGGAGACTAAGACGCCCGTGAATGGGAGTCCTCCGCCGGAGGTCGTCGATGATGAGAAGGCTGGCGACAAGGAGATCGCCGCTGGATCGACTGATGTGCCCGATGGAAGTGAGACCGCCGCGCTGCAATTTCCGGGAAAGAAGTCGTATGCGGCGAGGCTGAAGCTGTTCAGTCGTCTTCCGGGCAGTCCGTCGTGGAAGCAGGTCCTGAATATGATGTGGCGGCCTCTTCCTATTATCGTGCAGTTTCCGAATATTGCTTGGGCTGGGTTCATCTACGGCATTAATCTTTCGTGGTATAACGTCCTCAACGGAACAGCCTCGCCGGTACTCAGTGCTCCTCCGTACAACTGGTCAGCGGCATTGGTTGGGTGCATCTACGTCGGCCCTATTATTGGGGCGATCTTTGGGTAAGACCTTCGCCATCCCTCCTCTTTTCTCGAAAGCTAACATCGCATCCGTGTAGCTGTCTCTGGTCAGGCTACGTGGCCGACCGCCTCGCCCTCTACCTCGCCAAACGTAACAATGGCACCCGTGAACCGGAACATCGCCTCTGGCCTCTCATCGTCGCCGGGATTTTCTCGACTGCAGGCCTCATTACCTGGGGAGTAGGAGCATACCACGATGTCCACTGGGTCGGTCTCGCCTTCGGTCTAGGAATGCTTACGTTCGGCCTGGTAGTTGGTGGAGGAATTGGACTCTCCTATGCAGTCGACTGCTTTAAGGAGATAAGTGGCGAGTCCATGGCTTCTGTCATTATCATTCGCAATACCATCGGCTTTGGCTTTAGTTATGCCATTACCCCGTGGTATACGAATATGGGCTTGCAGAATTGCTTCATCACGGCCGGATTCGTGTCTTTGGCGTGTATGTCGACTTTCTTGCTCATGGTGTGGAAGGGCAAGGCTCTTAGGAGGATGTCGGCGAAGACATATTGGCGGTATGTCGAGTCCAGTAGCGGCGTTGGTGGCCATTAATAGTGTTGAATCAATGCTCAGAGGGTCATCGATCCTGACTCAATGATTTCTCGTCCTGCGTTCCAAAGAACTTCCGTCCCAGTCACTTGTCCCTGCGGGGCTCTGATCTCCAGTAGAGCGATGTGTTGCGCATCCAGGTCCGTAGGTCTTGTGATACAAGCGTCCGGCGTTCATCCCTCGTCCAAGTGAACAGAAGTCCTCCATCCAGTAAACAAGAGGACCGTCTTCAAGCATTCCAAAGCATCCCCCTCACAACCTTCTGCCCGACACAAGTCCACCTCTCCATCCCCTCCTTCCCACCCCCCTCCTTCTCCTCCAAACACTTGACC